CAGTAAATTGACCTCTGAGTCCACAATTAGTATTGGAGCAAATTGGCACGCTGGCTTGTGAATTGAGCATGTTTCAGGTTTTTAATTGTATCAGATTCTGTTGCATAACATTAATTTCCCTGCTTGTCACCACAAAACTAATGGACTTTTAAATGACTTTCTGATGGAAATGTGAAGCTGTAACATTGAAACAGATCCAAAGGGACTTCCTGTCAGATTCAATGACAGCTCACAAAGTAGGGCACTGTAAATCTATAATTTAAATATTTTAAAATTGATTTATACCATCTGATTTTAGCTTCAGCTTCAACAGTCAACGGAACATTGTGTGACCTTTTTGATCAATTTAATGTGATGTCTCTAAACCGGACGTACAGTGTCCTGGATAACCTGTCGTGTTTCAGTGCATCAGTGATTGAATTTAGTTGATTCATATGTCTTAATTACCAAAACAATTAATTTCTATTGAATGTAGGCTTGTTTGGAAATGGGCTTGCAAGTTCAGCTTGAATTTAACTGGGTTTGGTTGAAGGTTGCAAGTTCAGGCTTTTTTTTAATTGCGTTTTATTGAGTGTCCCAGAAACTGAAGTAATGGTGACACATGAGCAGCAAATCAGTTCAACATCTCAAATGTTGATGTGTGATTGGATGAATGCTCGTTGACGAATGAATGAATTTTGACGGCCCTTTAAACAAGAATCAATTAAAGTGACGACAGATTTAGCTGCAGATACCCCAAAATGCAGGGTAAGTCCATCAACTTCACCAGGACTGAAATCTATCCTCATTTCAGACATTTGAAGCAGGGGACGAAAGAGAGTGGAGAAAACCGTACATTGAACTCCTCCACTTCCTCCTGTTATCCATACTCTGACGGAGGCAGTGATAGAGAGAGCATCTCACATTTCCACAGAAGGCAGTCTTTTCGATCAGAAGAGGATAAGCATGAAACCCAATGCAGCTCCAGTGAAGATAGCTTTGATCTCACCATTAAAGGGTCAAAAGCTAAAAGCTCAGTCCCTGACTCAAATCAACTGAAGCGCAGATCCACAAAAGGTGAAAAGAGCTACACTGGTTGGCGCTATTTACATCCAGGAAAAGCCAAAAGCAGGGGTGGTAAATTACGAAATTGCAGGGAGAAGCCAAAGAGCATTGAATCCTCCCAATCAAATCTCAGATTCGTGAGTAATGGCTCTTCATTGTCCTCTGGTTTAGTAGAAGAAAAGATAAAAGCCAAACTGAAATTTTCCGAATTTATTGATGAAGTGACAATCCGAGTTTTGGATCCAATGAGTCTGAAGGCATTTGGAGTACAGAAACCTATAGATTGTGAGCTGCCCCTGGTTGATACATTTTTGGGGGAGCATCAAAATATGCAGCAGATACAGATGGTCTCTCATCAACTGGACAGTGCAGGAAAAGCCTATCTTGAAACTGATATAGACAGCGTCAGAAGTGAAGATACTGAAGGTGGAGCACCGGAAAATTCAGTCAAAGGTGTTCAAGACGCCAGCAATTACGCGGAGCACCAAACATTGAAAAAATTTAAGATAACAAGGCCATTGACTCCCACTGCGCAAATGTCAAATCCAAGAACATCTTTCGCAAAATGTAGATCTTACTCTTTACCCAGAAGTAATAGTATGGTAAGTTTTTTTTTGTACCTGTTTCATATTTTGCAAGTTAATGGTCAAATTTATTTTGAGCACTAGCTCTTAAACATTGCGATTACTCTTGCTCAAATAGTATCTTTGCTTTCAACTGATATTTCAGTTGTTTGTATGAATGTATTACAATATGTAAATGCTGGGAGACTCAAAATGTGTTTATAATTATAGTTTGTGGTGCGGTGTTATGATTTATTGAGCTGTGTTGCAGCAATTAGCTTGCAAACAAACAGATTTTCTGCTAAAGTCTGTATTTCCCCATGTCAATATACAACCATTATTTTGCTGAAGTAGATAAACGTACTGAAGTTGTAGAGGTGCTTAAACATCTTTGATCTGCTCATTTAATTTTGCCCATTTAACTTCCTTTAGCTCTCGGTTGAAGAAATGGACAGAATCAGGTCAGTGTAACCAAGCTCTATATTTTGACAATTTTAAATACAAAGAGGGAAAATCCATACACAAATAATAGAGTTCTACACCACTTACTAATCCTATGATATATCCACAGGCCATTATTTTACATTGGATAGATCCTAGGCCTTCATTTTACTGTCAGTTTAATACAGAATGAAGAGAAACAAGCTGAAACTGCAGCTCATGTTCACTCCCGAACTAAGCTCCGTGAACCAATCACCCCCTTCTTTGTCCAGCTTCACTGGCTCCCCATACCCCAGAGCATCAAGTTCAAGATCCTCATCCTCACTTTTAAAGCCCTCCATGGTCTTACTCCTCCCTACTTCTGTGACCTACTAAAACGTTACCAATCTGTCCACTCCCTCTGCTTGGTGAGCACTGGCCTGCTCCATTTCACCCGCCCTGCCTACTCCACCATCGGTGGTCGGGACTTTAGTATTTCTGCCCCCACCCTCTGGAACTCTATCCCGGAGCCCCTCTGCCTTGCCCCTTCCCTGGCCTCCTTCATGGCCCATCTCCAGATGTTCCTCTTGACCTCCTTCGCCAACCCTCCCTGCCCTCCAACCCTCCTCATTCCAACCCAGGCTCGGGTGCAAATTATTATCCAGCGGTTTGGGACGTCTTCCCGACTTGAAAGGCGCTATACAAATGTATTTTGTTGTTCCTCTTTAATTGACTACAAAGAATTAGGATCTCATAAGGTACCAAAATATCTCAATTATCTTCCCCTAAGGAAGTGTCAGTAAAATCTAGAGTGGAGAGGAAGAGAAAAACTTTTAATGTTGAAAAGGAAGATGTTTCTGGATTGATATTATGTACCAAATCTGAAGTGTCTATTTTAACTGATATATTAAATACAAAAACAATTTACAGTACAAGAAAAAAACAGATTCCAGATTGTCTGTATGGTATAATAGAAACAAATATAGTAAGTAGCCAAGCACTCAGGTGCTATCATAGGATAGCAATTTATAAAATAACTTTTAATATTAGTTATTCCAGAAAACAGGGAACCACTTTCCATACCATAATAGCTTTGACATTCTAGCTTTATAAAATAACTATAATTACATTAAGTGAAGCTAAAATCTTTTATTTAAATGCATTGGCTTTGTTAGTCAAAACTAATCCAAATATTTGTACGGAAGTACTGTACTATCATTCAAGATAAAGTCTTACAATAAAATAGAAAGTTCTTAAGAGACTTATTATGACAAATTGAACAGTAGGATGGAATGTTTTTGCTGAACAAAACACTTAGGTTTGAAAGTAAAATAAGTAGCAAGTCATCCTGTAGTCCCTCCACCTCGCCACTTCCTTTGCCTCCTTCAAGACTTGTCTCAAGACCCTCCTCTTCGACCATGCCTTCGATCATCCTCCTTCCCCGAGGCTCTGGAACTCTATCCCCCAGTGCCTTCGCCGCCTCCTCCCTTTCCTCCTTAAAGGCCGGTCGCAAGACCTTTCTCTTTGACCGTGCCTTCAGCTCCCCTCTCGACTCTCTACCCCCTCCTCGCTCACTCCCTTCCCTCCCCTCACCATTTCCCCCCTCCTCGCTCCCTCCCTTCCCTCCCCTCACCCTGACCATTTCCCCCCTGCTCGGGTCCTAACCCAACTGTCCAGGGCCTTGGGACGTCCTCCCGACGTGAAAGGCGCTCTATAAATGGAATCTTGTTGTTGTTGTTGTTGTTGTTCCCCCCTGCCCCCCACCCTCCCCGATTCCGACCCACAGCTCGGGTCCGAAACGCTGATTCTCCAGCGCCTTAGGACGTCCTCCCGACGTGAAAGTTGCGATACAAATGTAACTTTCTTGTTGTTGTTATAATATTTGTATAGAACAACATTCTGAATGTGTTAAGTCACATCCGTAACAATTGAGCATTAAACGACACAGTAAATCATTGTTGAGAGTTGTACATGTAAATGATTGTACAGTATTAACATTCCATTTTCAGTACAAGCAATATAGAATGTCATTAAATCCAATTCATTCCCTATGAATTTTTATTTCATTAGAATGGCAGGTTCACAGTCTTGCATGCTTGGATTCACAAAGAATGAATGATCAGTACAAGTATTATCTAAATACAAAAGAAAGGTATGATTTATGTCAGCAGTGAACTCATTTCCCAATGTCCAGATGACTAACTCTGCTTACTGAGCTTCACAACATCCATCAATGTCACTCGGGAACGCATATCTGAAAAATCCATTTATTACCACTTTTCTATTATTTGGAATCTGGATTTCTCCAATAAAAACACTGTATGGTATTAGAGACAATCTTTTTAAGCTTAAGTACTGTGACACCTTTAGTTTTAATAAGGATCCACATCACACAGTTTCCAATCCTCACTGCCTTTTCCACAGCAAAATCTTTGCACAACAGTTTTCTTTAACTGTTTTTGGCAGTTTCAATTTTAAGAACATGATGCACCATGGAAATTTCCCCGGCCGAGAATCTCAATTTGGGCTCAACTGACTCAGTTTTCTCATCAACACTGGCAATATTATTTAATTTGCCTTATCACTTACAAGCATATAATTAGTAGTGTATAACTAAACAGTGCATATCACCATAATAGCAATTATTCCTCTGAGCTGATATATTGTTATTCACTGACTGTAATTATATGGACCTACTTGCATTTTGATATCCTGTTGCAGAATGAGAGTATGACAGTGATGGTGTTTAGTTGATGGAAGGATGCTTTAAAACCAAGGATCATGAGCCCATGATTGTTTTTTTCCTTTTATAATGAAATATGTATCTGATCTGTGTGTCTGGTAAATCCGACTCAAAAAACTAATGACCTGGAATCGCACGATAATACGTGTGACTGAAACGTGCATACTAGTCAACATATTCTTTACAATAATGTTTTGGAAGAATTCACTATGTAATTGCAATATGTGTATATGGAAGAGAAAACCAACTATGAAATTATCATAAATACATTTAGTTTCAGTTCTTTGGAAGAACAGAACGACGACCTGCAGAAACTATTGTCTTACACTGCGCACACACTGGAGTTTCAGGAATCGGAATTTGAGGCAGCAAAGCAGATCCTGGAGACAGAGCTGGACGGCGCTCAGGAAGAGGTGATCAAACTGACCGAGAAGCTGCAAAGGTTAGTTTTCGGGGGAAAAAAACAATCGTAGCATCAATCTACAAATAAAAATAGCAAAATAACAATGCTATTTGTATCTTCAGCGCCGTTACCTTGAGATTATTATAGCCATCATTACCCACAAAATTTTAAATGGTTTACGTCTGAGCCTTCAAGTGATTTAATCTGTAGACTGCAAACTTTTCTGTCATTAATGTCTGCATAACACTTTAATGACTACAGTAGTTGCCAAAACAATAAGAGTTGTCAGAATGTCACTAATTTTAGCACTGTTTTTTTTTAAAAATCGAGATTTACACTCCAGTGATCTCCGTGGTTTGGGATAATCAAGGGGAGTTGAAAGAGATCTTGGGGTGTTAGTTAGCTCATCACTGAGCAGTGTGGGACAGTAATAATCAAAGCAAACAGGAATCTGTACTACATTACCAAATCAGTCGAGTTCAAAATCCCAGTAATCAGGCTGAAACTGTACAACACTTTGGCCAGACTGCCTCTGGACTACTGCAATATAGCCATGAAGATAGAATGAAGTAAGCCTTTCCTTCACTGTTAATGCTATGATGTTATGTTGGTCTGCTTTAGGGTACAAAACAGCCATGCAGCACTACAGAGAATTAACCAGGACCTTGAAGACAAACTTCACATGATGGTGAGTGAAGAGCAAGGGTGCTCAGCATAATGCAATCCTTGCTCCCCGATCCTGACTCCCAACTTGGGTCTGAAACACTGATTGTCCAGCACCTTGGGATGACCTCCTGACATGAAAGGCACTATACAAATGTAATTTTGTTGTGTTAAGTGCTACTAGCTATAATGAACAACATATTGAGTAATTGATTCAAACAATCTATGTAATTTGAGTTCAGATAGCCTCCTGTACAAGTAGATTAGTCTTTTGGCTGTTACTTTTATTGGACTATATGCATACTGTCTGTCATAAATTACACATCATTTATTATTTTTGGTATGTCATAACAATGGTCTACAATGTTACAGTTTGTATGATTCAACGTGGATAATACAATGTTGTGTTTAGGCTTATTGATAGCACACGATAAACTCGCTTAATGACCATTTATATAGTCTTTCAAGTATTAGTTGAAGGGATAATAATCCAGATTGAATCTTTTAGATGGGGTGATGACACAAAATACCATGATATTTACACACGCAACAATCGTAATGAAAGTGACGAAGTGCCACTGGTAGACTGCAAAGTTGGAACATCACACTTACTAGTGTTTCTGGGCTGTCAGGGGATTTAGCTGCGATGAGCTGTAAATTACATGTATGAGTGATATTTTTGCCAGTTAGATTTTGATATTGCAGTTAGTGTTTTGTTTTGTTATTGGTGGCATTTTTGCTCGTCTTCTACAACAACAACAAGGTTGCATTTATAGAGCGCCTTTCACGTCGGGAGGACGTCCCAAGGCGCTGGACAGTTGGGTCGGGACCCGAGCAGGGGGGAAATGGTCAAGGGGAGGGAAGGGAGGAGCGAGGAGGGGGTAGAGAGTTGATAGGAGAGCTGAAGGCACGGTTGAAGAGAAAGGTCTTGAGACCGGCCTTGAAGGAAGAAAGGGAGGAAGCGGCGAAGGCACTGGGGGATGGAGTTCCAGAGCCTCGGGGCTGAGAGGCTGAAAGCTCGGCCACCGATGTTAGGGCGGGGGATGTGGAGCAGACCGGAGCCAGAAGAACAGAGGGTACGGGCAGGTAAGTAGGGGGATAGTAGGTTAGAGAGGTAGGAGGGTGCAAGGCTGTGAATGGCCTTGTAGGTGAGGATGAGGATCTTGAATTCTACTCTTTACTCATTGTTTCCTGAGACTGTGAAAGACTGTGAAACTCCGTAGCTCCCCTCTAATTATTTACCCTGTAATGATTTACAGGTTTTTAAAGCTCAGGCTTGACTTGCTTGGTGCTCAGCATAATGCAAAAAATTAATACTCTTTTTGACCCATGTGTTTTGCTGCATTTTTACCTTGGGCCTTCATCTCGATTCTCAACTTAAAAATAATTTAAATTGTAGCTGCCCAGAACATTTCACTGCATAAAATTAGATTCTCTGAAATGGCGTGATGCAATATTTTATTTAATCTTGCTTTTTTTTAAACAATTAAAGAGTGTTAATCTCAAACCAAATTCAGATGCAGGAAAAAGCGAGCTGATAGATCTTGCAAATGAAATTCCTTCCTGTTGTTAATTAATTGGCAATAAAAGGCAGCTGCTTGGTTTATTCTGAAATGTCCATTTTCAAATTCTATATTTAGAATGATCCTTACTTAAACAAATGAATTGCCCACATTGACCACATTCTCAGCAGCATAGCACTTTTTAAAAGCAATAGCATATCTTGGGCGGTTTCCCTTGATGAGTTTTAGCCAGCTGGCTGTTTTAACAAAGAAGGTAGTTTGTGGCTTTAAAATGCAGATAAACATATGTTCGTTATATTGATTGTGAGAGACAACTATTGCAGGTCACTGTTAAGGGGATACTGCAGTACAAATGAATTTAGAAAATGTAATGAAACCGTGTTTTTCTGTTCCGAACTTGGGGCCTACTTTAATTTCAGTTGAGTTTCCAATAAGCTTCAATAAGAAAGTGAGTGTTTTAATTTGATCTAATCCAATCACAGAGGAGTAGTGACTGCTTTGTTTTGAATGTCAACTAATTCACCTAATTTATGTAAATGTTAATAATTAGTCAGTTTAGTGATTCTCAACTTCAATTATGTACCTGATTGGAAACTGAAATGGAAATTGAGCTCAGCTGCTTTTGCAGCAAAACTAATTTGTCTTTGGATGCCCAAAACACTGACAGTGTCAACTTATATCAAACATTTTATTGTGACAGAAATGAAGTTTGTACTGGTCCCACATTTTTAATATCCTACAAATTACTGCCGAGGACTAGTTGGGCAGTGGGTTAGCACACAGTCCTTTTACTTCAGGGGATGGTTTGGAATCTAGTCCAGACTAATGCAATGAAAGTCTTTGGCAGTTGGTAGAGTCCTTAAAGCACTTTTGTACAGTATCAGTTTAGTTCATTGGGGGTACATGCATAAAAGAAAACTATCCCAAAATTTGCACTAAATGGCAGTCTTACTCAGTAAGGTCATAGGCTGGCTGGTATGGAAAATGGAGACCTTTATACTGATAATATTGTAAGAATTGGGAAGGGGAGAGAAATTGTATGAAATAGAGAACAATGGTATTTTATGAAAGGCTCTGAAACACGATTTATGAAACATTCTTAAGTTTGTTTGAATAGCTAATAAATAGTCTCCCCTGCCCCAAAAGGCATAGACTCAGCTCAACAAGTCCATCATGTAACCGGATAAGATTCTCAATTCTCTTGACCTAATGGAAATTTTGACAAAGCTTCACAATTGCTTTATTCCTCAACAAACACCCCACTAATTGTAACAGCACCAACAATTCAATATGCCAATTTATTTGCCTGCAAGTAGCATATGATGACTGACCTCATAAAGTATGCATATATATATATTACCAATTAAAAATATATATAAATTGGGAGAGGGTGGAACAATAATAAATTATTAGTAAATATTATGATTTGAAATCCGATTTAGCTTAAAATAATAATAATGATTTACAAAATCTATGATTGCGGTAACAAAATGCAACAGAATCTGGATAAAGTAGGAAGGAATTAATCTGAAAGCTAATCTCTTGAGTTTAACATACATTTGATCACCACAATCCAACTTGCCCACTTTTTTAAAAAATAGATTACACACCGCATTTAGTTATTGAATTTTTTAAATAACTACATTGTGAAATAGTCTTGTACATATAAAGAAGATGGATATTTGATCTTTCAGAGCATGTGACGTTGCTTTTTATGTGTACACAGGCACAACTTCATGAAGACAAAATGAGGAATCTTGAACATGAGGTCATTACTCTAAATAACCATCTAATGGAAGCCAAGATAACTATTGATAAATTAACAGAGCAAAACGTGAGTAACAATTTCTAAAACGCAAGCGCTTTTGGTCTCAAAAAAATAGCACAAACATTGCATCAAATATCTGATAACTGCTGAAAAAAAACAATCTGGTAAACTTGGCCCCACATTTTTGATCCAGCATTTATACCTGCGTGATGTACTCATGTAGCCATACATGTAACTCAACATTCTTCACCATCAAACTCGAGAGAAATTCTGAATGCCTGATACTATTAATGTAACTCAACAGTGAAATACAACTTACAAAACATACAGTGAATATAATACACATCAGTAAAGTGAAAAGCTGGAACTAAGATAATACTGTATTTCAATGATTAATTCAAAAGGAATTTCACTGAATTAAGTTAAATCTTTTATGCAGTTACGCATCGAATGGATTCTGACGGTTCTCTTCAGTTAGAAATAAAATTGTTAGACTGTACACAATAACTGCAGCATTTTTTGTCTCCTTTCTGATGTTAAAATGTTATTTCCTTCAATTATTTTTTTCCAGGAACTCTATAGGAAAGATCGAAATTTGGCAGCTCAACTGTTACAGTGTGACAAGCCTCCTTACAGGACACATAGGCCTTCAGAGGTTACTTCAATTACATCTAGTTTTGTTTTATTGCCATATTTATTTTAGGAAGTCATAAATATTTAGTTTGTTTTCCTTAAAGTCACTGTTAACGTGAATGTCTGCAAATCTTAAAACTAGGAGTGTATAACCAGCATTTATGCACATTTTGTAGCTTCTATTTTTTCTGTAGAAATTCACATTTCATTTTAATTAAAGTACATCACCTAATTATTGTTTTTCTCACATGGCTTTAAATCACTGATTAGTAAGTTTTATTCACGATGTGAGCACTACCATTTCTTAAATAGTAAAGAGATTAAAAAATCTTCACCTTTGATTTCAGCAACTGACTTGAATCATTTCCCTTTTGTCTAATTTTGATAACTACACCACTGGAAATGATAATTGATTAATCAGTGTAACAACCCGAAACAGAAGCTTTACAAAGAGGTTTCTAAATAATTTCATTAAATTTACATGCAGGTAAAAGAATAGTTCAATGCAGCTGAAAAGCATTAGAAATCCCACCATTGTTATATGGTTTCAGTGAGCTTTAGTACATTCATTTGTTCCTTCAGTCCTACCAAGAGATCAGAAAGATCATAACCAGCAATGGAAAGCAAGCATTGAATGCTTCAATAAGAAATGCGATGAGTATTAAACACATGTACAATGAACTTAACAATAATGATCTTTGTCATGTGTAGATTCATGACTTTGCTTTGTCTTTGCTAAATGAAACCAAGTGTTTTGCAGCACATATATACATACAGTACTTACTCACTGAAGTAATCTGAAGTGACTTGCTCAATTTGTAATTTGTTAAAATACCATTTTTAAAAGTGTGATTTTTAGTACAGTTTAAAAAAACATATACAATCAATAAAATTGTGGAGTCCTGTAGCTCAGTGGTTAGAGCACTCGCTTTGCAAGTGAGAGACCTGAGTTCAATTCCAGGCAGAGGGCGAAACCTTGGGCAAGTTTCCTTACTCCACACAGAGCCTAATAATAATCCCTCCAAAACCAAAACAATAATAAATTGGTCATTTTCAATCTACGACTGTTTGTGGGACATTGCTGTGCGCAATTGGCTGCCGCGTTCGCCCACAAATATACAGTCAATTCACTTTACAGTGTGTTCTGTGAAGCGCTTTGGGACGTCCTCCCGACGTGAAAAGCGCTATATCAAATGCAAGGATTATTATTATTATTATTATAAAGACCTAGGTTTCTGAGATTAAAATATAAAACGTAGTCTGAACATATGAAACTGTTCACCAAACACTATCAAACTACCATGCAGTAAACTGTGAAACAAAGGACTATTGTAATTACTTTGCTGCTCAGAAATGGCTGGAAATATTGATTCTGTTGCAATGACTCAAGTGTTAAGTGGACATCAAATTCCATCGAGCCATTGATGTGATGTGTTCTGTTTTCATCATTTGTGTTTAACTAAAGTTTGGGGCAATGTTTGACCTTGTATCTTATTAACCACAGAATCCAACAGAATTTCAAGAGAGAGTTTGTCTTCACGTGGAAAAGCCTGAACCAACTAGTCCACCAAGTTCTCCTGTTGGGCCCTCACTCACACAAGATGCTAGCAGTATGCGTAACAATTTGGTGAATGTGGACAAATTTGGCCAAAGGTTTCCATACAAGGCTGATTTATATTGCAGTGACACAGCTCTTTATTGTCCCGAAGAACGAAAGACAGACAGGAGACAAAGTTTTGATGTGCAAACGAAAGCTGTTGAGTTTTTCCGAACACAAAGCCTCACGGATGGTTGTGGAGACATCGACAGTCTGCAAGCAAGTCTTTCAAGTGAACATCTTGCCGATAAGACCCCTTCATTAGCTCCCACCACCTACCCAGGCTGCAATGTGGTAGCAGAGGAGAAAGGACCCATACAAACTGAAACCATCTCGACTTCTACCATTAGTTTGAGGGATATTCATGACAGAAAGTTCCATGTTTCACAAAATCAAGGTAACTACAATTCTAGTTTTGTTCAGGGAAGACCAACACAACAATTCACAGAGATGGCACATGCTCACCAGAATGGGTCCCATTCAAAAACTATTCCGACACGCTTCAGTAATCCACTGCCAGCCTCTAGGATGAGCTCCCCGCATGGAGGCATCCCAAAGCTGTACAATGAACGAAGAAATATGCCAATTCCAGAAAAAGATGTAATAGGCCATTGGAGGCAAACAAGAATGCAGGATTCAACCACCGCTTCACACAGGGTTCCTGGAATAATTTCAGCTTGCAGCCATAAAGATCAGCTCTTCCGAGGATGTCCAGTGAAGCCAGTGGATGATGGGACAAACCATTTCTTCACTGCTTCTTATCGAGATTACTTTCCTGACGGAGAGGATTCATTTCAAACCAGGTTTACAGAATCGGGCTTTGGAGCCAATGACTGTCAATCCAGTTCAGAAACCGATGACAATAATGATCAGAATTATGACAAATTTGCTATTTGCAAGCAACGTGATGCCAGAGGAGACCCTAAAGTCTTCATCAATAAAAACAGCACAAATCAAACCTGCGTGCAAAATGCAGAATACCTCAGAAAGGTACTAAAAGAATATGTTCATGTTGGTGCAAATAGTTCAGGAGAGTATGTACACCATCCCAAAGTGCAAGCTTTAGAGCTCCATCATCTATCCTTAGATGCAACTGATTTTAATAGCAAAGTTGGATCAGTATTGAAGCTGGGTGGTCTAAACAGGAAAGACAGTCTCACAAAGGCTCAATTATATGGAAACCTGCTCAATTAACAACAAATGTGCAGTAAAAATTATACACTGCCCTGATGTTTAAAGTCATGGATTACATACTTCACCATAAAAATGACCTCCTTCTGTCCATCCCCTTAGTATAATACTATATAATTAATGTTAGAAAACTCCATAAACATTTAATTGGAGGTACAGACACTAAGAAGAAACTCTGGTGGATTTCTGTTAAGCAACAGAATTTCTGTTACAGCAACCAACAATGCTTAAATTATGTGATGAATTTGTCATTCTAAACTGTAGTCGATTTTGCTTTAATTTTTTCAATATCTCCCAGAATATATATGAACAAAAGTAGCTCTATAGTCTAGATAATGTACTTTACGAAATAAAAAATACAAACGTGTAATAAATGTGGTTACTTAGATCTATTTAAATAAACATTATTTCTTTGACTTTTACAAATCCCTAGTTGCACAATAGTTGCATAGTTATAGATAAAATGATTTTTAAAGGCAATGATTCCATTGGGTTGAGTTTCTGTATCCTTGTCGTAAATCCTGATGCATTTCGAAAGAACCAGACAAATTACATTGTGGAAATTGAAAATAACAGGAACTCACAACACCAAGAAGTTTGGATCCAAAAGAAGTCAACCAAGTTGCCTTACTTTTCGCTTACTTTGAACTATTGCTAGATTATAGGAGAAAGTGCCTTCTTCTTGAATTTCTGAAACAAGTTAGGGATCAGAAAAATCAAAGGAAATGAGTACAGAAAATCTGGCTGCACCAAAAAGGCAGATTGTCCAGGCTTCTGAGTGAAAAGACATCACAAGTCCTAGAGCAAAATCAAGGGAGTTGACTATTGCCCAACCTGGTTATGTGTAATACTCAACAGGTTAAGTCAGGTCCATGGTCTTTTCAACTATAGGAAGCAAATTAATTACTATTGATATCCAATACTTTGCCAGGAAATTGCTTCCAGGAATATATGCTTTGTGAACTTAATTGTATCTACACTTGTATGTTGTTCCAGCTTGTTCAAGTCATACTGAATGTAGCCTGTCAGATCACTGTGGTGTTCCTGTGTTTTTTTTGCTTTTCTTTGCTTTTTTTCCCCTTGGTTCAAGTTTTTTTGATAAGAACCTGATTGATGTTTTTCTGCTGTTTCTCTCACTCTCTGAGAACCTTTATTCTTGAACACTGCTCAATACCACTTATTGAATAGGAACTCAATGCAACTGCACTCTTCGCTTATTGATGTTCAAGGTACAGGGAGCAATGAAAGTAAATGGTTTCAGACAAATCCAAGGAGAAACTACACTGTATGCCAAATTAAAATATTAGATGATTATCTTCACATTGTGATTTCAGTTTTTTCATTATAACAGGTATATTTAAGCTACGTCTGATTTTTTACTATTTTAGAATGAAAAAACTCGGTCAGCCGGGTGTCTGACACATCACCATTCTAAGAGTATTCGACCCATACAGAGTTATGAACATGAATTGGAAATTTGATAAATGTGGTTGAAATGTGTTTTGGATTGACATGAATACACTCATAATTAATATTATTAGGCCATTATTGATTATTAATTATTATTAGTAAGTAATCTTATTTTCTAATCTCGCCTCACAAGCAAGAGACCCGGGTTCAATTCCTAGCAGGGCAAAACCTTGGGCAAATTCTCTTACTCCACACGCCTGAAAACAATACCTCGAAAAAAAAAAAATTTGGTCACTTCAATCCACAACTGTTTATGGGACACTGCTGTGCGTAATTATCTGACGCGTTTCGCCCACAAAATGTACAGGCAGTTCACTTTACAGTATATTCTGTGAAGCGCTTTGAGACATCTAGAAGACATGAAAAGTGCTTTATCAAGTGCAAGGAAGGAAGGATTATCCTTGACTACGGTGCAGCACATTCTAAATATTATGAAGAAACTTCAGAACTCAAACAACTAATTGCAACTAAACACAAACACTCATACACTACATTCAGAATATCGACCAACTAAATTAAAAGGTATAAAAATACTTTTTAAAAAATTCTCTCATTCGACTGAAAATTTGGATTTATTAAATTTTAGGAAAGAGGACAATATCAAACACTTTCTCAAAAGAGATGCACATTTACTTTGAAACAACGCATTCCTTTTTTAGATAAGGTACTATGAAGGGGCCGAATAATGACTGGTGATACTTACTTGTGACTTAAATTCTTATTCGCAATATGTGGAGTTAGGAATTAGTCCCAAACCTTGATTTCTCCACTCCAGTCACAAGTTGCAATAATAGAAGGGTGTACGGGGTGAAAGGAAACATCAACACAGGCCTGTCCATGGGCAGGTAAAGTACGGATTAGTTTTGAATTCAGGTAGTTGTAAAAATAAACTGTCCCATCCGCACTTCCTGTAGCAATTAGGGTCCCATCAGGTGAAAATTCACAGCCCACTGCATAGCCTTCCACCTGTAACATAGGGAGAAAGTTCATGAAGCCTCAGCAGTGATCATTCAAGAAATAAAATATATGGATTTCTTCATATGTTGCTGTGGTGGATACCAACACCACCAAACTACATTTGTACAGCTCCTTTCATGTCAGAAGGATATTTCAAGGCGCTGGTCAGTTAAGGGTTTGCACCCGAGTTGGGGATTGGAATCAAGAGGAGTGGAGGGTAAGGGTGGCTGGGAGTAGGAGGGAGGCCGAAGGCACGTTCAAAGAGGAAGATCTTGGATAGGCCTTGAAAGAGACAGTGAGGTGGCGAGGTGGGGTGGAGGGACTCTGGGATGGAGTTCCAGAGGGTGGAGGCAGAAAACTGAAGGCCCGACAGCCAATGGTGGGGTGGGCAGGGCGGGGACATGTGGAATTTAACCACATCGCTGAGTGGTGATATAAATATTAAAGAGGGTAGCAAATCTTTACATTTCATCTGAATGCTGCAACATACAAAATTTGTTAAATCTAAACATATCTAAGCAACTATTTAGAAACAAGAAAGAGCAAAGCCCAGAAGAGCAAAGCTCTCCATCACTCCAGCACTGAGGCCTCAGCTAGCAGAGTTGCCGAGTTCTTGCATGAATGCTGGCTGAGTGCTGTGCAGAGGTGAGGCACTGAATCTCTGAGGTTCACGACCCAGACCATCAAACATGGATAAATTACTCTGCTGTGGAACTGCTTCCTAAACCAGTTGTTCTCATGCAGAATGGGGATTTGCACAGAATAAAATCAAATTGCCTTGTTTCAGCTTCATCGTTTAACATTTTTGGCTCAAACCGTCCTATTCCTTTAACAAAATTAGAGATAAATGTTGAGTGCATACCACATTGCTTCAGGTCTGTTTTTGATTTCATGCTATTATTGTTTTGGATCAGTAACCTGCCCTGGATGCCTTGTCTATGGGACTACTGGATTTAGCGTGTGGGAATGCACCCGTATTTTCTAGTGATTTAAAGAAACTGACAAGCAAGGCTTCACGATTATATCATCATTTTCATGGTATGAGGGACGTACAGCAGACCCGTGCAGCTGAGCGAAGGCGGCAAGTAGAGGAATGGGATATGAACAGATCCGAGAGGTACAGAGGTGCCAGAGCGTCAAGAGATTTGAAAATGAGAGCGAGGATCTTGAAATCAATCCGTTCTGCAACAAGGAGCCAGTGGAGCCTGACAAGAACTAATTAACATTATTAACACCTGCTGCCTGGATTGAACAATTGCCAATCTATTATGCCAATAATTGAATTTTTTATTGTTCAAAGGACGAACATACACAAAAATTGAACATTCTCACCCCTCACCACAAACAGCAGAGGAAAAAAAGGATAACATTGTTTCCTGTTGATTTTGCTGCCTATTTGACCTCATGTCAGAACAGATGTATGATGGATACTTGATGTGGGAGGCCAGGAGTGAAATCAATGTTGACAATATACACATCAAGGTTAGATCTGCTTGAGATCCCAAAACTTGATTTTACAGCACATTAGGTTTTAAAGGCTAAACTGATTACAGAGGTCATTAATACTGTAAATATTTATCATTTCAACATCTCAATTTTGATGAAAGGATTAATGTTTATCACAATAAGAGATCTTATCTGAAGCACTGAAGTAGCTGGATTTATGACTCTAAGAATTAAATGAAAATGGATCTAACAGTTAATGAGAATTAAGATCACATTATCACCTCAGAGTTTTGAAACACAGAATGCAGCTACAGGATTATTACTTGATATGGGAACCTCTTGGGGAGGGATGTAAGAGGTGTTAGGAGCTTTGATACACAGCTATTATCTGGGCTATTTTCCTTTGAGTGTCAATGATTAAAATAAGGATTATCTACTGCCTGTAGAAAAGACTGAATATGCTGTGCCATGGAGTGGCAGGATTTGGGTTTATATTGTGATCCTCACACAGGCACATGCACTGCTTTGGGAAGTGTTGAGTGAAGGCTAGGTACTCCCTTGGAGAAGCAGAGGGAGTGGTCCTGAGGTTGCCATTGTACCTAACACCCAGCAGCCAGTTTCAGGGCAGCATCTTAATAAATGGAACATTAACTTTGTCGATTAGGCAGCTTTACCTGGAGTCTATGTTATGGGAGGTTAAGTTACATGGTTTATGATTGCGTGGCATGGTGCTGAACCCAACTTCACTACGTGAGAAAATATCCACAGATTGGTCAAATGGAAAGCTGCAGGAAACATTCTTTAAACCGCGGAGCGCTGCAGATTTAATACACAACCATTAAGTAAAAATGTACCTTATGCCCATCATATCGTTTTCTTTTATTCATCCTGTATGGTCGCTGAGTAGAAAAAAGCACCATATAGCTGCCATTGGTCTGCGCAACAAAAACAGCTTCTTTTGGATGGACAGCCATACACGGGATGGTGTATCTTTCCTATGAGGGAATGGGATGGAGAATGAGTTTCAATGTTACACTTATTTAATATTTAACAGTATTTAAAACAACCCCATAAAATTGCCAATTACTGCAAATCAATAGGAGGTAGAAACTGTTGGCTCAGGGTGTTTTAGCTAAAAAATAATGGTCAGTCCCTTTCTGTTCTGTTTTCCTTAGAATAGAAAGAGAAATAGTAGATTTGTCCTTTATTCTAAGACAACACGGGCAATTACTGCCTCCCCCTTAAACATACCATATGTCTTTAATACAGCTGTAAATCTCTAGCCTCCAATCGTTTTGCTTTTGGGAGGAAAGGAATCCTGATTTTTAATTAAATCATTGTGCCTAATCCGTTTGTCCACAAATACACAAAAAAATCCCATGACGTGTTTTGGGATGTCCCCACGATGCGAAAGGTGCTATGGCAAATGCAAGGATTATTATTATAATCCAGTAAAACATACGATTAATACTGATAATAAAAAGGACACCATTAATTTTCTTCTCAGTAAATAACCTTGAGGTTTCTTTGTGGCTGTCAGAATCTGAATTGTTTATGAATTTTCTGGAAAACATTTCTACTATAGATCTTTAATGTTAAATTTTTTTTAATGTCATGTGCTAACAATCTGTACAAATATTTATATTTAGTAAAGACCTGTTTACATATTCTGACACTAATTCATGCGTGGCTGAAAACTGGATTGTTAGCATTGCCAGTGCTACAGGCAGAATCACAAGTAATGTACTGACAATTTACTGTAACAGTGTTACATGGATTATACCACAGGAGCGAGATCAACCTCCAGCTCGTTTCTTCTCATTATTTAGTTGAATGAACGGCAGTGGCTGAGAAGCTTCAGTGCTGGTTATGTTTCTGCACTCCAGCATCCTGTGTGTAGTCCAACATAAAATAAAATTGCTCGGGTCAATGGGCACCAAAAGATTGCACTGTATGGGATAACTTTGATGAAGAAAGAAATAGGAACCCTGTTGACCTTACGTGAAAAATCTGATTGGAGATTTTTGCAGATGTCTGGAAATCCCAAGCAATAACGGTTCGGTCCGCTGAGTCTCTGCTGGCTGCATCTGTGCTGGTAAGAAATTCTTTTCCGCCCGGAAGGAAAAGGATGTCAAGTGTTTGCTGTATTCCAGCACTGTATTCACTTACTACCTGGAATAAAAGGGTTAATAAAGATTAACTGCAAACAACAGCAGAACCAGGAACAGGAAGAGGGGTTATTCAGCACATCAAACCTGTTTCACAGTTTATTTGATTTTGGTAGATCTTTTAATCATAATGCCCTAACTTTTCTCCATACCTCTTAATACCTCTGCTACCCAAGTTATCTGTCTATCTCTCTATGAAATCCTATCAATTCTGCCTCTTCAGTTATCTGGGGCAGAGCATTCCTATATTTTAACAACCCTCGGTGTGAGAAATGCTTCCTGACCTCAATTCTACTTGCTATAATTCTAATTTTAAGGTTATGTGTACACACAAAGCTCTCAGGGATGTGCGTCCTGACCTGTGGATGTGACTGTCTTAGCTGTTGCCAAGTTACTTTGGATGAAATTGTGCAAGTCATAATGTGTTCCTCTACCTTGCAATTTCTTGTATCCCATGCTTTCACAGTTGAGCTGAATCCTCCAGACAGAAAGATGCTTTGGTTCACAGGATTGAATGCCAGGCAGGTGATTTGACATTCATTACGAAGACTGACAATTTGTTTTCCTGTGTTGGTAGAAATAAAGCTTTACTACAAAGTAAGGACTTTTTTTTAAAGACGGTTTGTTGTCCAATGTCCCACTTTCATCATTTTGAAAATATACTGATCACAAAATTAAATGTTTAGGTTAAAGAAAAGATTAATTTTAAATGGGTTTGTGGCTTCCTCAACAGGCCGTTTAATAAATGCACCAGAAGGCATGATATTCCAGGGTGGTCCAACCAGCAGCTGCAACCGGCCCGCCTCTCTCTGTTTCATCGAGCCCACTTGCTCCCTCCGTTACCTGTAAATGTTATGTTTCTGGAAGGGAAACCCAAAAATATTGCTTATTCGACCTGTGGAAATTTCTCAAGTAGGGCATCCGGCCCTCAGCAGCCAAAAGGTTGGACCACCAAATGTTAGAGGCCACCAAATGTGCAAAACTCTTTACTATTTTGAACAGATGGACTGAGAACCATAGTCTCCCCTCAATTAGAAAAGAACCTCCCCACAGCATATATTTAGCAGGCACTATGCACAGTGCATTCACAAAATTGCATGTATGGGACGGGTAGTATAACACAGTGGGATTAAAACCTCAATTTTACCAAGCACACTTTGAGCACATTGTAAATGAGATGATAATGGGAACAATCTCTGCCACAATGATCTAATTATTATACTTCGGAGCCGCTATCTTGAAAATCTTGCTAAGATTGCAGTTGGTGGCCGAATGCCTTTGGAGAGAAGCAGCGTGAGTAATCTAATGAGGAGCATTGAAAAAGCTCACTGCTCTTACGGTAGGCCCCATTAAAATAAATGGAAAAAGTTAATTAAAATGAGAAAAATTAATTTACTTCCAATGTGACATTTAAAGTTTAATAAACAGAATAGGTCTTGGCTGGAGGTGAATAATATTAATCTCTACTCTGATGCTAACAGAATGATCTACAAGAAACAAAGACTGGTTCAACAGAGAGTAGGTAGCCATTTCCAAGGTGTGAGCTGCAATTTTCAGTCTCGAGGAAAGGTTCACAGCCATACAGTAGACAAACCTCTTCAGTGATCTGTACAGATGATCTGAAAGTTTAGTCACCCCTTGAAGAGAAAAACATGGAGTGAACACCACACTCAGAGGCAATGGTTGGCCTGATTAAATTGCCATCTGAGTCTAGTCACAGGATGTAGACCCATGTTAGGGATATTGTGGCAACAGACCAGAAACTAAATAGTGCATTGCCTTCATTGCACTATAGTAACTATGATGGCTTTGCACCTTCGTGTTTTCTAGATACAAGACCTCAGATCACAATCTGTGCTGACTTGGTTCAGGTATTTGTGCAACTGCTCTTCCGCCTGCTCCCTCACTAGGGACATTTTCTGGAAACTATGTGTATGTGTGTGAACACTTGAACATTGAGTAAAGACATCATTAAATTCACATGTGATCATCTCCATAGTCTGCTGACTTGCTATCTGGGCTCAACATGAAGAATAGACATTTGAGCAACAGAGTACAGACCTACCAAAGCCAACAGAGCCATACCCAATAAGAATTAGCCACCAGGTAAGAAAATTGACGAACTATCAAATGACTCAAATTAAAGTAGCAGAATTGGCTTGAAGTTATTGCCAACATTAGTGCCGTTAATTCTTTTTAATTTCAGGAATATCCGAATATTACTTCTATAGCGCATAAGAGAAATTATCTTGGCCAAGATGCACATTGTGAATATATTTACAGAATGCAAATCATTAATTTTTAATGAAAATGTTGTTGCCACTAATGAGGTTAACCAGACATTATTTTATCCCATTTATCTTACAAAGTTGCTGGTGGTCCTTGCACTGACTATGACAGGGGAGCTGAAACATAAATATCTGCTGGACAAACAAACAAAACATTTGATTCCTCCTCCGAACGTGTAACATCTGTGATGTAAATGAATGAATTCAATTTTTTTTAAATAAAGGAACTTATTTTCCTTCTAATTTCACCACGTTCAGCAAAATGAAACTATTCTCCACTGTCCCAGTTCTGCTCAGCGCTGATCACCATTTCCTACATTTGTGGTGCTTAATTATGACTCTTCTCCAATTAGGTCTTTCTTGCAAGTTCCTTCAAGTGCTAGAAACATAACCCACCAGATGATGTTCTTCCTTACGATGAAACTAATAGTTTCCTCTCGGGAAATAACCTACATAATAAATTCATCATGGCAAATACAATTCTGTCTACTGATTTCCTGTCAAGCAATTGTAAAACACTCGATTACTACAGGTTGTGAAAAAGGGTTTTTACAAATCATCTTGTACAATGCAGTGGTGGATTTCTTGAAACAATAATAATAGTGTTATTCATAAAATGGAGTGCAATTATTTTGAAGTGAATTGATTTATTAACTAGCAAACACACATTTTCTTCTAATGTTGTTTAGAAGAAATGTATAAATATGCTATAAATATGCAAAGAAGCTTTTAAATTTTGCATTAACTACTTCCAGAAATTAGTTAAGAAAAACAAATCAGGAGGCATTCGGATTCTACATTACAAACATCTTTCACATCCAAGCTAAGACAGAGGTCTACAAACCACAATTAGAGAGCTATAGGCATCAGACGCAGCAGGTACGAAAATGAGAAGGATAATTTTTCATGGTTGGTGGAAGTCTGCCTTGATTAGAATGCTTCCCATTATATAGTACCTGCTGCTTTGTTCTCTTTGGAGCCCTCTCCAAGGTAATCATTGTTGCAATGTCAGTATTGATCATATGCATTACCTTTAGATTCGTCAAATAAATCATCAATCGATCAGATTTAAAGGCACATCAAATTGGAGTGAAGTGGTAGGAACCCAAAGCGAATCACACTTGTCCCTTGCTTTCAGTGGCAAATCAATTCCTATCTCTGCAACAATAACCAGTGAGTGCAAATCAATTCTGGCTCCACTCTGAAAGGGTGCATTAAAGGCAGACGCAGACTGCTTTAAAGCACACCAGCTGTTTACTTTCTGCCATCACATCAGCTATTTCATACCTTAATGGTAAATCTATAGCAGTTCTGCCTAGAGTAACTCAGAGTAATTCTGGAGGCACATCAAAAACTCTCCTGGTTAATGGAGGACTTTCTTCATTTTGCATAGCTGTGCACTAAGGTGGGCATAGCTACAGACTCACTCAGTACAAGCTCTTGAGAGGCAATTCTTTCAAAACAAACTTTCACACAAAGCTTGCTATCAATCAGTCTGGATCAACTGGGGGTATCAGTCAGCCAGAATCAACTGACTGAGTATTCAGTCCAGTCCAGACAAACAGAACATACTCAGACTGAGTATGTTTTAAAAAAAATTGTACACCTCCATTTGGAGAGTGCAGCACTCACTGAACCAGCTGAGCTCCCACCTCTGCTCGTACAATACCGCACAAATTGCTAAGCAAAAATTGTTTCATAGAAAAATCATATTGCATGGAAGACCTGATGCTGTGTAGGATGCTATGAGTATAACTCAATCTTTCTGCATTAATGACATTCATGAACAGTTCACATTGTGAGAAGATGGTATGAGACTTTATCAGTACCCTCCAGCACATCAATTATTCTGTATCTATTACATAACATCTTGCAATATAGCCTCAAGGTTCAGTCTTTAATAACCAAGCCATCAGCTATTCAGGCTCATAATATTCTAATTAGCAATGTAATTCGATGTGAACAAGAGCACTGCACCTCTCTAGGATCCACGTCTACAGATAGATACCCTGTGGGTTGTAGGCTGGACTGGAATAAAAGGATAGAGATTGTAGCAATAGAATAAATTAAATCTTTCCCACCGGAAGCTGAGAAGCCACATAACACTGGTGCAACCTGCAGGTAGTTTTGTTTTCAAACTGTAATTCTCAAACATTCCCAGTGTTTCAATGTTCAGAAGCGAACCTGAAATTCAAACTGTAAGGAGCTCATAGAAGAAAGGAAAATGCGTCGGGGATAAGCACAACTAATGGAATTTCACCAGGACATTTAATCACATTCAAGCTATTCGGCTCTTGAATTAAAAAGATAATGACTGGCAAACAAAAAAAAATCACTTCTTACCTGTTTCAATATCAGTCAAATGAAGCATTGAATCAAATCCACCACTGAGGATCTGCCGTCCACACAAAGACCATTGAGCGTCACGAACTGCCCCTCTGTGGCAAAAGTATGTCTTCAAGCACCTGCTCGTATCAATAGCATCCCATACCTTTATGAAGGACAAACAATAGAAAAGGTCAGCGGTTAAAAAAAAACTTTGATTCGGAAAAAATCCAAACAAAATAGAAGAAATGGTCCAGACAATCATAATAATAATAATAATAATAATATAATACCTGCCACCCCCACCAAACACCCCCAAATTATTTTTAAAAATCTTGTTTCTCATTTTATTTGGTTTGGGATATAAAAATAATTTAAAAAATGAATTAATTCCGGGTTCACCAAAACCAGCACCTCAAAACCAATCACCGGTTGGAAATGATAGGGAATTACTGCTCAGTGGCAAATGTCTCAGACACATCTCACACATTCCATACATTGCTTTCGGCTACTGACACCTTACTGAAGTCATTGAATGTGCTTAAAAGACTTGATTAGAAGAGTATTGTTAATTATAACCAATTTTAGCTTGATCTTATTAAGCACAAAATCAGCTCCTCTTCAGTAAAGGCTTCTGAGAAATTAAACACCTTTGCTTCCAAACTCTCATTTATCAGTGGTGAATTCCAGCTCCATTTTTAGACTTAGAATAAAATTGGTAACTACACAACATAGTACATGTCCAGTTAGGAAAAAAGGTGACATGTTCAAGATTTCCTTTAATTACTGTGGATATGCATTTTGCCAGGTGTAATTTACTCTGGGCCAGTGAAGCCTCAGGAAGACTTTGCTTACCTATGCCAATTTGTTAAGGTATATAGATTGAAGATTCACAAGTAGAGAACAACGGATCAGCTTTTTCATGATCCGATAACACCTCTGCCCTCGGATGAAAGAGAATTGCATGCATACATATATGACCAGCTCTTGTCACAAGTTTCCTGTTGACTGTTGACTCGCCTGTTGACTATGAAGGCTTTTCCCCAGTGACACTTCTACTGGTGTTACGCCTAAATAGATTGAGACCACCCGTAAGGTGGATTCATTTCTCTTGCCAAAGTACTAATCATACCCAGATTGTAACTTTAAAGGCATATTGCAGCTTCTGCATTGATTTGATGTGAAAAACCACATCAAATTGTGGCAGAACCTATTACTTAACTGGCTGCACTTAGACAGACTCACATTAGTGATCAGTTTGATGGACATCAAACAAATCTCTTTAAAGATACTACCTTTACATAATGCAGAGAATAAAGCTTCAAGTGAATGTTTATTGAAGATCTAACGCTTTCTGGTTGCTTAATTAAGCAGCAGATCGGTAACCAAAGCAGAAATACACTTCTTAGTTTCAATTTGAAGTTGAATTAATATACAGTATTGTTGTTCGTCTTTGAAATCCAAAAGCTTATTAATAATCATGGCAAACAGCAGTATCAGTCGCAGTCAGCAAATACAATTACTGGAGAATTCTTGCTGCATGAGGTTGTTTAATGAGTGGGTGGCACTTTTAAAGTAAAGATGATGTGAAATAAGGACACCTTCATAATCCACCCACGTAAATAACACCAGAATAAACCCTTGGGTAACACAGTAGCTATATCTATATTACCTATTAAATGTAGGAGTAAAGGAATCCCTGAAGCAATATAGTGACCCAGATAGATCTGCAAATATTTGAGGGGCGCTGTTACAATTTCATGAATGTTAATGAAAAAAAGAAAGTAATTCTATCTCGAAATTGTGTTTGCTTTGTGCCTTGGAAATGGAGAGTACAGAAGCGATAGTATATTTGCATCTCACGTCCATTGGCGCCACAAATATGGATTCTGTGCAAATATATTTTCCAAACAGATCAGCAATTTGGTCTTTCCTGAATTGCCACTGGGAGCGCGACGTACAAATACTTGCATTAACCACTGCAGAGAATCTTTCGATATTTATGCATACTAACTGAAAATATTCCTAAATGCAACACAAGTCTGCACTGTGCCAACTGTTACATTGGCTCCTAATTACTTCTGTAACCTTAAAGTCTACCAACCTACCTACTCCCTCTGATCCACAGGCAATGGCCTGCTTCACGTTCCAACCTTGCCTGGCCCACCATTGGTAGTCGGTTGCAGACTATCTGCCCCCACTCTGCAGAACTCTATCCAGGAATATCTTCACCTCGCCAACGATTCCCAGTTTGGGTGCAAATCCTCTACTGTCCAATGACCTCCTCCTGATGTGAAAGCTCTATATAAATACAGTTTGTTGTTGTTATCTACTCTGACTTTGGTGTGTAATGAACACTAGTGGGATTTACTTCATGCTGAGGACCCTCTTTAGCAGCAGAAGCTATTGCTATTATGGTATAAGATCAATGAAAAGTGCACTTTTAAATCAGGTTGATTTAGCTTCGGCCAGGATTCTATAAAAAATTCAATTTATCTCTGAGCATCAATCAATCTAACAGATTTCTATAACTGGAAGCATCTGCAACTGTGATTATCAGTTATTATTTCTAATTGAGTTCTAAGCAGAGAAGCAGATCCAAATTTTCCGGAACATGCATCAGAATATAGACAATATAATTGCGGATGTGTTTGAGTGTATATTAGAGTGTTAAAAAGCTTAACGCAATGAAGAGGTTGAATTGATGCCAAACTGTGGCAGCTAAAGCTGATGGGCTTTGTAACCTTTCTTTGAATCCCAAGATTGTATTTCTCCACATTTACAGCCACCTGTTATCACATGTAATTGCACTGCAGTATAATGTAATTTACTTTTTAAACACTGAATATTATGAGTCAGCGATATGGAAAAATGCTGTTAAGACCAAATGTAAAAAAAGAGTAAAATATGGTGCATTGAACTTACTAGCCCAGTTTATGCAGATGCTCATACCAAAGGATTGTGCAAGTACATGACTTAATCTCCTCACGAACTGAGAAGAGATAATTGCCAAATANTTTTTTTCACTCAGTTGGTAGCTCTTAGCTGGCTCAGTGGGAGCACTCTTGCCTCCGAATCAGAAGGCTGAGTGTGGTGGGACTTTGAACACACATAGTTCACAAGGGTTGACATTCCAGTGCAGTGAGTGTGCTGCTTTCGGAGGGGTCGTTCTGTGTTTGAGACATTAAAACGAGGATCCATCTGCCTGTTTAGGTGGATGTTAAATATCCTATGGTACTACTCAAAAGGTGAAGCAAGTTCTGGCCCAATCCCCCGGATAAAATCAGTTATTCACTTCATGGGATGTAATTTATACTCCACTAGTGGTGCTGTCACTAATCAGTTAGTGTTAGCCCACTTGTGAGACATGTGTCACATACCATATAATCATCTATAATGTGGCTTTGGCCACATTTCCTACCATGCATTAGGTAGAGAAATGCACCTCCTCTAAAGGTTTAAACTGCAGATACAATTGATCAAATATAATTTTTTGTGGTAAGCGAATTACTTAATATTCAGCAATGGCTTTGCAAAGGGAAAATAAAGAATTGGAGAAATGGTGTGTAATAAAAATGCATTATAGATGCAAAGCATATTTTTGCTGGTGAACTTATATCCTAAACGAGGTACACAAAAAGATGCCTCTTTTAATACTGAATGTCATGTGCTTTAAAAATCCTTTAATTTCTTTATAAAGAACTCCCAATAGAAGGAGAACATTAGTCATATTGCCTTTGAACTACACACATGACAGCTGCTATTACTAAAATCAGTATGTATCTGCTGTAAACCTTTCTTGGGATTTCATTAGCCTCTCTACCTCAGAAATAACAAAATCTATCTGCAACCCTTCGCCATTGCTCTGGAAATCCCAGAGCGAGTTACTTTCTTTATTATACAGACATGCTGTTTCTATCATCAAAATGAGAGATAGGCTTGTGTTCAAATGACCTCACTAAAGTAATAATCAAGTCTGGTAAAGTGCCTCCCAGGCCTTTCCCCAGGTCACTGATGACTTTTTCCCCCTCCTCTGAACTTCTTGATTCTCTGAGGCTGCAAATCATTTTGTCCTGTGATTTATTGATTCCAAGGATACACAGTTTCAAACACTATTGCCTGTACTTTTTTAAATATATATTTAGACATTTGGCTCTATGACTTGAAACAAAAAATAGATTTTACCTCTACTTTCTTGAGGGTTCTGACTCATGCTGGAATATGGTTCCAACCTCCTGCATCAAGGGAGACTAGATGGGATATGTTTGGAGGCTATTTAACCATAAAGGCATCAAAGCCAAGATCAGTTCTGTTCTCATCCAATGTCCACATACGTGCTTTCACCCAGTAACCCTCATTGATTTTCTCTCCCTGGCCGAGGGCCTTGAAACCAATTGCAATATCCCTACTACTGTCCTGAACTGAGATTAACTCGCTGCACATATTGTTGAACCTAAAATGATTCAAAATGAGACAAAATGGCTTAGTTCTGCTATAGTTGTCACCAGGAGAGCAACAATTCTCATTTTTGTTTTGAAAAAAAGTTTTAGAATCTGCATTATTTTGAATTATTGATGATACTGTTTCTTAAAATTTCAAGAATTTCAACCACTTTTATTGTTAGACATCAAAGTTAATATTTTTTGCTTTTTCATATTACATTTCTAAACTTTATTCACACTATTATTATTTGATAGGTCAAAAGATTGTATATATATTTGGCATATTTGTAACTAACACGGAGACTTCATGAAAGAAATAGATAAGTTTAAGAAAAATAGTCAAGAACCTATTGCAGTTTAAAACAATCAATTTTAATACTTTTTCCCAAATTAAATCAATCGCCACAAGTTCTAAACCACCACCACAAATAACAATAACAACTTGCATTTATACAGCAATATATTTTAAGTTTAGTGCGCGAGTGTGAGGGTGGCGGAGTTCTGTTAATACACGCTGTTCGGTAGAAAATCCAGTCTACAGCTGAAGGTATTAAATTGAATGTACAAGTTTGCAGATGATATCACTGAAGTGTGGAGAAAATAGTACGTTCAGAAGAAAGGATATGAGTCAAGTGAAATTTATGGCAAATTAATAATCATTTACAGACATGATTCTATTAATATTGGAAAATATAAAGTGGGGCAAATTGGCATTGAAATTGAAAGATTGATTCCAAATAAATGTCATTTTTTTAATCAACTTAGCGTTTCCCTGGCGCCTCTATTCTTCTTCTCATTTTGCTCCTTATCAATGATGACGTCCACTTATCATGTAACATTTTTCACTCTTTGGCTGATTGTTCAACTTTCTTCAGATTGCATACTCTCAGTGCAATTGACCTTCATGCCTCTTACAACGCAATGACTAAATGTCTAAATCTGTGATAGTGAGACAGCGGTCATCATACTGAATGAACGGATTATGGAGGCAATGGAAAAGATTAGAGAAGGGCAACTAAAAGGATTCCAGGTTTTCAACCATTTTCTATGAAGGCAGACTAAGAAAACTAAATCTGCACTAACCTATAAACTCTGCAGCCCGGACTCTCACATGGAGAATTTATATAATTAAAATAAATATAATATAATTAAAAATCAATTTAAAAAGGACAAACTGGAACACAGTAAAACAATCAATTATAAACTGGGCAGCAAACAAGATACTTTAACAGTGTGCCACTTTAGGGAGGAACTTTACATTCAGTCATTCTGAGCTGGATTCAAACCATGGTATGAGAACACTGCAGCACTTATTCTCAATGATTTAAGACAAGTTTGGAGTCTAACAATACTGTTTGGATGAACATTATCCGAATTATTGCTCAATTCTCATCCTGCCATGTTTCGCCCACAAAATATAGTCAATTCACTTTACAGTCTATTCTGTGAAACACTTTGAGACATTACGAAGATGCGATAAGGCGCTCTATTAAGTGCAAGGTTTATTATTATTATCATTGCCTTCTTGGACCTATGATTGTAATGGGAATTTGGTTATTATAGAGGATATTATCTTACTCAACCAAAACATCCGATTTTGGTGTTAATACTCCAATGCATGCATAAACACAGCAGAAGTGTGTAAGACTACTGTACTGAGCAGCCTCATTGTAGCACTCGTTGCTTCTGTAAATGCCATAAACAACTCCACTAATATTGTATTTAAAACAATGCAATGTCTGGAAAACAGAAAATTACAACGCAAATGAAATGAAACTTCATATCAAATCAGACTGTGGAAATCACAAAGCAAACACTGTCAGCACAGGTCAAATAGTGCATCAGTTTGGCTCATCTGGTGGAGTGCTGCAGTCTCGCATCGACACATTAAAGATGTTTGAGAGCTTTTGAGTCCAGGAACAATCAGAACTGATGAAGATGTTCTGAAGAAATAATCAGCGTCAGGCTGGTGTAAGCATTTGGTGGATGACATAGTCTTGAAATACTTTGAATCGCAAATGTCACAACAGGCATAAATTATCAGCTATAGCTCCAAAGTTCTGTTTGATGAAAACTGAAATTAGAGCTTGGTTTGCATCCGACATCTGTTTCATTTATACTGATTTATCACTAGTCATACAAAGCTGCTTGATTTCAAATCAACGCAGTTCTAAAGGTGTGGCCAACCTTCAATAAATAGAAGCTTGTGCATGGTCTAACATATAGACTCCAAGAACATCACGTGAACGTCAAGTCAATCAGCAAGGAGCAAAAAAGGCTCCCTCCTCAGTTCAAAGCTCACAAGCTTCCCTCAGGAACAGCTGAGAGTGGTGTGTGAAATTCAAACGAGATCCAGATTCAAACTCAAAGCTTCTGCGGTAAAGGAATAATTGGCTTACTGGAGCATTGAACAGTGGCTCCAATAAAAGACGAGTGTGCGGAGGGCTGGAAGGGGTCCCCACAGGAGTTATTCAACACAAAGATTTGCAAAGTACAGTAAATGTCAGCTTCTCCTCAAAATCTGATCTTTATTATTTTGTTAAGCTGTTTTTTTCCCTGCTGATTATCCTTTTTATTCCTTTCCCTTCCCACTTCTCTGAACAGTTTTCAGCCCAGTTCAGAAACCCAGATATATATATTAATATAGAGTCACTGGAGTCATTCCATATGTACACGATCAAGAATACCTCCTTTACACGAGACAGGGAAAATTTGTTACACAATTTGTACACAACAATTACAGTCTTGGATAGACTTTATTGAAAGTGTAAGTAGTACAGCTCCAGTCAAACTTGAACACAAATCAAATTGATAGCAGAACGCAATACAGTCAAGTTTATGTATAAGTTCTTTGGAGAGTTTATCACTTTCAGCCCTTAATTCAGGTGAGAAGCGGAAAAATTTGCACAAAGATTTATTTGTTGCTGTCGGGTTTATTGGTCATGCCAAAATATCACTCTATGTACAATACATAAAGTAATCGTAAACCGTGACTTTACTGCAACTTGATCTACACCATGAGTAATGTTTTTGATATTTAGCCAATTCTGGTATAGTGATAGCTCCTAGGAACTGCCCAACCACACAGAAAAGTTAAAGCAATTATTGGTTGAAACAAATGCACATTCTATTTTAACGATTAATTGTTTAGGTTGAAAAATCAAATGGCAATTGGAAAACTGACCTGATAGTTTATTAGAATGTTATTACCCAGGCTGGTATTCAAATGATGACATTTCAAGCTCTAGTGGTTGACAAAGGACTAGTTAAATTGGTAAATAGTTATATTTAACGATTTGAAGGGTGAATAAAGAGCACCGATAGCACAATTAAGATTGTCATGGCTGTTTTATGTATAGGAACTGTCAGAAAGTGGCAGCGATCTGCATAACAACAACAACAAGATTACATTTGTATAGTGCCTTTCACGTTGGGAAGACGTCCCAATAATGCACTTTAGTGCATAAGGACACCCTGGTTAAAATCACTTTAATTTCCAAGAAGAAAATGGTGTTTAGCATGGTTGTGAAGCCAAACAAATCAGAACAATAAAATAAAGAACAAATACCAAGCAAAAAGAAAGTAGGATTTATTAATTTTTTTTACGAAATATTTAATCACTCAAGAGTTTATTTTGTATTCATCTGAGAGGCGTTACACTTGTCAGATACCTGATAGTCCAGGAAAGATGTCATTCGATCCTAATACTGAATACGTAAATTTAATGCTCAAATGTTCAATATGGACTTATAGCTAGTATGGCTCTGATAGGAATCCAGAATGGGATTCCTCTTCCAAGGCTGTCCCTCCCCATGCTTGTGATGATCTCAAGGTCCTCAAAGCAGAATTCCATGAGGAAATTTACCCCAACAATGTAATTGACGGTGCATTGAATAGATTTAAGAAATCAATCATTGAGATCACAAACGAATCAGACAGTTCCCTTTGTTGCAACTTTGAAACAGTGAGAGGAATAACATTTACAGTCTGTGGTAACTTACTGCCACCTTTAGGCGAGTACACATACCGTATTTCCATGGAAAGCAAATTAGACTGCTCTACATTGGATACAGTGAAAATAGTAAATAGCACTTCCTAGTGGCTTACCACAGAGAACCCCTGGCCATGGGCTTTGTAGCAAGTCTTTCGTCTGTACTTGCAAGAGATCTTTCAATTACTACATGTCAGCAATTACACGGCTCAGCAATGATTGTGAAAATTGACAGCTTTAATTCATTCAATCCTGTGTTACCGTTAAAATTATTGACATAAAGAGGACTACGCAAGACTTGTGCATATGAGTAAAGGTTTGTTTGTCCTTACAACAGTATCAGAATTCATATTTTAAAGATTAGATTGCACATAAAATACACCATTTGATCCACTAGCCTTCAAACACATTTTTAAATAATGTTCCAATAATAGCTCAAAATGAAACATGTTGCTTTTATTATATTCAAGTCTTCATGACATATTAAAACAAATATAAGTCAATGGAACATCAACAAGCAAATTTGCATTTTTAATCATTGATATATTGGCTGATATATAATAATATTAATAATAATAATTAATAATAATCCCTCAAGAAAAAAATTACAATAATAATTTAGTCACTCAATCCATGACTGTTTGTGGGACACTGCTGTGCGTAATTGGCTGCCGCGTTTTGCCCACAAATATATAGTCAATTCACTTTACAGCATATTCTGTAAAGCGCTTTGAGACGTCTCAAAGACGTGAAAAGCGCTATATCAAATGCAAGGATTATTATTATATATATTAATAAAATTAATACCACTGCTCACAACATAAAGCTGAACAAAGTGGCTCCATTTGAGGAAAAGTATTTGTTGGTACAGTACCTTGAAGGACTTGTCCATGGAAGCAGAGAGAAGCAAGTGACTGTGTTGCTGGATTGGACACCACTCTATTTTATTCACTGGTCCACTGTGCTCACACATCTGAAACAAGCAGCGCTTTGGAATTTCCGAAGTTTTGGAATGGTTCTCCAGATAAGGCTTAATAAAGTCTGAAACTCTGTTGAACGCATTTGACTGCTGATCTTCTGGAGCTGTGTATTTTTTCTCTGAGTTTAAGGCTTCTGCGTCATCTACAGTTCCAGACACCGCTTGCTCTTGCCTGAGTCTTTTAGGTATGTAAGGTCTAATATTTCCAGGGGTACCCCCAGAGTCTTGAAATGACCTTTTCTGAACGTAAGCGATCATCTTTGCAGGACGTTTGTCATATTTCTGCATCTGACCCAATAAATTTTGATGGTCACATTTAGAAGAAATATGAGGTCCCTGATGAGGACGCGTTCGGAGAGTCAAGGTTGTTTCTGGAGATTTGGGAGCTGTCTTCAAGTTTATCTGTGTAACGTTCCATTTGTTTTCCTCTGTAGTACCTGTGCTCAAATCTCCTGGTGATGAACTTTCCATCGCCAAGTCACAGGTAGATTTTAACCTTCCAGCATTTGGCACGAGTTGCTGGAAATGGGGTTTGGGGCTAACAATAAGATCATCTTCTCTTTCAAGACATCCGTCAGCCCCACATTCATCATTTTCTGTATCTGAACCTGAGGATTCATAGGCAACCAGAGAATTCATGTTATGCTTTGTAATACATCTGCTGATAATGATCACAGACCAGATGTTGTTCCCAAATCATAGGCTTCATCAGAAATATAGAATTGACATCCCTCCACCAACAGTCTGAATGGCTGTTACTGAAGGGCAACAAACTCTGTCACAGCTCATTCCATTCTCTAAACGTTGGGTTACTCCCTGACTTGCTCCTTAACGTTCTCTGGGTTACTCTCTATTACTCTTTAGGTTACTCTCTATTACTCTCTGGTCTACTTTCCATTACTCTGGGTTACTCCTTAGGTTACTCTCTATTACTCTCCGGGTTACTCTCTATTACTCTTTAGGTTACTCTCTATTACTCTCTGGTCTACTTTCCATTACTCTGGGTTACTCCTTAGGTTACTCTCTATTACTCTCTATTACTCTCTGGGTTACTCTATTACTCTCTGGGTTACTCCCTAGGTTACTCTCTATTACTCTCTGGGTTACTCTCTATTACTCTCTGGGCTACTCTCTATTACTCTCTGGGCTACTCTCTATTACTCTCCGGGTTACTCTCTATTACTCTCTGGGTTACTCTCTATTACTCTCTGGGTTACTCTCTATTACTCTCTGGGTTACTCTCTGGGTTACTCTCTATTACTCTCTGGGTTACTCTATTACTCACTGGGTTACTCTCTATTACTCTCTGGGTTACTCTCTATTACTCTCTGGGTTACTCTATTACTCTCTGGGTTACTCTCTATTACTCTCTGGGCTACTCTCTATTACTCTCTGGGCTACTCTCTATTACTCTCTGGGTTACTCTATTACTCTCTGGGTTACTCCCTAGGTTACTCTCTATTACTCTCTGGGCTACTCTCTATTACTCTCTGGGCTACTCTTTATTACTCTCCGGGTTACTCTCTATGACTCTCCGGGTTACTCTCTATTACTCTCTGGGCTACTCTCTATTACTCTCTGGGTTACTCTATTACTCTCTGGGTTACTCCCTAGGTTACTCTCTATGACTCTCTGGGCTACTCTCTATTACTCTCTGGGCTACTCTCTATTACTCTCTGGGTTACTCTCTATTACTCTCTGGGTTACTCTCTATGACTCTCTGGGCTACTCTCTATTACTCTCTGGGTTACTCTCTATGACTCTCCGGGTTACTCTCTATTACTCCCTCGAGTTGTTACCTCTTGTCCCCTCAGTTCCGGTTGGAGAAGCACAACCGGATGTGGGTCCGTCCCTCTAACGTGTCCGATGTGCAACCCCTGGCCGGGAGCCGCGGGCTGTGTCAGGGCTCGTGGAGCGACGCGAGTGAAGCGGGAGCCGATCCCGGGAGAGCGGAGCCGGAGCCGCGGGCGGGGGCGGGGGCCTGGGCCTGGGCCTCGCTGTGAGTGCTCACGGTGGGTGGGCGCCGGGAGCTGATGCACTGAGAGCCGAGAGGCGGCGTCAACCGCTCCCCGACTGACAGCCTCTCTCTGACGTGTCGCTGCTTCAGACTCGAGCACCGCGGGAGGGCCCTCCCCCCCTTCCTGCCTCCCCCCCCCTGCCTGTGAGATCCCACCTCACACCGAGCCTCGGGGGGGGTGCAGTTGGGGGGCTGTTGTGTGGGGGGTGTGGGTGTGGGGGCTGTTGGTGGGGTGTGTGTGTGGGCTGTTGGTGGGGTGTGTGTGTGGGGTGGGGGCTGTTGGTGGGGTGTGTGGGGGCTGTTGGTGGGGTGTGTGTGGGGGGTGGGGGCTGTTGGTGGGGTGTGTGTGTGGGGTGGGGGCTGTTGGTGGGGTGTGTGTGTGGGGTGGGGGCTGTTGGTGGGGTGTGTGGGGTGTGTGTGTGGGGTGGGGGCTGTTGGTGGGGTGTGTGGGGGCTGTTGGTGGGGTGTGTGTGTGGGGTGGGGGCTGTTGGTGGGCTGTGTGGGGTATGTGTGTGGGGTGGGGGCTGTTGGTGGGGTGTGTGGGGGCTGTTGGTGGGGTGTGTGGGGGCTGTTGGTGGGGTGTGTGAGGTGTGTGTGTGGGGTGGGGGCTGTTGGTGGGGTGTGTGGGGGCTGTTGGTGGGGTGTGTGGGGTGTGTGTGTGGGGTGGGGGCTGTTGGTGGGGTGGGTGGAGGTGATATGATGACGGGGTATTTATTATGCACTTGTGGAGACGAAAGAAACGGTTTCCCTTATCTGGATTTCCAACCCAAACCTTTAATCTGTCACCTCCAGGAGGGTCAGAGCAAAAGGAAGACATGGACTGTACTGCTGATGGTCTGGTTACACACAGACCAACTGTCCTTAATCAAGTGTAGGTGGGATACATAGAAATCTCACTTTGGTTTGGATTATTAACAATAATTAATAATAATCCTTGCATTTGATATATATATTTAAAATAGTACCTTCCAGAGCAGTAAAGATTAGCTATAGTTGTACACTGGATAGGATTCTGTAATATTGCTTTACTGTTATTTGGTAATGATCAGAATTGTTTGTGGCCTTAGTCGTTCTATGTCATTGCTATTCAAAGCAGATTTTTTTTTCTATCTTCTTAAATTCCGTATTCACAGGTACAGACATATAATCTCTTAACGAATGCCAATCCAAGTGAACATACTTTGCCATTACTAACTGCGCACATCGTCCCGCTTAGTCCATTCACTGGATCTTTCTTCATCTTTTCTGGACTGTGAAATGAATCCCATGGAACTGTACGAGAAAGTAGCTGCACAAGGGGAGTCTGTACGACTTCTGAAGACAAAAAAAGCGTCGAAGGTAAAATAGACGATGATCATTTTTTTTCTTGGATCATGTTAAATATACAGATAAACGCTGCAACTTAAATTGCATGCGCACATATAGCAACATGGCATTGATTCTTTAAAGCCTTTTTTCTTTAGCTTTACAGTGTTTGTGCTAAACCTATCACTTATGAAGACTGGAAAGCACAATTCTATTAATGATCTAAAAGCAGAATTTGTTGTCAGCCTGGCTCAATCGACACTGAGTCAGAAGGTTGTGGGTTCAAGCACTCCAGGGCCTTGGGACGTACTCCCAACGTGTGAGGTGCTGTACAAACATAATTTTGTTGTTATTTTGGGACTTTGAGCTCGTCGTCCAGGTTGACGCTCCAGTACAGTGGTGGGGGAGCCCAGCATTGTTCAGGAGTATCGTCCTTTGGATGAGATGTTAAACCGAGGTCCCATCTGCATGTCGAAGTGGCTGTTAAAGGTTCCATGGCGGAATTTGAAAACTTAACTGAAGATCCACACAGGATTTGGCACTTTCTAAACAATCTTTTTTTGTATAAAATTGTGCAGGAAGAAATTGATGCAGCAGTAAAGGAACTCTTGGCATTGAAGCTGGATTATAAGACACTAACAGGCGAAGAATACAAGCTTGGTAGCTCACCCACTAATATCGCACCAGTTAGTACTGACGGACCAGCAGTTGTAGAGGATGGTGGTGACTATGTGGATCCATGGACAGTGCAGACATCAAATGCCAAAGGCGTGGACTACGACAAACTCATAGGTGAACATTCCTGCAGCTGATCTAGTTACTGATATTGATGTTAATTTGAATATTATTATTACAAATCCTGTAGACTTAATGCGTTCTAATACATGATGTGTTCTTTTGAAACATAAGGAGCAGAGAGAAAATACATTGTTATTATGTATGAGGTAGCAGCAGCAACAACAAGTTGCATTTATATAGCGTACTTCATGCAGGTATAATGTACATTTTTTAATTCTTGGGTAACAAATTCTTGGGATAATCTGCTTAAAACACTGCAATTGTGGGAAATATAATCTGTAATACTGTAATACACGATTGCTACAGCAAAAGTTACTGTATTTGCAAGTAAATTACCTTTGTGCTTTTGAGGCACTTTGACTTCATAAAGTACTTATATTAAATGCAAGGCTTATCATTATTTGAGGTGATGCTGTGGTGCCTATTAATTGTCGAAATTTATTATTGTTCACAGTTCGTTTTGGGAGCAGCAAAATTGACCAGGAATTGATTGACAGAATAGAGCGAGTTATAGGTCAAAGAGCTCACCAATTTCTCCGCAGAGGAATCTTTTTCTCTCATCGGTTGGCAGATCTTTTTATCTTTTGTGCTGATTATAATGATCCTTATTTGCTCAATAAGCCTTGACGGGTTCCTAATTGTCGAACTTTTCTCATTACTATTTCCGCTAAGTTCCCGGTATATGTATGTATGTGTGGAAAATCTTGACGTGTTTTGAAGACGTACTTTTGATCACAATTCACTTTTTTTTCCTTAAAGGGATATGAATCAAATCCTTGATGCTTTTGAAACAAAAAAATCATTCTACCTGTATACAGGCCGAGGTCCTTCATCAGAAGCAATGCATGTGGGTCACCTTATCCCATTCATCTTCACAAAGTAAGTTGTGCTTTACCCCTGTCTGAATACTTCATGAATTGATTACGTCTTGACTAAGGAGGTTTGCTCATATTGTATATAAAAATAATACATTTCATAGAACATTTATTATTGTCAACGTGTTATTGGAGAGCCTTCCAGTTTTAAAAGTGTAATGTACAGTGTTTTTTTGTATTACTTATCAGTTAGCAAAACTAAATGTTAAAATGTAAAACATATACTTCAGTGGCCTATAATATTTCTGCCTTGCGAGTTATGAATATATATTGGAAGTGCTTTGCACAATCTGAGCAATTAATCTGTGGCGTTGTCTCTGTAAAGAAGCATATACAAATATTCACACCTTTGTCAATAAGTGCTTTCATGTTTGTCAATGTTTCTGCTGGGAGACGTTTGTAAGATATTTTACGACTATCTAAAGTTCAAAGCTGATAGTCGTGCGTGAATTTCCCCAAATGTATTTCCTTATCTTATTCCTATCTCTCTTAATTAGGTGGCTGCAAGATGTGTTTGATGTCCCGCTCATCGTTCAACTGACCGATGATGAGAAATACTTGTGGAAAGATCTGACACCAGAACAGGCTTATAAATATGCCGTTGAGAATGCCAAAGACATTATTGCTTGTGGCTTTGATGTGAATAAAACCTTCATCTTCTCTGATCTGGATTACATGGGGTATGTCCAAAGCAATATTACACTTGCACTTTCCATTATACAAGATTTTACAATTACCAGTGTTGGGTTTGATTTCAATGAAAATGCTGTAACAGTAATAAGGTAAAACAGGTCTTAGTGTGAATTAAAAGAAATATCATTAATATGTTCTCTGCATCTTATGGTTGATCTAATATTTTGTGTTAACACTGGTGTGTTTCAAAATATAGGAACCTGTGCAGGGCACTGCAACACTCCTGAAAGCTTATCTACTAAAGCAATTTATAAACTACCTCTCTGTAGAAGTGCATTATGACCACAATTTGGAAATGCATTGGATACTTGGCATCATGACAATCTTAATTGGCTTTGAATATAGCACAAGCCCATAATAATGAACAGATCAAACAGATTTTACTTGCCCTTCATTCTATGATGGGATTGTTCTTCATATTTAACTAATCTGCAACATATCTAACTAATCTGTAAATATTACCTTTTTTTAATTATGAAAGATTGGTAAGGTAACATCGAAGATTAAAGTTGTGTGTTAATGTTTTTTTTAAAAAAGTAATAAACTGTTTTCATCCACTGTGCTGCAGTCAGAGCTCAGGATTCTATAGGAATGTGGTTAAGATTCAGAAACATGTTACTTTCAATCAAGTGAAAGGCATCTTTGGCTTTGGAGACAGTGACTGCATTGGTAAGATTGAAGGTTGTTTGTTTTCAAAAATGGATACAGAATACAAAACATTACATTTGCACAGCGCTTTTCACGTCAAGAGGATGTCCCATGGCCCTGGACAGTCAGGGGTTTGGTGGGGCGGGGTGGATCAGAGAGGGTGGGAGGTTAGTAGTGCAATTTAGAGAAGTGGTTCATTGTGAATTCATATAACTGAGGAAAATCTACAATTCTTTGAGTAACGATCATGAACAATTAATTTAGGATATTATTTAAGATGAATAGTATAATTTATCCGGGTGCAGCATTCTGCACTAAACATTGTAAACCTCGACTCAGCAGAATAAGTTAGTGAACAGCTTTTTACGTTGGTCTATTAGGTCTGTTGGAGAACAGATGTAGCAGCTTCTTGTCACCTGTGATGTGAATGTAACTGCTCGTTTTAAGAAATATCTAATAGTTTGATTTATTTTTTATTCATTGACAGGGAAGATCAGCTTTCCCGCAATACAGGCTGCTCCGTCTTTCAGTACTTCATTTCCACAGATCTTTAATGGCCAAAAGGATATTCAGTGTCTGATTCCCTGTGCCATTGACCAGGTCAGAACCAAGTGACTGAACACATTTCAGCATAGAAGGATGCTATTCAGACTATCATGCAGTATCTCTGTTCTGCTACATGCCTCACTGCTTCTACAAACTCTAATCCCATATCTCTGCCGAGACATATTTGTGTTTATATACTTCCAAGTGTCTATCCAATTCCTTTTAAAGTCCTGGAATTGAGTTCAACTTTAATAACCACTTTTGATAGCATATTCCACGTCATAATTTTTCTTTGTACTGATTGTATAGAAACTGTAAAAAACACCATTACTTTTGTGTTGTGCTTTCAAACCTCAGCCATTGCCTCTCTGAAATGGTCACAAGGTGGCGGTCACGAGTAGCTGGAGCATTGGGCTCTCCGTCTGTTCCATGTTTCCTCATGTTGTTGTCCCAGGATTACAGCATTGTCCCAGGAAAAGTGCCTGGGTCAACAACAACAACAACAAGATTACACTTGTGTAGCGCCTTTCACGTCGGGAGGACGTCCCAACAAGAGAAAACAATGGAACAGGAGACCAATGCTCAAACTACTCACGTCCGCCATCCAGTGGTTTAATACATCTCTATCGCAATGCAACTAAGAACGACCTTCTTAAATGCGTCTAAGCATCTTCAGAAAGTTCAACAGACTTTGCATAAGAGACTCACAATTCCCTGCTGCCACACAGTGTACTACAAAGCCACCTGGCACTGAACAGTCAGTTCTAAACATTCTGCAAAGAAGATTTTAGAGAAAAACTAATTTCTCATTGTGCCCACAGAATAAAACAAAGCAAAAGTGGGCACAAATGAACTTTGTAGTAGTTTTAATTTTGGGAAACCAAAACAGCAAATGGACCAAAGGATGTTTTTTTCCTGATGTACAATAATTTTTATGTGTTTTAGAAAATAGTTTATTGGCTTTGGTACAGAATATATAGAATTTGATATCTTTAAACATGGATGCAGCAAATTCATTGAAATAATTACAGGCTGGCAACGTGTAAGTTCACATACTTAGAAATGCTTAATGAATCATACCTTAACAAGAAAAAAAATAAGGAAGCAAAGTCTGTATTTCCAATGTAAATGAATTTCGAAGCTATCGGAATAGCTATAAAAGCCATTGTGGTAAAAATAATTTATCAAATATGACACAGTTGATCATATTTCACCACCAGCTTTCTGAAAACGGCTCCAATGACACTTTGTGTGCTATTATTTGGCTTCTTTTCACCCTGATCCAGGACCCATATTTCAGGATGACCAGGGATGTCGCTCCAAGGATCGGTTACCCTAAACCAGCACTATTACACTCTACATTCTTCCCAGCATTGCAGGGAGCACAGACCAAGATGAGTGCCAGTGACCCCAACTCCTCCATCTTCCTCACAGACACTCCAAAACAGATCAAGACAAAGGTAAGATACAAGGCAAAATACCATTCAAGGTATCATTGTGTATCACATTTAACACTTAACAGTTAGTTCCTTTGTGACTCAGTTGGTAAAGCCACTACCATTAAAACATGGCAAACTGCATTCACACCTTTTATTATTTATTATCTTAACTATATAATCTCTGCTTAGATCAACAAACATGCCTTTTCCGGGGGCAAGGATACAATTGAAGAACACCAAAAACTTGGTGGCAACTGTGAAGTAGATGTCTCTTACATGTACTTAAGCTTTTTCCTGGAAGATGATGAGAAATTGGAGAAAATAAAACAGGTCGGTCTGATCATTTATTTTTCTGAATACACACGATTCTGAGTGAAGATGTCGGTATTCCTAGAGCACTTCTAAGTTACGCTTATTTTAATTAACTATTTTTTCCATTGTGGGTTCCTTGAACTTGCGTTGCTCTGTCCTCCACTAGGAAATCCATGTTGCAATGGGATTAGGTTTTGACATTAATTTTCCTTATACCTGTTGGAACAGTTACAGGGCATCAAATTGCTAACAGGTTTGTGCTATGTCAAATGCGAGGATTATTATTATAATTGCCCACAGTAATTAATATAAATTTTAGCTGAGAACATCGATTAAGTTTACCATTCCTTGTTTGATGACAACAAATTCCTGTTTCTTCTTTAGGATTACTCAAGTGGAAAACTCCTTACTGGAGAATTGAAGAAGAGTTTGATTGAAACATTGCAGCCTCTCATAGCAACACATCAAGAACGACGCAAGCAAGTGACGGATGAAATAGTGAAACAGTTCATGACTCCTCGAAAACTAGCTTATGACTTTTAATGGTATTTACTGGCTTCAAAATTTTTAATGCTCAATACACAGAGATTGTCCCATCTCAGGCTAGGTCTTGTTTGCATCATCTAGAATCTTAACAGGACCTTGAAATTAGATGTAACATCATGCAAAATAGTAATATGGAATCATCAATAAATGCTGTTAAATTATCACCAATCATTCTTTCAAGGAGTGGTGCTTGTATTTCCATCACTTCGGTTTAGTCCATGCTAGGTTTTATACACATTCACCTGATGGCAGTCGATTAATAAACATTTCTGGGTAGACTTTTGCACTAAAACTAATAATACAGTACTTGCATTTGATCTTGCTCCTTATCACGTTGCCTATGCTGCACAATCCAAATAACACAACCAGTCAGTCTCGAATGAAATTCCACTACAATGCAGATCTGAGAACAGGTAAGAGGTGGAGATGCTTTACTGAATCTATGTCAGTCGTCAATCATGACTACTACACCTTCAAATCTAATCCACTACCCTCATTGTAATTCACACGTTTTGTTTAGTCTATACCACAGAGTAGGGGTGTAATCCACAGGGTTCTCCTGTGCGAAAATACATGAATGGACCTGGGCTTTCAATCTTATTTAGCAAGTCCTAAAAAATAAAATAGGATATGCAGCATTGCTTGGAACCCGGTTCTGGGGTAACTGTTGCTGTAGAATTATGTCTGAAGTGGCAGATTTACGAGAATTCAATACCTGCCTGTCGATTATATATTGATTGGATTCATAGATTTCTTTAGTTAAGCACTTTTCACTGAAATCCACCTGGGTTGGCCCCCATACACAATCTAGTGCAGGCATTTGAATATTTTTGTACACTGTATAGGAAGCTAACACAGCAAAATATTGAAAGCAATAAAACTTGCGTTTCCTGCTATCTTCTCTAACAGACCAAAGAGTACTTTGATCAGATTGGGTTCCAGAAAATAAAAGCACAGTAGAGAAAATGCTGTTTATTGCCAGGAATGGGAAAATATACTTTACGTTTTGGGAAAATATATACAAATACATTCATGCTCAGCAACTTAATCTGATGTCAAGTGCAATTCATCGGAATAAATATGAAATGTTTAACAATTGTTTTCAATAGAATAAAAATAAATTGAATATTCATATCTAGTTATTACACCATTAAGTACATTGTCAGAATGAAGAAAGAATATCAACATAACAATTTATTAAGATATTCCGTTATGAAAAATGAATTTATAAAATTTCAATTTTCCCTTCAGTTTAGCTGCTCTGGTATTATAGGTCTAGATTTTCAAATAGCTAAATATATGGAAAAATAAAAAGTCATAAATAATAAATGCAGAGTCCATAGAGTACTGATTAGAACACTCGCCTCGCAAGCGAGAGGATCCGGGTTCAATTTCTGGGCAGGGTGAAACCTTAGGCAAGTTTCCTAAGGTTGCATGATACTTGACCATGCCTTCAGCCACTCTCCTCGCTTCTCTGCACTCCCTGATTCCAAACCTCCCCCGCTTGAGTCCTAATCCCTGACTGTTCGTCTTGGGACGTCCTCCCGACATGAAAGGCGCTTTACAAATTTAATTTTGTATTGTAGAAGGGATAATAATTTGGTCACTCAATCCACGACTGTGGGACATTGCTGTGCGCAATTCTCTGCCGCGTTTCGCACACAAAATCTACAATCGAATCACTTTACAGTGTATCCTGTGAAGCGCTTTGAGACGTCTCAACGACGTGATAAGGCTCTGTATCAAATGCAAGGATTATTATTATAAATACAGGTCCACGTTTAAGAGACCAGACAGCCGTGTGGTGTGCAGCTAAAGGGTTTGAGCACACATCCTGCTAACTGATACTGAACAGAGGACAAGAAAAAAAAACTCTGAACAATTTTCCCTTGCCTATCTTAAGGTTGCTGAGACCAACTGTTGTGCCTCTACAGTTACCTCAGACGAGAATAGTGAATTCAGGATTGGGGATCTCCAAGTCTGAGCACATGTGTTGTGCTACTAATACATAACCTTAGAAGAGGTGATGTCACGTGGAGAAAGAGATGAAATATCAGGCTGGACCACTTAGCCATGAATGAAACGTGAGGGTTCTGAGGAGACTTCCCAAAATAAGCCAAGGTTCAAAAAGAAAGAAAAAAGAAATGAGGGATTACTAATGCATCGATCTGTATGTAGTCGACATTGCCCTGAAAAGCTTTGGTTAACATTAGAATTGCCTGGTTAGCATTACAGGTTATTCTTATAAACTTGACATTGTGCTGCCCTTGTCAAGTGCTCTGGGATGGGGCCTATATCAATGCAATATAAATGCAAACCCTCATGCACACTTTCATTACATCGAGGGCGACTATAATAATAATAATAATAATCCTTGCATTTGATATAGCGCTTTTCACGTCGGGAGGACATCCCAAAGCGCTTCACAGAACACACTGTAAAGTGAATTGACTGTATATTTGTGGGCGAACGTGGCAGCCAATTGCGTACAGCAATGTCCCACAAACAGTCGTAGATTGAAAATGACCAATTTATTATTGGTTTTGGTTTTGGAGGGATTATTATTAGGCTCTGTGTTGAGTAAGGAAACTTGCCCAAGGTTTCACCCTCTGCCTGGAATTGAACTCAGGTCTCTCACTTGAAAAGTGAGTGCTCTAACAACTGAGCTACAGGACTCCACTCACTGCAAACTCACTGCTTGTCGGCCTTCCCAACTCCTCCCTCCACAGGCTGCAGATCATCCAGAACTCTGCAGCCCGTGTCCTCTCCCGCACCAGTGCTCCGTGACCCTATCACCCCCATCCTCGCCCGACTTCACTGGCTTCCCATCACGCAACGGATTCAGTTCAAGATCCTGGTCCTCACCTTCAAAGCACTCCATGGTCTTCCTCCCACCATACCTCTGTGACCTCTTAATCCCCTACCATCCTGCTCGCTCCCTCCACTCAGTGGGTTCCAGTCTGCTTCACATCCCCCGCCTCACTCGCCTCACAATTGGCGGGCAGGCCTTTTGCCACTCTGCCCCCACCCTCTGGAACTCCATCCCTCAGTCCCTCTGCCTAGCGCCCTCTCTTGCCTCCTTCAAGACCCATCTGAAGACCCTCCGCTTTGACCGTATTTTCGATCTCTCTGCTTCGCCCCCTGCCCTCCACCCTCCTCGATCCCGACCCCCAGCTTGAGTCCAAACCTCTGTTTGTCCAACGCCTCGGGACGTCCTCCCAACATGAAAGGCACAATACAAAAGTAATTTTGTTGTTGGTGTTGTTAGTTTTTTTTATGCTCCATTTCTTAGTGATAATAGTTCAATAAAAACAAGCATTTCAAATCATATTAAAAAAAAACATTTACAGCATTCCCTTCTCATCCCTTGAGGAAATAAGGTTCCCAGGATAGTGAGCTAAAAGTTCCTGAAAGACACAAGATCTGGACAAAACAGATGTTCTGATCCACATTTAAAAAATCTCATTCACATTCAGGCCTCTCCACGCACGGTACAGTAAAGAAACACAAGGAAATTGCCTTGGGAGAATCCTCTGGACTAACATCCTCTGGATGCTTATTTTCTTCATTCCTTTAAGGTAGTTTTTTTGAGGAGTTCCAGTATAGTTTCATAAGTTACAAAAGTCACTCCATTCACTGGAAATGCACGCAAGCAGTTCAAGGTCAGGCCCTTGAAGAAAACTCTAATCCCCTCACGCTTGAAGCTTTTGGTAATACAGTTCAATACTCCAGTGTATCTCCGTTGGCCCATGCCATCCATCTGCATGCGAGACTTCATGACATCCATTGGGGTCGCCAATACCCAGTAGGTCACTCCCGCCCACCCGCCAGCCAGCAACTTGCTTGACCAACCTGCGAAGAGACAAAGCTATTGATTAGTTAAAATTAGAAATATTTTCTCCAATTTAGGCAACGGCTCACCAATAATCTCACTTGACATAAGCCTCTTCGTGAACATGACAGTCTAAAGCTGCCCATACACGTAAGTAACTATTTAGCTGGTTTCTCTCGAATGACATTACCAGACTAATTGCCTTTTACACAAAAAAAAGTGGCAGGTATTGTAATGTCACAAACCCACACAAGAAGATAGTACTGTTGAACATCATTATTTTAACTGAAAATCAATCAATTGTAATAGCAGAAGGAAGACGACAAATGCTTTGAGACTTCCTCCTGACATGAAAGGTGCTATATAAATGTATATTGTATAAATCTCACAATGACAGAGCACTAAATATCCTACCACATCTTGCATCACCAACATGTAGAGAACAATTACATTTATGAAAAGGGTATTTGTATAGTCAGCTACCTGAATGCCTCACTGTTTTCCTTAAACTCTACGAACTTACAAATGAAGAAATCACATCCTATTTCTGAACGTTCGTACCACTGTATACGTCAGAACGCAGTCAAATAAATTCCACAACAACAACAAGATTCCATTTATAGAGCGCCTTTCACGTCGGGAGGACGTCCCAAGGTGCTGTACAGTTGGGTCAGGACCCGAGCAGGGGGGAAATGGTCAGGGGGAGGGGAGGGAAGGGAGGGAGCGAGGAGGGGGTAGAGAGTCGAGAGGGAAGCTGAAGGCACGTTCAAAGAGAAAGGTCTTGAGACCGGCCTTGAAGGAGGAAAGGGAGGAAGCGGCGAAGGCACTGGGGGATGGAGTTCCAGAGCCTCGGGGCTGAGAGGCTGAAGGCCCGGCCACAGATGGTAGGGCGGTTGAGGCGGGGGATGTGGAGCAGACCGGAGCCACAGTCAGCACTCCCGAATGTTTTCTTTAAGGTGTTTTGTATTATCTTAACTATCTATCAGTATAGGCTTACTGTTCAACTGCAGCATAAACACTGAGCTCAAGTACATCAAATGACCATTTGATTTACAATCGGTAGAAAATACATGCATTTATGTCTGTAAAACTGTAAGTCCAAATAAAAGCAAGCTTTTTTAAAATACCTCTGGAGTCTTGTCCTTGTGGAGTCAACCATTCAGTAAAAATGGAGTAAGACAGAAAGTATAATCCAAAACAGGGAATGTCCCTTAGCCACAGAGCAGTAATACCTCGATAAAGACCACAAATCCCTTCCTCATTTAGTACTGTCATCATGCAGTGAATTGGACCTCTGTATTTGGCCTTTGATAACAGACCAACTGTTGCAGGACCGTAGTAAGTGTTATGAGGATGAGTTTGGTTCTGCTGCCTTATCTTGATCAGGTCGATGGGAGCGAACACCATAGCCTGGGAACATGCAGCAAAAACAAAAATAGACAAATGAGAAAAACAGATGCTTACTCATTGATCGCAGCTAAAGAGTTGCGTTATGTAACAAAGCTGGATTGAAAATATGGTACGTATAATTAAGAAAAAAACAAGAAATGATTAGAACCTTGCAATTGGCCACAGAAAGTTCTCTGTGAGTTGAAATAATAATACCAATCCTTACATTTGAGACAGTGCCTTATCACACAGTTGAGATGTCTCAAACTGCTTCACGTGATATATTGTAAAATATTTGACTGACTGTATTTTGTAGCCAAAACACATTGCCCCTGCACTCCCTTGCAATACTATAGACTTTTTAATCTATTAAGATGGGAAGTCACAATACTGCATCTCAATTTGCAGAGAGTTTCCTTTAACCTACTTTAAAGAAAAAAATAATGTTCCTGCGTCTTACACTTAAGCCTTTCAATTTATGATATTGGTCATAATTTTTATTAAATAAATAAAGGATATCGCTCTCATTATTTGGGTATCCTCTCTCCTAAAATAATGCTCCATTGTATCAAATGATTCTATTTTGTAGAGATGGAATAACAACGCTTAATGCAGGTAATTCAGGAATTCAAACCAACAACGGTTGCATCCACACAATAGTTAATGAACATCACAAAGATCCTCTGCTTATGACTGTTGTAATGAGGTTTGGAAGATGCTTTAAAAGGAGCGATCTTCAGAGAACAGCTTTCTACATAAAAATAATATGGGCAATTTCTACCAATTCGCAGATCCAGCTTTAGCGGTAGCACAACACGCATCTGATCCGATTATCCACTGTCCCACCAGGAGAGAAAGATAAAGGATGTAATTCAAATTTGTCTGACCACAGGATCAATCTTAAACCTACATTGTTCTGAACTGCAGTTCAGAAATCATTTTAACATTTTATGAGAATAAACATTTTATGAGGTTGTATGGATCTGTTACATTTGTGGTAACTTTCCAGCTGTGTTCTGGAATCATAATTAACAATCACACTAATTTCCTGATAAAGTACTTATAAGCAAACAAGCTGAATAATACTCTACATGGTTATCACAATCTTGTTACATACAAAGTACCTCAGCGGTTCCTGCAGAACAGCCGGCAACAAAAACATCAAATCTGGATGGTTTCACCTCTGAGCTCCCGTGTGGCAATGTGCATAAATAATGAAGGCAATTTCTGTATGTACCAAAACAAACCGAGCTGCACAGGGACACAGACAGAATAGGCAACGCCATTCCTTTGTAAAATCCATGAATCTAGGTAATAGAGAATAACATGAGAAGGTATGGAATGAGGAAATGCCACTCCAACACTGCTTTTACAGAAAGCTACCCTTATTGTGGAATTCAGCTCAATAAGTCCCTTGAATCCCAACGTAATCTAACATCCATCTGACCGCCACATCTCCACTGTTTAAGCTTCGCCTAACTCCACAAGTAAAATTCCTACCATCTTCCTCCCCAGATCTAGCTGTTCAGAAATTCCAGTGTCCCATGGAGTATTTGTTCATCTCAAATCTACATCTGCTGGACTTAGGATCTAATACAGGGTGCTGCTGACTAACCCATCTAACTCACCAATAGAAGCTGAAGGGTATAGGCATGCCACAAAACATTACAATTCAGAATAGGAAGATTCCTTCTTAAGAAACCCCATTAAAGCCTATCACAAATGAGATCCGGAAATTGACATTTACCTTTTCTCTCTGGTAGGTTGATTTAATACAGTGCCATATACCAGTGTACACTTGCTGGGTCTGAATTCTCACCTGGTGAAACAGTGTCTATATTAACTATCGTGTAAAAATAAATACAAGTACAAAATAACTATAAATAGATATAATACCTTGATTGTATCCAAGGGATATCCTATAGCAGTAGCAAGTCCACCTTTGATGCCAATAGTGTACAAGAAACAAAAGGTTAACAAAATTACAGCTGATGAAACTGGGACGTTTTCTTTAAATGCAAACTATAACAATCAATACAACACTCATTGCTCTGCTAAGCAAACATGCAAAAGAACTGAAGTGTATCAAAAGGTCACAGTCAAACCATGTTTGAGGCACGAACACCAAGTTGAACTGAATTTGAGAACATTTGCAAATTTTAATCAGCTGATCACTTCAAATTGGAGCCTCCTCCTGCCCTTCCGCAACTAAGCCTTCAAGCATAACCTTCTATTTGTTTCTCCCTCATGTACCTCTCTAGCTTCCCCTTAAATACATCTATGCTATTTGCCTCAACAACTGCTTGTGGTGGTTTGTTTCACATTCCCACTACTCTCTGTGTGAAGAAATTTCTTCTGACTTCCCTATTTGATCTATTTGTGACTATTTTATATTGATGGCCCCTGGTTTTGGTCTCCCCCACAAATGGAAACATCTTCCCTATGTCTACCCTATCAAAACCTTTCGTAATTTTAAAGACCTCTATCAGGTCACCCCTCACCCTCCTCTTTTCAAAAGAGTCCAAGCTTGTTCAGCCTTTCCTGTTCTCAGTTCTGGGATCATCTTTGTGAATCTCCTCTGCGCCCTCTCCAGTGCCTCAACATCCTTTCTATAATGTGGGGACACAGTATTCTAAGTGTGGTCTAACTAAGGTTCTATAAAAGTTTACCATAACTTTGCTGCTTTTCATTTCTATCCCTCTAGAAATGGCAGCTGACAGGTCTATAGTTCACTGGGCTTTTTCTATCTCCCTTTTTAAATATAGGTATAACATTAGCTATCCTCCAATCCTCTGGCACTACTCCCTTTTTCGATTCTTTTAATATACGTGAATGCAATCCATCTGGACCAGCGGTTTTATCCTTCCTGAGCTTCGTTAGTTTTTCGATTATATCTCCTCTTTATATCTTAAATGTATTTATATTATTTTCAATCTCTTCTTCTACTGTCATGTCCACCTGATCCGTCTCACTGGTGAATACTGAGGCAAAGTAATTATTTAATATTTCGCAGTCGCGGCCTGTGACCTTATCTTGTCCATCCCTTAGTGGCCCTATTTCTATTTTGATTTTTCTTTTGTTATTTATGTCTGTAGAATATTTTACTATTTCTTTTTATATTCCTTGATAATTTAATAATTCCTCTTTGCCTTTCTAATTGTTGTTTTTTGACTATTTTCCTGACCTCTTTGTATTCGTTTTTGTTATGCTCTCCCTTATTGTTTAGGTACTTAGTGAACGCCTTTCCTGAGTCTCAACTTTGCCCTTATGTCTTTATTCATCCAAAGCTGTCTCATTTTTATTTAACTTTGTCTTGTTTTTTAGCAGAATATATTTCTCCTGGTCTCTATTGATCATTGTTTTAAATGCTTCCCACTGCTGCTCTATCTCTTTGTTTGCCAATACTGTTTTCCAGTTTCTTTTCCTCCCTTCTTGGGCCTCTTACATACTGGGTAAGAAAGGAGTCCTGTACACATTGAAGGAACTCCATTCCCTTATCCCCTTTACCTACCTCTTCCAGCTAATTTATTTGGGGGTAGGTGAAATCCCCCATGTTTATTACTCTATGAATTTTAACCATTTCCCCAATTTGCTTGCATATTTCTTCCTCTACTCCCTTCCACTGTTAGGTGGTCTGTCGAGTACCCCAATTTGTGTGATTTGATCCCTTATCTTTTATCTCTATCCACACATTATGAGATCAATGTGTCAAGTCATGCAAAACCTTATCACAATCACTGCTGTGACAAAATACCTTCTGAATGAAAATGAATAGTACTTAATATGAACAGCTTTGCCTATCTGATAAGGGAATGGAGAACCAGTGCAAACCCTTTGTAATTTAGACCCTAATTTGGGGGGTTTATTTCTGGCCTCACATTAGATTTAATGGGTTGGAACCAGAATTTATTCAATCGAGCCAATGAAACCTTTCTACTCACCAAAAAAACTGTCACTGGATCAGGAGCTGGTTGACCAAATTGAGAAAGCAAATTTCAAGTCCAGTTTCAGTAAATAACTCTCCTGCTGTTATGATTCTAGAGTAGAAATGGAGTTTAGTCTAGCAGTTAAAAATGCTGATCTGAAATTGACTTTCAGAAAATGACTCCTTTCTGTTTCTTATGGCTGAATTTAGTTATTTTCCACGGTTGCAATCATAGAGTCAGTGTCTGCACAGAAACCATGCAGGGATTTTACATTCAATAGACCTTGGCTTCTATTTACCCGTGATTTACTTTCAGATAATCTAAAAAATGCAATGCTAAGGGCTCAGATTTACAGTGTAAACTGACACCAGTTCACTCAGTGATACAGTAAATGGTTCAGACACAATTTATCCCGAAAATATAAAAAAAAACTTTATAACATTGGAATAGAAACGATAACGTCTCTGTGTGTCTAAATGCAACGCTGTACAACCGAAAAGCAAACCCCCAGCATTGTAGTCCTTCAGGTTAGAGCAATTATTAGAAGGAGAGCAAACAACTCACAACATGCTTTACACCGCGTTATCATTAAGGACACAGGCGCGAGGCTGCAGCTGTGCAAGTTACAGAGAGAATGCAAAGAAGGAGGAGAAGAAGAGGATTTTTCTCGTGATTTTTTTTTACCCGCAAACCATCCGGCCAGGAAGTCAAGACAATGCATCTTCCACCAGTTTCCAAGTTGTCTGCGGGTCTGAGCAGGACAGGGCGGCTCTGCCTGGTGGTGTGAAGCGCAGGCGCAACTCTATCAACCCTGACAAGGTGATCAGCTCCTGCTGTGTAACAGCTCTATAGAGCAGAGCCACACAGCAGCTCTGACCAGGATCTGATTTCAACCAATGTAACAGCCTCTGGGTCAGGGAAGGGGGAAATCAGACGTGGGGGGGGTGGGAATCCAGCTATGAAGTGAATGACCTACAGACCTTCAGGTGGACACTATATCACTATTAAACATCTCAATGGAAGGAGCAGCTTCCAAGATCCAGGAATTATTTTCCTGTAAAATACTTTCAAATGCCATAATCCTATTACAGTGCTTGTTTCTGACATTTTTTTAAAGGTAGTGGAACATTAATGGATTGTGGCTACAGGACAAATGATCTAATCGTAATGAGTAGTTTATGATACCAAGATTAGATTATACCTTTAAATCACTCCAGTGGATGGGTTAATTTTATGGAGTTGTTTTGTTCATTTTGGGGGCTGTTTTCATGAAAGAATACAGAAACTGACCATCAGTACATTCCATATTATTGATAGCTAACACATTTAAATGGAAGGAATAGCAATTTTGATGTGACCACAATTAATTTGTGAAGAAATGATCTGCAGTTGAATACCAAGAAATTCTGTGTGTGGAATGTATTCAACTATTGTGTACATTTTCAGGAAGTAAATGGGATTATTGTGTGTTCTTCATTGTTAACATTTTTGTTTAAAGGCTTCACAGCATCCTTGCCCTGTGAGCTAAATAATGGAGCAAACGATACATTTAAAACAGTTCATTTATTGTTTGTTTAAAACTATCTTGAGTTTATCTTAAAGATAAGAGTCCTCCATAACCCTCTGTACCAAAATAAATTAGGCTATGTAAATATTATTATTTATTGAGTATTTATGTGAAAACTTTCCATTTGGCATTTAATAATAATAATAAATAATAAACCTTGCTGATATGTTTCTCTTCCCTTATACCTTGGGGATACTGAAGCCAAATGAACCATTCCCTTCCTTAATAATAATAATAATGTATTTGTATAGCACTTTTCACGTTTTCTAGATATCTCAAAGCACTTTACAGAGTATAATGTAAAATGAATTGACTGTATTTTTTTGTGGGCAAAATGCGGCAGCCAATTGCGCACAGCAGTGTCCCACAAACAGTCATGGCTTGAAGTGACTAATTTATTATTGTTTTTTTTTCTTGAGGGATTATTATCAGGCGGGTGGAGTAAGGAAACTTGCCCAAGGTTTCACCCTGCCGGGAATCAACCCAATTCATACCAAAGTATGTTTCAGGCAATTCTTTGAGAAACACCGATTGAATGACTCATAAATTAACTCACGGCAATCTTTTGATTCTGAACAGATTAAATTCCCGGGAGGTTACGAAACTGTTTAGAGGCGCTGATTTTTTGGGGGGAAGAAGATAAAAAGATAATATATTTTTTGACTAGATCAATTAAAGGTACTTTGTGTTCAGCAAAGGAATACTTCAAATTTCGATTTTTAAACCATACAAAACCAAACAAAATACATGCAATTTCTCAGTCTGAGGGGCAAGCCATCAATTACAACTCTGAGAACAAGATTATGAAATTACCTTCTCCTTTAAGAATGTAATTCAATTGACATTAGCTTTGGTGTGCCATTGGCAATGCTATAGTATCACTTGCTGGGTGTCCAACTGGAAAATGCTCAATTCCCCAGGACTGAAATGCACAGCATTCTGACCCTGCAACAATCTCAATATCTTGACTTCTCTCTTTTGCTCCATTTAGATGTTGCTAAAGAGGAAATCAGCAAACTACTGCAGTTATGATTCCACCTGAAGCTGATTCCATTTTTAGTAAAATGAGTGTAGCCTTAAGCACATTTAAAATTTCACAATCAAGCAAGCCTTGACAGATAAATGTTTGTTTTCATACTACAGTATCCTGCCTCTAGATACTCAGATTACATGGTATGGTAAACAGCAACATAGATTTAAATCAAACTCCAGTACTATTTTAAATCCCTCTAAACTCTCTTGGATTTGGTACTTACTCTCACAGGTATATTTGCCATTTGAAGGCCCACTTGTCAGGATCATTGTTGTAGCGTAGAGGCAAATATTCCTTTCCTTGTAAAAGAAATGGAAGCAATTGCATTTCTCTGGCGCCTAATCGTGTTTGGCTGTGATCTCTGCTGAAAGCAAAGACAATTTTGCTTTTGTAAGCAATTGTGGCAGCCATTTTGCACACATCGTGGTTACAGAAACAGACTCGAGATCAATAATCACTTTACAGCGAAAATCCTGGCTCTTCGACAAACTATCAGTGACGCAGCAAGAAAACTGGCCGTCACGTGAGTTAGCCCCGATCATGTTTCCCCACCCCCCCCCAAAGAAACTAAACTAAATAAACATATAGCCAATGATTCCCCCAAATAAAATTGCCGACTCTCTCCGTGGCTGTTTGTGGCACATTGCTGTGGGCGAGTGACTGCCTCGTTCCGCCCTCAAGATTTCACTCCGGCCAGAAATTGGTGAAAACCCGTAAACCCCAAACCCCTCCGGAGCGATCTCATCTGAAGAGCGCTCCGGGACGCTATCCTCCCTGGCGCTCTGCGGCGAAAGTCGCCGCCGTCAGGCTCGAGGAGCGTGGGGCGGGGGGGGGGGTGGGGGTGGGGTGGGGGGTGTGGGCGAACGGAGCGGAGGCGCACGGATCAGCCGCGCCCGAGCTCGGGAGAACGGCGGAACGGGCCGGAAGGGCCGCGCGGACCGGACCCCCCCCCACTGCCGTCCCGCGCCGGAGCGCCCTACGGTTTGAGGGGGTGACGAACGGCGCGATGGGGCGCTGTGTCAGGCGCAAGGAATAAAGGAAGAGAGAGAGAGAGAGAAAGAAAGAAAGAGAGAGAGAGAAAGAGGGGGTAAATAATGTAACACAGGAGTTATTTGGCTACTGGTGCCATCAACCAGAGCAGTGCCTGTGGAGCCGAGACGTCTGACTGCTCAGCCCTGTGGCGGAGACCACAGCAGCCAATGGTGCGAGGGGCGGGGGGGGGGGGGGGGGGGCTGGTGGGGTGGGGGGGGGGGGGGGCTGGTGGGGGTGGGGGGGGGGGGGGTGGGGGGCACTCCCCTCCCCTCCCCATTGGTGCGAAAGCGGCGTATAATCCGCCCTTCCAGAGACTCGTTCGAAAGAGAATATTGCAACAGAATAAAGGAAGAGAGACCCACAGAGAGAGAGAGAGGGGGAGCGCAGCCGTGAAGGACAGAGACTCCCCCACACACACCCCATGTGTTTCTGTGCGTTATAAAGTGATATCAGGCGCTGGTTCTGTCTCCCGCTGTGCGCGGTGTGGAGCACCGGGAGAGGGGGAGAGGGAGAGGGGGGGAGAGGGGGAGAGGGGCGGATCGGCTTCAGTTCAGTCCACGCGTTTCACGGCGGATGGTTCGCTGAAATATTTTTTTTTGGGGCTACGGCGCGATTCGAGAGGAGGAGAGCGACGAGAGGAAGGCCCGGAGCCTCCATCAGCCACACACACACACAGAGAGACAGACACACACACACACAGACACACACACACACAGACACAGAGAGAGACAGAGACACACACACACACACAGACAGACAGAGACACACACAGACACAGACAGACACACAGACAGAGAGACAGAGACACACACACACACACAGACAGAGACACACACACACACACACTAGACAGAGAGACAGAGACAGACACACACAGACAGAGACACACAGACAGAGAGACAGAGACACACACACACAGAGACAGACAGAGAGAGACACACAGAGACACAGACAGACACACACAGACAGAGACACAGACACACACACAGAGACACAGACACACACAGACAGAGACAGACAGACAGAGACACAGACAGACACAGAGACACACACACAGAGACAGACACACACACACAGACAGAGACACAGACAGACACAGAGACACACACACAGAGACAGACACACACACACAGACAGAGACACACACAGACACAGAGACACACACACAGAGACAGACACACACACACAGACAGAGACACACACAGACAGAGACACAGAGAGAGAGAGACCCACACATAGTGACACACACACAGACAGACAGAGACACAGAGAGAGTGAGAGACAGAGATACATTATTGCAATTCAGGTTCGCGGTGAGAAATGGCATTGGATTTCGCTGCGGGATGTCTGGGCGGTGAGTGCGGCTGATTTCTCCTTCTGTTTCTGTGTGTGAGTGTCTTTGTGTCTCTCTGTCTCTGTGACATTGCCTTCACTCCCCCCTCACCCCCACACTCCCCCCCACACTCCCCCACACTCACCCCCACACTCCCCCCTCACCCCCACACTCCCCCCTCACCCCCACACTCCCCTCTCACCCCCACACTCCCCCTCACCCCCACACTCCCCCCTCCCCACACTCCCCCCACACTCCCCCCTCACCCCCACACACTCCCCCCCACACTCCCCCCTCACACTCCCCCCTCACCCCCACACTCCCCCCTCACCCCCACACTCCCCCCTCACCCCCACACTCCCCCTCACCCCCACACTCCCCCCTCCCCCCACACTCCCCCCCACACTCCCCCCTCACCCCCACACACTCCCCCCCACACTCCCCCTCACCCCCACACTCCCCCTCACCCCCACACTCCCCCTCACCCCCACACTCCCCCTCACCCCCACACTCCCCCCTCACCCCCACACTCCCCCCTCACCCCCACACTCCCCCCTCACCCCCACACTCCCCCTCCCACCCCACTCCCCCTCACCCCCACACTCCCCCCCACACTCCCCCCTCAGCCCCCCTCCCACCCACACTCCCCCTCACCCCCACACTCCCCCTCACCCCCCACTCCCCCCTCACCCCCACACTCCCCCCCACACACACTCCCCCCTCCCCCCACACTCCCCCCACACACACTCCCCCTTCACCCCCACACTCCCCCCACACACACTCCCCCTCCCCCCACTCCCCCCTCACCCCCACACTCCCCCCCACACTCCCCCCCACACTCCCCCCCACACTCCCCACTCCCCCACACTCCTCCCCCCTCCCCACTCCCCCCACTCCCCCCCTCCCCCCCCGGTAAAGTCGGGGCTGTGGGGCGCCCTCCGTTCCCCGCGGTCTGGTTGGGGTTTATTCTGCCACGTCCTCCGCTCCCGATCAGCGTGAGGTGAGCAGTGCCGCACAGGGCATCGCTCTCTCTCTCTCTCTCTCCGGCTCAGCCCCACTCTTACCCCTCACTGCCTGCGCCCCGCACTGCCCCCGCGATGCCCCCCTCACTGCCCCCGCGATGCCCCCCTCACTGCCCCCGCGATGCCCCTCACTGCCCCCGCGATGCCCCTCACTGCCCCCCTCACTGTCCCCGCGATGCCCCCCTCACTGCCTGCGCCCCGCACTGCCCCCGCGATGCCCCGCACTGCCCCCGCGATGCCCCTCACTGCCCCCCTCTGCCCCCGCGATGCCCCCTCACTGCCCCCGCGATGCCCCCCTCACTGCCCCGCGATGCCCCCCTCACTGCCCCCGCGATGCCCCCTCACTGCCCCCGCGATGCCCCCCTCACTGCCCCCGCGATGCCCTCCTCACTGCCCCCGCGATGCCCCCCTCACTGTCCCCCGCGATGCCCCTCACTGCCCCCCGCGATGCCCCTCACTGCCGATGCCCCCTCTGCCCCCGCGATGCCCCTCACTGCCCCCGCGATGCCCCCTCTGCCCCCGCGATGCCCCCCTCTGCCCCCGCGATGCCCCCCTCTGCCCCCGCGATGCCCCTCTCTGCCCCCGCGATGCCCCCGCGATGCCCCTCACTGCCCCTCTCACTGCCCCCGCGATGCCCCTCACTGCCCCTCTCACTGCCCCCGCGATGCCCCCCTCTGCCCCGCGATGCCCCCCTCTGCCCCCGCGATGCCCCTCACTGCCCCCGCGATGCCCCCCTCTGCCCCCGCGATGCCCCTCTCTGCCCCGCGATGCCCCCCTCTGCCCCCGCGATGCCCCTCACTGCCCCCTCTGCCCCCGCGATGCCCCCCCCGCTGCCCCCCCCCCCCCCCCCCCCCCCTCGGGGGCTATTTGTGGATTTGTATATTGAAGGTCAACGCAGATCTGAGAGCGGATTAAAACATCTCTCGAAGCTGCGGATCCGTCAGAGCAGCTGTTCACCTCCTCACCATTGCAGCCTCTCACTTACTTATTGACTTGCTTTACCCTAACCTGTGCTCACACCCACTCACACTCACTCACTCACACTCACTCCACTCACACACCCACTCACACTCACTCCACTCACACACCCACTCACACTCACTCACTCACACTCACTCCACTCACACCCACTCACTCACACTCACTCACACTCACACACCCACTCACACTCACACCCACTCACACCCACTCACACTCACACCCACTCACTCCACTCACACCCACTCACTCCACTCACACACCCACTCACACTCACACCCACTCACACTCACTCCACTCACACTCCCACTCACACTCACTCACTCACACTCACACACCCACTCACACTCCACTCACACACCCACTCACACTCACTCACTCACTCCACTCATACACCCACTCACTCCACTCACACTCACTCCACTCACACACCCACTCACACTCACTCCACTCACTCCACTCACACACCCACTCACACTCACTCCACTCACACACCCACTCACACTCACACTCACTCCACTCACACCCACTCACTCCACTCACACACCCACTCACACTCACACCCACTCACACTCACTCCACTCACACTCCCACTCACACTCACTCACTCACACTCACTCCACTCACACACCCACTCAAACTCACTCCACTCACACACCCACTCACACTCACTCACTCACTCACTCCACTCATACACCCACTCACTCCACTCACACTCACTCCACTCACACACCCACTCACACTCACTCCACTCACTCCACTCACACACCCACTCACACTCACTCCACTCACACACCCACTCACACTCACTCCACTCACACACCCACTCACTCACTCCACTCCACTCACTCACTCCACTCACACTCACTCACACTCACTCCACTCACACTCACACTCCACTCACACACCCACTCACACTCACTCCACTCACACTCACTCCACTCACACACCCACTCACCCACACACTCACTCACCCACTCACTCACTCCACTCACACTCACTCCACTCACACTCACTCCACACACACTCACTCCACACACACTCACTCACACTCACTCCACTCACACGCCCACTCACACTCACTCACACTCACTCACTCACACCCACTCACACTCACTCCACTCACTCACACTCACTCCACTCACACACCCTCACACTCACTCTCACTCACACACCCACTCACACTCACTCCACTCACTCCACTCACACACCCACTCTCACTCACACACCCACTCACTCCACTCACACACCCACTCACACTCCCCTTTACTCCGGTGATTGCATAGAGTTATTTTATTTGCCTGTTGCTGCTGCTGTTTTTTTTTTGTCTTAACACAGCTTCCAAACAGTTTCATCGCATTCCCCGCCACCCCGTCCATCCGATCAATTGCTAAGGGCGCAGTTGTTTTTCGACCCCATCCACTAATAGCGGAAAAAAAGCATCAGCGCAATCTTGCATTTATTCAGTGCGTGTTTTGAACTCAACGCCTTTTGAGTCGAGTTCAAACCCGCACTGAATGAAATAAAAAGTTCCTTTTACTTAAGATTTCTTTCTGTGCATGCATCCCCTGGCCTCTTGGATTGACTGTGCAACCACAGTTACTTGTTCCGCCGCTGTGTAATCATTAACGCTTAATGTAAACCAAGTACCTCAATAGCTCACCTTCATATTGCATGTGTGTGGGGGAGAGAGAGAGAGAGAGAATAAAACAGTTGTGGAAACTTTTGTTATTGATCTGTTGCAAATTCAGATCAAACTAAACAGAGAAACGATCATCTGCTGAACGATAATTAGTGTCCCCCTATTTCCTGAACACTTTATGTGGTAGGGGGTGGGGAGGGGGTAATAATTCTCAGTCATTTCGTTGAGTCATTTTGTGTGTAGCAGAGGAAGAACAACATGGAAAATAAGCGGTATCTGAAAGGGAGTGCAATTTAGTTAGTAATCTAATCTGTCTATTCAGGTGACACAAGAGGAACGTTTCAGTGGCCTGGACCATATTGGGTTACTTCTCTCTCAATAGTTTATACTGTGTCTCCTTTCATGCAGTCCTGCTTCTAGGAAAGTTGCATGTTGTCATGTCCACTGTATACCAATTCATGTTTGTTTTTCCCTCCATAAAGCTAGCCACCAATATTACGCTTTTGCCTACAAAATATACAGTCAATTCACTTTCCAACAAAATTATATTTGTATAGCGACTTTCAGCGTATCCTGTGAAGCATTTTGAGACGTCTTGAAGATGTGGTAAGGCGCTATACCAAAAGCAAGGATTATTGTTATTATTTTGAGAGTATATTACTTCCATTTGTTGCTCCATTTGCCTACTAAATACACAGTCATTACAGTAAATTCTGTGAAGTGCTTTCAGATGCCCTCCTGACAAAGAAGTCACTATATAAATGCAAAGATCATTATTATTTTCTTTTCATTTCTCCCCTGAGCCCTGTGCATTTGCATCTGGAAATAATTACTCCACTGGCATTGCCGATCCTGTATGGCAGGAAAATTGCTTTTGCCCTGCGGAAATCCCCATGTATTTACGTGGTGCTGCCTTGTGCCACAGAGATTTTGTGGGTTTGTAGTCTGAAGGTCAGAACCAGTGTCCCCCCATTTCCTGAACGCCGCAAACTGTTGCACAGCACTACCACATCACCACTTCACTCTAATCCTTGTCTGGACCTATTCCAAAATAAAGGGCTTTAAGCCATGGAACAGGAAGCAGTGACGCCAATTCAACAACAACAATGGTACTTGAAAATGACATCACCAACACTTTCAACAACAACAAATTACCTTTGTAGAGCGCCTTTCATGGTGGGAGGACATCCCAAGGCGCTGGACAGTCAGGGATGTGGACCCGAGCTGGGGGTTGGGATCAGGAGGGGCGGAGAGCAGGGCCATCTCACCAAAATACTCTACTACTGTGCTTGAAGATTGATGGTAACATGAATCCAGACGTGCTCTTAATTAAGAACAGCGGGGCCTGGTCTGTCAGTCTATCGACATTCCTTTCTCATTAAACCGTCACACTAGCTCACGGTCACTGGTTAGGGAGGGCTGACCATGGGAAGGAGTGGGGGGGGGGTTTCCAAGTTTTCATTATCAGTTACAGTTAAGTTAATGTGCAGATGATAACTCTTTTTCTTGCAAAATATTTATGAATTTCTTATAAGCAAGCTACAGACCTGGATGTCACCTGGGCAGATAACATAATTTCAGTATTTTTTTGTTAGAATCGTTTTTATGTTTTGGTTTCCATGTAATCGGTAAACAAATGCACTGCGCTGTAATGTTGCAGACTATAATGCAGCACTGTTTGACCATTGACCAGCTAAACCGATTTTAATGGAATTATAACCAAATGTTCCATTTGCCTTAGCTTCCAAATGACCTAATTATTGTGAACTATTCGTCATTCATTATTTTAATCTTTGCACCTACAAAATACAGGAACTACACAGTTTATCCTGTTAAGTTCTTTGAGGTTTCTTCTGATCTGAAAAGTATTATGTGGAATCTAAGAATTATTATTCAATTGTTTGTGACTTGTCTTTTGTTGCATTTGCCTCCATTCCTTTATCTCCCATATATTATGCAGATGTAATTCCTCTGTTTGATCCACATACTATTATTGCCTTGATTTGTTTTCCACGGTTTGTTGGTGCCATCCGTATACACCTTCCAAACACTTTTGAGGCTTACTCTCTGCATGGATATAGTTGATGTATTTAGAATCTTTAGTTATAAATGATATTGCGTAATGGATTCCATGATTCCTAAGTGAATCTCTCGCTTCACTGAAACTCATAATTGTTGACTCTCCTGGAAGAGAGACTCTCGTTGACTGAATTGAACCTTTCCGATGGACTAGTTTAAAGATGTGGTCCTGAACTTGATACTTTAGCGACCATTTTGAATATCATATGAGAAGCTCACCGAGGTGTGGTTTGCTGCAGCTAAACCAACTCTGCGCTCTCCCTTGTAAGCTTAGATGACGCACTTCTAATTTAGCCTCCAACTTAATTGTTTCCCTTTTTCCGCTTCTTCCAAGAGATGCTCTCGACATTTAATCAGTAAAGCCAACAACATTCTGGATTAGTTTTCTCAATTCTGGGACGCAGTTTTGAGATCTCGTACACACTGTAATACTCTACCTGAAAGCGTATTTTTAGTCCTTCGCTTGATTGATTGATAATGTAGTTAGTTAGGTAGGTAGGTACAGTATTACACTTGGTGTTTTTAGCGCTGAATAGAGACGAGTAAATGGGCAGTTGTGGTGCAGCAGTAGAGCAAAGCTTTAAAAAACCTTGTTCTATATTGAGAGCACTCTGGCTGTAGAGACTTTGCATGCAATTTAGACTTTTAAAAGATTTTAAGGATCTGTTATTTGTGTGAAAGCCAATTGTTTGAAATGGTGGACAAATCTGGACGAGCCGTACATCCTGCTATTGTCTTGTGCGGATCCATATTGCTGCTGTTACCACATAAACACTCCTCCTGTTCCAAGTGACTGCTCCTGTAGTTGCATTTCTTATCTGAGACGTTAATTGTGCTGTACACAACACATTATCAGTTGTCAGGGAAATAAGATTCTTTGGCAGAAAGAAGTTTTGAATGTTGGCTCAAATGTGTTGGCGAGTTGTTCAGGGAAGTGATTTTAATGCTTTATTCTGACCCAAGGAAATTCTCAGTGTACCAACCAAACTGGAACAATAAATGTCAATTTGTACTGTGTTACCAAGCATTAGATAATTTAGCAGAAAATTTGTGGTAAACCAGAAGTAAAGTGAGTGAATTATTCCAACACTGCTTAGCAAAGTCTGCATCACAACTAATGTTCCTGAACTTTTATTCCCCTTGAAATGCAGACCATGAATATCTTTTCTTTAACTGACGACGTGAAGATTTTAAATTTTAAAATATCAAATTAGTTGGATATTTTGTTCTTTTAACTTCTATTTGATGAGTTTAATCTGAGGATAGGATAGACTTGTTCATTCTCCGAGCTACACCATGCTTATATACTTACCTGAATCTATTTCAAGAGTGGTGTTTTTTTCAGGGAGTACAAGTTCCATTGTTATCGGCTGATCAGAGCTAAATACTTGGTTTGTTTTAGAATCATTCGCACAATTAATTCCTAGTTTCCTAGTATGAAGAAAGCTTACTCATGCAGCGATGCTCCGTTTCTGTTCGATTGAGGCCTCTCTATTTGCTATTTTCAGAATTGTTCTTACTGTGAACTGTTGTGAGTATGTATTTGGGCATCTTGGCAGTGGTAAGGTGGCCCATACAATGACATCCTTTGACAGTGAATTTGTTCAGCGGGCAGTGTGAGCAGTGTTGTTCAGTATTGTGGGCATACTTGAATTTGGAGAATGGAACACAGTTAAGATACCCAGAAACCATAAAATATCCTGTATTCATTTTCACCCCAGCTGGTCAGTAAGTGTTGCTGGACACCAAGCAGAGCAAATAGATTATCTTCTGAGCAAGATAATGAACTCATATGGTAACGATATTTAGTGGTGACTAGTAATAATGCTATGTTACCTCAATTCATACACTACCAAGGCGTCTCCTGTAACTCTTACCAGCCTATTGTTAATGTAACAACAGCAACAACAACAAAATTACATTTGTATAGCTTTCACGTCGGGAGGACGTCCCAAGGTGGTGGTTTAACAAGAAATGTTTGGATGTTTGGTGTTTGAGCCGAAAAAGGGGTGTGACTGATCAGTGCAATTCATTTCAGAGAGGAGTGCTGAGGGGTGGATCTTTGCAGAAAACAAGCTCTTATATTGTGAATGCTTCAAGTGTCTGAAATGAATTCTCGCCTGTTGCACAAACCTGCCAAGTATTACCACAATATCGCCATTGTGTACCTGTTTGGATTATGGTGAAGCAATGCTTGTTTTCCAATGAAAAGGAATTTGTTATAAAAGGAACAAATGTGCTGCCTATTGAAAACCTTTTTGTTTCCCGCAAGAAATAATATGTTAATTTCTCCTGCGTATTTCTCTATTGACTGCATTATATTTACACTAACTATTGCACTAACTAGTACAGTTCAGGATCCATTATGGCCAAATAGTAACCTGAGCTTTTCTTTCCAGAACAAGGTCAATTAAATTAAATCTCTTTGATCAAATTGCATCGAAAACAAGTTCATACTTCCTTCTTGAAAATGAATACATAGGTAGATACTCGGCTGTGTCTCTCACCTGTTAAGTAAACATTTGCTTACTTAATCCCAACCCAAAAAGTGGTGTGTGAAGTTTCATCATTTTAATTGAAGTGATTTTCCCAGGGGTTGAAGGTGAATGTAAGATCTCATAGGTGTCTGGTATTAAAATCTGAAAATGTTTGGCCTAATTTCAGTGCTGGATCTCTTAGATAAGAGTTCATTTTTCATCGATCAAAACACTGACTTTTTTTGAGACTTTGTAGGTTCAGTGACTCAAATCTTCTTTGCATATGTGGAATCTTTATACAGTTTACAGGAGAAGTATTTTTTGATTTAGAATATGTAAAATACTTCTATTCTGAATAGAATGGGTTTGATGAGGCACATGATTGTGTTTCTAATGACTGTGTGCACGGTATTTTCAGAGTTTGACAATATTAATCCAACTAACTTTGTTTGTTTGTTGCAGGAGCTGCTGGGGTTCTGGTTGGGCACCCATTTGACACTGTAAAGGTGAGTTGGCTGATACTTGTGTTACTTTGCTAAATAAACCACAAAGCCCATGAAAGGCTACATGCCTGTGTCTCTTTGGGGGTGATGCTCTGTGTGCCTGTACATTTAGTTTAAGATTATTTTGACAGCGTGCGTTACAATGGAACGTCCCAATAATCACCCGCAGTGTCAAAAAAATGCAATTAAACACATCGGCACCTCAAGCATCACCCCCTTTTGTGTTTCATACCTTTTCGCTGAACGTATTGATTTTCACATGTTTTTCAAGTGCTTTAACCGAGAAAAAAAAGAATAAATATCTTAAGCAATGCGTAACCTTGCAGCTAACGGAGATTAGTTTTCATTCAAAACCATTCAGGAGAAAGTCTGTCTGATTGCTCCAACACTGAGAGCTTTAACGCTTAACTGTTAAATATTTAACTAATATCTTGATGAATTTTGACCTCAAAATTGACTGGGGGGTGATTGGAATTGATCAAATAAACGAGAGTAAAATGTATATTTTTTTAATGCACATAAATAACCAGAGAGGTTGTGTAAGATATTCATGCTTGCTGGATTACATTTGAGGCAGGATCATGTGGGCGTTTGGGCCTAAGACATTCCAGTTTCATTTAAGACCCAATTCTTTCACTTGCAATTGTTGAGGGTGACAACTATGGATTAAAGAGTTCATTTTGTACATGAGCAGCTAGTGGAGATGGTTGTTGTGGGATCGAGGTAAAGTCCATTTGACATGCAAGAATTTTTACTGGAAATGTTGGTAATTGCCCCCCTCCCCCAAATTGTAAATTTGCTTCCCGAACTGAAACTGACCTTTACTGGGTTAGATTGCTAAATGGACGTATTTTGTAATGATCAGGCTTGCTGTACAGACACATCATCTGTAAATGCCAATTAGAGTAGCATTTATGATTGAGACATATATATATATATATATATACAATGTGTCCTGCCCTCTGGATTAAGAAAGCAGGAGCCAGGAGAGGAGCTAAGTATTTGATGGAGAAAACTTTGGACAAAGAAAGGGGAAAAAGAGTTTCGGTTCAGTATTTGTTCAAAGAACAGTGGCTTCTCTGAAAGCTCATTTAATCCAGTGAATAGCTGAGCCTCACAAAGCAAGAAGTGCTCAGATGTATTGCTGTAAGTTAGCTGATCTCAGACATGGCCATAGTAGGGGAGCTGCAAATGTTTGGCCCTGGGTTAGAGAAGGGGAAAATCGGCCTAGGGTTCCCACCCTCCCTTTGGAGGTTCATGCTGCGTCGACTTTGAACATGATGGTTCCTATGGACCACTAGCCCATCAGCACTCACTGTCCAGGCTCACACATAAATGAATAGTGGTCACTTGAATGTAATACCGATAGGATTGCAACCAGGGACCTATAGAGCTGTAATGCAGCAAGGAGTCCCCTCTTTCAGGAAAGGGAAGATTAGGGGAAGAATAATGATGAGAGGGCAGGCAGGGGAGGAGTGGGGATTGTCTCTGTAACATTCAAAATGGCTGGAGAGAGGCTGAATCAATGTGCGAGCATTTTGGTAATTGGAGAGTCTCGCAGGCTGTGGTTCAGAGTAGCTATAGACTTTCCCCGCCCTACTGATGAGGGGGCAGCGAGCAGAAGCTGTGACTTTCCATACATGTGAGAAGATTAGGAGAGATCCTGCCAGCAACTCTACCCTCCAGCCTCACTGCTGCCGGCTCCGTGTGACATGTGGTGAGGCCTGGGAGTAGATTATTTCAGTCTGAGTCAAGGAGAGAATGTGGGAGACAATAGATGGGTTGATGGCTTCACTGAGAGGGAAACAAAATCACAAATTGACCAAAAGGTTTCCAAAATCATTACATTTGGTGCTACCACTCTAGAAACCAAAGCAGTTGTATTTACTCTGTGACTCTTCAGAATAGCACATTGTCAGTGCAGATAAAACCAAGGCGCTGTTTTCTGATTGTCTTGAGTTTTCTAACCAGGATACTCATACAGTGCTGTTGGATTAGGAGCCACTCTATAAAGCATTCTGAGACATTTTTTTTCTTGCTATTATCATGTAATGTATGAAGTTTGTTGCGTTTAACTGCTTCTACTTTCTGAGCTAGGGGCTGTCCTCATTAACAGCAAAAGTGTTACTTTGTGATGAGAGATAAGCCTCATCACGGGAGAATTCCTAGTAAGTACAGAAAAGGTGAATTTATACATCCTTCAGTTTCTGTCCAGTTCTGAATTTATACCACGTGACTATCACTTTTCAGAAAAGCAAAACTGTGGAGTCTTAAACACACATATAGCATGTTTCTGTTTCTTCTGTAAACTTTGCAGAGCTTAAATTTTACCTGCGGCTTAAAAGTAGTTTTAGAAATAAGTACTGTAGATGCTATTCCATATCAATAACTTTAACTGCAATTGTGAAGTGATAAATTGCGGACACAAATATGTCTATTGTACTGTGAGTCCAGTTTGAATCTGTTGCCTTTTCTAGAAATGCACTTGTTTTGTAGGTGCGACTTCAAGTACAAAATCCAGATAAGCCACGTTACCGTGGGACTTTCCACTGTTTCCAGTCCATCATAAAACAAGAGTCGGTAAGTTACCTCTGTGCTTGTTTCTCAACAGTCAGCCATGGTCTCAGCCAAGGTGCTGAGTCTTGATAGTAGCATCTGAGCTGACTGTTCTTCCTTGTCTTCCAGATGTCCTGGAATATAATAATTACAATAATAATCATTCTTGCATTTGATATATCACATCTTCGAGATGTCTTAAAGCTTCACAGCATATACTGTAAAGTGAATTGATTGTATATTTTGTGGGAGAAAACTCGGCAGCTAATTGTGCACAGAAGCATCCCATAAACAGTCGTGGGTTGAGTGACCAAATTATTATTTTTTTTGATTGTTTTTTTGAAGGGATATTACCTCTGGGAAAGCGATCCACCAATCTAGTAACAACCTGGTTCCTACTTACTGCTAGGTAAACAGAGGTGTTTGGAGTAAGGAAACTTGCCCAACTTTTCGCCCTGGAATCGAGCCCAGGTCCTCTTGTTTGCGAGGCGAGTGCTGTAACCAATGAACTCCAAGACTCTGCATATACTGGAAACCAAAAATTTTATACCACTGTTGATTAATGTTGGGGGTCCTCCCAACATGAAAAACGCTAAATACAAATGTGTGTAGTTTTGTTGTTGTTGTCCTGCAACGGGATGAATATCAAACCTTGTGTTTATTCTCGTCTGTGTTCTGAGAGCAGAACTGTGTGCAATGTTATGAGTTACTGCATTAGATGTGCCAGTCTGGCTCAGTTGGAGGGCTGTAGTAACCATATGTGCATCACACAATGGCTATTTTGGACCATTGGGCTCTGGAATGGAGCTGGCACAAATGGAATATTTCTGTCTGTAGGATTGATGACTCTGCTGGATTTAGCAGTGAGATAAATTTCTGATTTGAAATGGGCTATTATTACTTGAGCTACTATTTGATGCCACTGGGAGGTGTAGCACAGGCCTGTCAGATTCAGCCAATTGAAACGCTTGATGTGCATAGTCGAAACAGTGAACTGCTGTAATAAACAAATGCAGTACTTTAATGAGATGGTGGTGACATTTTTGGCAGGGTGAGCTCATATTAACTGAGTCTCTGCTGTGAAATTCTGTCTGCCGGTTCCTGTCCTTGCCATTGCATCTCAGTGATGGTGGATTTGAAATGAGATTTTAATACTGATTTGGGGAAAAATGGAATCCATTAACTCTTATGTTTCACCCACAAAATATACAGTCAATCCACTTTACAGTATATTCTAAGCACTCTGGGACGCTACCCTGCTTGAGGGACGTTATATAAATACAAGTTGTTGTTGTTGTTCTGTGAAGCGCTTTGAGATGTCTCAATGATGGGATAAGGCAGTATATCAAATTATTATTATTATATAAGACAAAATTGATCTAATCCCACAAATTTTCATGTGCTGAGGAGGAATGCAGGAGGGATTTAAGGACATGGACAAATACATGTTTTTTTGTGCTTGGCTTGTAAAATTTTATTAAGACTATATTTTAAAATCTTTAATATGACATTTTGTTTCAGGCCTATGGACTCTACAAAGGTATTGGTTCACCAATGATGGGTTTGACCTTCATCAATGCTATTGTATTTGGCGTCCAGGGAAATGCGATGCGTTACTTAGCGCGGGATACTCCACTTAATCAGTTCCTCGCAGGGGCTGCGGCTGGGGCAGTTCAGTGTGTCATCTGTTGCCCCATGGAACTGGCCAAAACAAGAATGCAACTTCAAGGTACGGGTGAATTGCAAGTAAAGAGCAAAGTCTACAAGAATTCTCTGGACTGTTTAATTAGAATCTATAGAAAACAAGGGATCCGTGGAATCAACAAAGGCATGGTGACTACCATCGTAAGGGAATTACCTGGCTTTGGCTTCTACTTCCTCACGTATGATTGTTTAACCAGAGCCTTAAACTGTGAACCCGATGACAGTCTTATAATCCCTAAATTGCTCTTTGCTGGGGGAATGTCTGGAATAGCATCTTGGCTCTCCACCTACCCCGTTGATGTTATTAAGTCCCGGTTGCAAGCTGATGGAGTGGGAGGAGTGAACCAATACAATGGCATCTGGGACTGCATCCGTCAGAGCTACCAGAAGGAAGGGTGGCAGGTGTTCACGAGAGGACTCACCTCTACCCTGCTGAGAGCTTTTCCTGTCAACGCTACAACGTTTGCCACAGTCACACTCTTCCTGATGACTGCGAGGGCTGAAGAAAGTTGCAAAGAGCTGGAGCCAGCCCCAGCGATCCAGCAGCCTTCAAGCCTGTGAAGCCATTTGATGTGTCTTCCTCCTGTTACCTTCAGCAGAGTGTGTCCTCTCTGATAACTGGATTTTACTCGTTCTATTTTTATAAGTGTAGTAAAATTACGAAAATTGTACTGCGGTGTAAATAAGTTGTGTGTAAGAATTATTTCTTTATAAGTAGCCTTGAGTATTACGCTGAACAGAATTCCATCCAGTTTGGCTGCTTGTGAGACCACAGCTTCATTCATGCCTTATATATCAAATAGAATGTACATAGTGTATTTTAGTTAAGAATGAAGCAAAGAATGTGATTTTTTTTTTTGCCCTCAGGCATGTAATGTACAAAAAGCTACTTCACTGACCTGACAAGAATAAGTTGATAGCACAGAGGGTCCAAGTTTGAACTACCACATACGTAAAGAAAGTTAATGACAGAAAGGAGCACACAGCTAAAGCCAGCTGAACAACCAGTTACATTTTATTTGCAGCTACATTGGGGGGAAATTTGCTAGTCAGTTTTCTTAAGCTTAACACATAAAGCTTATTTAACTATTTTGAGGAATCTGTATTTAAAATGAATGGCTGATTGATTGAATGACTAATATGCCTCGGTATTTAATATATTCTAAATATTTGACCACAATGTGAAGTACAGTGTTTAAACTGCACACAAATCCCTAAAGTCCTTAAGTTCTAAGGCACACATCTTCATTGTTGCTGTTACATGATGTCGGGAATTATCCTGCAGGATTATATAAACTGTGTTATGGGCCATTCAACTCAACTGCAAATAGGCATTACGTAACAAATGGCTACGGATATTTTTTTCTCTCTCTCTTTCACCCCCACTGCTGTACTTTTGGGATGTGCTGTGGTGACTCATACATGCTTTTATTTTCCTGATGTGCGCACAGTATTTTAATATTTAAAATTAGGTTGTATTTGGAGCCAAGTGGAGTTACAGTTAATTTTCAGGAATCTGTCCACTATTCTTAGCCTTGGGTTTTTTAGTGTTGTGGTCTCTTGTGTTTTATATTGATGTTTTGTGCAGAGTACATTTACAGGTTTTTTTTGATTGATTGACTGATGTATTACATCATCTATGAGGAGTCATGTTAATCAGAATTCTGAACTCCCATAATGGCCTGGTGTAAAGAGGTGACCACCCACCGCAGCCACAGATCAGGCAAGTTTCAAATGAATGTAGCCATAACTTTTTCAATGAGTGAACAGATCTAGTAACTCACCACTAGTAATGATGTGACCGATTGAGTTAGTCAGCTCATGGATGGAGAAATAGTTACTATGATTCGGGTCCATAAAGCTTACTGTCTTTGTTTTCCACAATGCTCAAATGTGCTGTTCAATATTATCCCAATTTTGAGTTTTTAATGAAAACTACCTCTCCCAAGGTAACTGCGGTGGCCCCAGAGGACAACAGAGTTGGGAAACTCAATTTGTAGCTTGATCTCAATGTGAGACGTTTCAGTTTGCCATCCAGTGGCCTGTGGAATTGGAAGCTGCTGTTACTGCCAGTTCTGTCTAGCAGGTAATCAGGTGCCAGTCTTCTTGGCTGCCATCTGTCAACTACAAGTAAATTCCACACTAGAGTCCACACCCATGTTATATAGAGGTATATCATGTATGGCAGTTTTATGCCTTACTGTCCAGAGATGGATTTTTAAAAGTACAAACGTTGGATTTCAACTACCGAAAGTTCATGGATTCAAACGTCTATGCTCTCCTTTTAATATAATTCACTTTTGCACAAGAACTCTTCTCAACCCATTGTGCAGTTGTAGGAATGGACAAAAGCAAGTTGTGTTGACTTGCCTTTTGGGGGCATATCTTGTATCAGGTGACCGATGGGTGGAATTACATATTCCAACCTTTCTCTGTTGCTTGGGACAGGTGCAATATATATATAATATCCACTGATGCTATTCAACAAAGATTCTCAATACAGTTCGCAGTACTGTTTTTTATGGGCACAAACGACTTTATTTTGCAATGAGAGAAAACATTTGTACATGGCACGAAGATCAATTTTCCGAATGTCAAATAAATTGCAATCTCAAAGTGCGTGCTTGGAGCCTGGAACCATGGTGAATGTCTGCAGATTATCTGAATGAGTTTGTTTATGTATTGAAGATGTGTGCTTGATTAACTAGACAGTACAGCCTTTGGCTTTTTGGTTAATCATGTTGTACTGACTGTTGTGGCTTGTTTCAACCTAGCAATGTGGTTTATCATGTACCTTACTATGTAAAGTACCATATCAAGATTGAAAGGGAAAATAAAATCTACATTCAGATCAATTTTCTGTTGTGAATGTTTTTTTTTCCTGGTATTTTCAACCTCTTTTGTTCCTTTACTATTCCAGAGTCACCATTCTACACCATTTTCTTTATTTTACAAAAACACATAGTAAACAATACATTGGAGAACTCTGGTGTCCTAAACGATATTTTGATTTCATTATTACAAAATATTTTATAAAACCTCCAGAGGCTTAGTCCTATTATAGATACAACAAAAATATTAACATTTGTAGCGAGTGGTCAAGTTTCAAAAACCTCCCGGTTTCCATAGTCATTTTTGTAAGGCGGAGGCAATCTTTCGATTAGTTTACAAGGTGTTTTGAGCTGTGAATGAGAAGCTGAACCAAGGAAGATTGACCAGGCTGAAACAAGGGAAACAATCGGATCAATTTCTGACACAGCACATCCATTTCTGAGCCATGAGAGAACTGAACAAATGTAATGATTGTTTTTCCTGCCATTTCACATAACCATCCTTTACAAGTCTCCCAGGTTTTTTTGACTCGAGCTCAATGAATTTAGATGAATTATTCAAGCTTTATTTACTTGATCTATACTCCTAAATGCCTGGTGGTGGTGCTGTTATGGTATAGAACCTAAGCTATATGCAGTGTTGAAATATCAAAGATAATTTAATAGGTGATTAGGGTGATGGGCTCATCAAGCTCGTTATTGTAAGTGGACAGCAGAATTTGAATGAACTGGAACTTGAGGGTATGGCAGGGGCTGATTATGGCGGTTTTGGTGGGATCCAGCCACAATTGGCAGTGGTTCATGAGGTCACATTTGAGCTGAGTAAATTGATACTTATTCTAGTGCACAGGTTATGGATTTTAACAGGCACAGATTCCTGATGCCAAGGAAACTTGTGGCAATGGGAAGCAGTTCAGAATTTGGTCAGGGCGAGGGCTTGTTAAAGGCGAGGGAATGGTTAAGCAGCTCAATGAATAGAAAATGTGGCATTGGACCAAGTGAACAATTGCTTCTTACCTTTGTACGGCAAATTCCACAATTGCCAATCAGAATTTTCCCTGGCATCTTGTTAATCTTGCTCCTACTCTAAAAATGGTGATTAGGATAAAATCCACTTGTTATTCTCTTGTTGAGTTTGCCACATTATTTAGGATCTTAACAAAAGCTTGGAAGTTAACCACCCATATCAGACCCCTTTGGAAACCGCAGCATGGCTAACACTAAGTGCTGACCTAGCCATTAATGCCCCCATTTCAGATTATGCTAAACTAGTCCCACTTAAACTCACATCAGAAACCAGAACCTCTATCCATAACAAACTTTTCCTCTGTTGTAGAGTGATTTCTCATTTCTAGATTCAGTAAGCTGTCAGAAAAACATTGTATGTGCTTTATTATGGATAAAAAGCTAAACATTACCAATGTCCAATCTGCTCCTAAGTATCTTACCAGTCTTGTCAGAGGCCAAATTGTTTTTATTAAAACTGGTTTCACAACTTTGTAGTAGAATCTCCTTTGCAATGATGAAATTGCAATTCTTACACCCAACAGGTTTTCAGAAACAGCAGGTAATCACTGGATTTCTGCAATTTATTTATTAAAACAGACAGACTTAATAGGCCAGTTACACCTTTTAAGCACAAAAGGATTTTCCATATACTGTACCTGAAACCTTAACAATTCTTACAATTTCATTTGTATTAATGACTATTGTAACTGGTCATTACTCATTGCAAGCAAAGTAGTCCTTTCATTCATTCGATCACCCATAGAAGCCATAATATCATGACATGCCCAATTCCCAAACTATTCTAACAGGAGCTCTATCACTCATTTAAATAGTACTGTAGTTCCAATTCCAAATTACTGCAGTTTTTACATATCAATTCCTTTTGGGCCCTATATTTTGAAGATAGTTGCAATGTTTAAAAGATGCAAAACAACCTCAAGGCAACCTGACGACCTGTCATCTCTCTCTTGTATTACACCTGTCTTGTAATATACATCCAGCAATTTATTTTATGTTCAGAATACACCTGAAGTAGTGTGGTCAGTACTACTGTAACAAAAAAGGGTAAATAAAACTGCATTACGTTCACACTGTCAATATCTAATACGAAAGTATTTCGAGCAGTTAAAACAGAAAGAATTTATTTTCCAAAGTCTACCTACAGTACTTACAATTTGAACTAATACAGATTATAACCTGTTTCACCTGGGGCCACATTTCCTTTTCCAACCCTTAAATATTGCTAGTTTGGTAAATGCTCCGTTGACTTTCATTTGTAACAAAGTTCATAAAAGTTTCAAGACACTAGAATCGAATTGCACAGGAAACCATGATCTCCATTTTAGTGTTCTATGCACAAATATTACTGTAGGCCATGCTTAGGTTTCCCACTCATTGCTTCAAACGAGAAAGCTGTTTCTTATACTGGATCGATTTTAAGCACTTCAGAAAATTGTAATGCTTTGCAAATCACTTTCTAACAAGTGCTTGCTTCAGGACCACAACGTTTATTGTTGGCCTTTACCTAGTACATGGGATGTACATATTAACAGGTGTTAATAAAAGGTCAGTGCCTGCACAATACATTCTACTAATGGAACCGAGCATTGCTTTTTATGCATAACACAACTGAAACAGGCTCTAATAGAAATTACATCAGACTTTAGCATCCGGCAGTACATTGCAAAAAAATAAACATTGTGACTAAAACGGGTTTAAGTTGATTAACGCCATTGAATCACTGTACTATTTGATTCTATATGATTTCAATACAGTTATACAATACAATTATACAAAATGTGTAACATCAAAGAATACAACCAAATTAAAGATAGCAAACAAAAAAATCTACCTCATAACTTTATACAGGAATTAATTCTGAAATATGCATGTAGTACAGTAACTGCCAAATCTATGATTTAAGAAACTATTACTAGCAAAAAGATCAAACTCAAAAAAAAATCACATAGCATCTGCATTACTAGCATATCCAAATGAGTGTACAATATGCACACCTGGAAAATACAAAATTAAAAATGTGAGTTTCTTTAAGCACTGGGAGAGCGTCATATTTATATGAATGCTGACAAGTCCAATTTTTAGCTCTGCCAGGTAAGGAACTGGTTTTGATAAATGAAAGTTCATCAGGACTTTTTCTGAGTAAAGTGTTGGTTAGAAAACACTGTGGTGTTATTGAAACAGGAATACAGGACAAAACGAGAAGAGCATCCTAACATCATCAGCATCTCCAACCTTTTGACTAATTTATCAAAACAAGTCTTTTTTTGTTATGTAAGAGTTATTTAAAATTCTTCACTAGAAATATACAAAGGGAAGGTCAACATTATGCCCAAATATGGTCATGTGAGATGCCCCGTTGAGGACTCGATTCTTCCCTCCTGAAGAAATTTACTGGTTGTTTTTGGCCTTGGCGTGTGTTAAGATGTGAGACTTCAGATTAGTTGACTGGGCAAACTTCTTATTACATCCATCGAAAGGACAAACATAGGGCCTGTCTCCAGTATGGATTCGCACATGAGTGCGCAAATTGAAGTCCAGTGAGAAGCGTTTTCCACATCCTTCAAATGTACACTGTTTAAAAACAAAACAGAAATCAACTTTTTACTGACAGAAATAACTCACGTGATATTCTAACATAAACTTCCACATAAGCATGATTTTGAACATTATAAAAACAGGCATCATCAGTTGCTGTTGATGGTTATGGCGGTGGGGGGGTGATGAGGGTCACCTCCCCCCACCCCACTCATAATCATACACAATATACAATGTGATTCATTTAAAGTGCAATTGTATTGCTAAATAAAAATCCACTATGGCAGAATTTCTTTTGATGCATTTGCCACAATAAATATTTTCGTTGAAAAATCTCTAAAACATTTCTAAAACAAGTCTCCATGTAGAATGAATTTTCAACATCGACTCAATGCCGCCAGTACCATTAGCAATATGTAATGATCTTTACCTGGAAGGGCTTTTCTCCAGTATGAACAAGCTGATGCCGTTTCAGTTTTGAACTTTCCACAAAAGCTTTTCCACACTCAGCACAGACATGTACGCGAGGACCGTGGGTATGCAAATGCTTCCTCATGGCAGAATTATCTCTGAACATTTTAGTGCAACCCTAGAAAATAGACAATAGCTTCTTGTTAGACCTTCAGTACATACAACACTTTAAATTCAGAAAACTAACCTAAAGATTATAAAGAAGTTTCACCTCTATATTTTGAAAGGCTTTATCAATTACCTCTCTCATCATTGAATTTTAAATCGCATAAAACGATAGAAATTGACAGCACAGAAGGCCATTCAACCCATTATATCTGTGCTGGCTATCACAAAGAGCAATCCTTTCAATCAAATTTTCCCCCTAAAATTACTCCTTTTTAGATATCTATCTAGTTCCCCCTTGAAAACTAATATCGATTCTGTCTCGGTCACTGCACCTGGTAGAACATTCCACATTCTAATAATTATAATAATCCTTGCATTTGATATAGCACTTTTCACGTCTTCTAGATGTCTCAAAGCGCTTCACAGAATAGACTGTAAAGTGAATTGACTGTATATTTGTGGGCAAAATGCAGTAGGCAATTGCACACATCAGTGTCCCACAAACAGTCATGGATTGAAGTGACCAATTTATTATTATTTTTATTTTTTTTGGGATTATTATCAGGCGTGTGGAGTAAGGAAACTTGCCCAAGATTTCACCCTGCCGGGAATCGAACCCAGATCTCTTGCTTGCAAAGCGAGTGCTCTAATCACTGAGCTATAGGACTCCAAATTATGCATTAAAATAAAATGCTTTTAAGTGTCTCTCCTTTTGCTAATTATCTTAAATTGATGTCCTCGAGTCACTGACTCACTGACCAGCAAATGTAATTTCTCTCCGTTGACGATCAAAACCCTCTCATAATTTTAAAGATTGTTTCAGTTAATAGCAGACCCCTAACTGTTATCTGACAGAATTTCACCTCAATCTACCTTCACAAAAATAAAAGCACCATTGTGTTCCCGAATCAAAAAGATAAATCGGATTATTGTAGCCGTTTAAGAATGTAAGAAATAGGAGCAGGAGTAGGCCATTCGGTCCCTTGAGCCTCCCCCGCCATTTAATAAGATTATGGCTGATCTTCTAAGCCAATTCCATTTACCCGCCCTATCCCCACATCCCTGAATCCCTTTAGTTTTTTAAAAAATCTATCGATTTCAGTCTTGAATATGTTCAATGACTGAGCATCCACAGCCTTCTGGGGTAGAAAATTCCATAAATGTACTTCTCTCTGAGTGAAGAAATGTTTTCTCAACTCAGTTCTAAAAAGCTGACCTTTAATCCTGAGATTATGACCCCTAGTTTTAGATTCTCCAACCAGTGGAAACAGTCTCACAAAATCTAACCTGTTAAGACCCTTAAGAATCTCATAGCTTTCTATAATATCACCTCTAATTCTTCTATATTCTAGAGAATATTGGCCTAGTCTACTCAACCTCTCCTTGTAGGTCAACCCCCTCATCCCAGGAAACAACCTAGTGAGCCTATGTGAGTATATCCTTTCTTAGATAAAGAGACCAATCTGCACAATATTCTAGGTGCAGTCTCACCAAGGCCCTATACAATTTCAGCAAGACTTCCCTACTCTTGTATTCTTAACCCCTTTGCAATAAATGCTAACATGCTATTAGCCTTTCTAATTGCTTGCTGTACCTGCATACTAACTTTCTGTGATTAGTGTACAAGGACACCTAAATCCCTCTGAATTCCAACACTACCTCGTCTCTCCCCCTCTAGAAAATAATCTGCTTTTCTATTTTTTCTACCTAAGTGAATAACTTCACACTTCCCATCTGCCAACTTCTTGCCCACTCACTTAACCTCCTCCTTGTGTCCTCCTCACCGCTCACTTTCCCACCTAGCTTTGTATCATCCACGAATGTAGATACATGAAGCTCTATTTCCTCATCTAAGTCATTGATGTAGACTGTAAACAGTTAAGGCCCAAGCACTGATCCTTGCAGCACTCCACTTGTCACAACCTGCCAATCTGAAAAGGACTCATTTATCCCTACTCTCTGTTTTCCGCCTGTTAACCACTCTTTGATACATGCTAATATATTACCCTTAATTCCATGATCTTATATAACAACCTTTTATGTGGCACCTTGTCGAATGCCTTCTGAAAAAAACAAATCACTATATCCACTAGTTCCCCCTATCTAACCTGCTAGCAGTTACATCTTCAAAAAACTCTTAAAAGATTTGTTAAACACAATTTCCCTTTCATAAAACCATGTTGACTGCCTAATCATATTATGACTTTCTAAGTGCTCAGCGATGACGTCCCTAATTATAGACTCTAGAACTTTCCCTACCACCGATGTCAGGCTAATTGATCTAAAGCTCCCCATTTTTTCTCTCCCACCCTTCTTAAATAGCGGCATTATGTTTGTGACCTTCCAATCAACGGGAACTGTTCCAGAATCCAGAAAATTTTGGAAGATTAAAAACAATGCACCCACCTCTTTTAAAACCCTGGATGCAGGCCATTAGGACCAGGGGATTCATCAGTTTTTAGTCCCATCAATTTCTCTAGTACTATTACTTTACTGATATTAATTTCTTTAAATTTCTCACTAACATCAGTGTCTTGGTACCCACTATTTTGGATAAGTTTTTGGTATCTTCTAACATGTAGACATAAGCAAAATATTTGTTTAGTGACTGTCATTTCTTTATTCCCCATTATAATTTCTCCTGTCTCTGCCTGTAAGGGACCAACATTTACTTTTGTTAATCTTTTCCTTGTCATATACTTGTAAAACTCTTACAATCTGTTTTTATATCGCTAGTTAGTTTACTCTCATATTCCATTTTCTCCCTCTTAATCAGTTCCTTGGTTTATCCTTTGCTGATCTCTAAAGCCCTCCCAATTTTCAGGCTTACAGCTCTTTCTGGCAATAGGCCTCTTTTAATTTTATACTTTCTTTAACTTCTCTAGTTAGCCATGGTTGAACCACTTTTCCTGTGGAATTTTTATTTCTCAAGGGAATATGCGTTCGTTGGGAATTATGTAATATATCTTTGAACGTTTGCCATTGCTTGTCTACTGTCATATCTTTTAATCTACTTTCCCAGTCTATTTTAGCCAAATTGTCCCTCATACCTGTAAAGTTGGCTTTATTTAAGTTTAAGACCTTTGTTTTTTGGACTTAACTCCATCACTCTCAAACTTAATATTAAATTACATCACATTATGGTCACTCTGCCATAGAGAAGCCTCAACTTGAAGATTACTGATTAGCCCTGCTTCGTTACACAATACAAGATCTAGCCTGTTCCCTGGTTGGTTCCTCAGCATACTGTTCTAGAAAACTATCTCTAAAGCATTCCATAAACTCATCCTCTTATTTACTTTTGACAATTTGGTTTTCCGAGTCTATATGAAGATTAAAATCAGCCAGTATTATTGTATTACCCTTGCTACATGCTCCTCTAATTTCCTGATTAATACTCTGCCCAATACTGTAACTGCTGTTCGGGGGTCTATAAACTACTCCCACACTTGTTTACTGCCCCTTGTTGTTTCTTAGCTCCACCCATATTGATTCTACATCCTGATTTTCTAACTTAAGATCATTACACTCTACTGTTTTTATCTCATTCTTTATTGGCAGGGCTACCCTCCACCCTCATTTTCCATATTGCCTATCTTTCCCATACGTCAGGTATCCTGGAATGTTTAGCTCCCAACCTTGGATAATAATCCCCCCAAAACCAAAAACAATAATAAAAAAAATTGGTCATTTTCAATTTACGACTGTTTATGGGACATTGCTGTACGCAATTGGCTGCCGCGTTCGCCCACAAATACACAGTCAATTCACTTTACAATGTGTTCTGTGAAGCGCTTTGGGACGTCCTCCCGACGTAAAAAGCGCTACATCAAATGCAAGGATTATTATATTATTATTGGTCGCCCTGTAACCACATCTCAGTGATGGCTACTAGATCATACCCGTTCATCTCAATTTGTGCCATTAATTCACCTACCTTGTTACGAATGCTTCGTGCATTCAGGTATAGTGCCTTTAATTTTAACTTTTCACGTCCTTCCGACGTGAAAGGCGCTCTATAAATGGAATCTTGCTGTTGTTTTTACTATTTCCCCTACTCATTAATGCCCTATTTTCTTTCTTAAGCTCTTTGTCTGTACGTGACATACTTTGTTCTTCATCTTCCAAGTCACTACTCTGCTCTACAGCCTTGACTTTTCTTATTTGCTTTGAGAGTATACACTTAACTGTAACCCTCCATCCCCCCAACCCTCCCATTAGTTTAAAGCTCTATCTACCTCCCTAGATATTTGTTTTGCCAGAACACTGGTCCCATCCCAGTTTAAGTGGAGCCCATCCTGAGGCAGAGCATCCTCTGTCCCCAATAGCCCATCAGTTTCCATCAGCACCCCCAAAATATTACTGTATAAATCACACACTCACTTTGTGAGGACACGCTATGGTCCTAGGGGCATCATCCTCTTTCTGCTTCCTCGGTTTCATCCTGTGCAGAACACGGCAAAAAGCATGAAGATGACATGGAATCTTAAAATGTAAAACTTTAAAAAAAAAACACATTCTAAATACACTACACTATTTTTTTGTGAATAATTTTCTTTGCAAGAATGATATCAAAGCATGGTTCAGTAGTTTTATTAAATTTGCCATAATGCAGTACATCAGTGCTCCAGTTTGACAGCTCAATCATTGAAAGCTACTTTGATATTTAGCATTTCTGACATTCTTGCAACTACAAGCACAAATGTAGAAGGAAATTCTAAATCAATTTGAAGAAAGAGATTCCAGTTTAGTGCTCACCTTGCAAATTCTGCCAACTGTTTTGGGTCAGAAAGATCAATGCCAGGTATCCCACCAGGGGGCAGTTTTTTTCCAGTCATGTATTCAGAATAGTCAGGTGGAGAGTTTTCTCCAATAATCTGTTCCTCCACGACCGTTTCATGCTCGATGTCTGTCTTCTTGTCATCTGAAAGACAGAATAACACCATCTGTTAAGCAAAGATAATAATCCAACTCGGTACTAGTCCATGGATTTGAGGATGAGAGTCAGGAACTGGACTTAGCTATACGGCACACCAGTATTGTTATACTAGATTTAAAGTGGAATGTACAAATCTCCTAAAACTGCTCATGATAAGTTAATTAAAAATACCTATGCGTTTACCAGGATTAAAAAAAAAAGTTGTCTTGATACATTTGTATCAGATTTAATTGGAATTATGAGAAATTATGCCCAGGAGCAAGAGAACTGCTCAGTTAGTAATGGACAATAAAGCCAAATGAACACAAATGACTCAAAACACAAAGTAAAAAATCTGCAGCTCTGCTTCCTACATAAGGTTAATTTCAGTGCTCCGGGATGCTGCCCCGTGTGAAGGGCGCTATATAAATGCAAGTTGTTGTTAACTATAGACAGTAACACATGTCAAATGTTTCAAGTGCATTCAAACCACTTTCAAGCACTCTGGAACATTACCCTGTGTGAGGGGTGCTATATAAATGCAAGTTGTTTCAATTTTTCTAGCAGTGCGATTTACAATATCTTTACTGGTCCCCATCAGTTAAGCTGCAGGTAGCAAGAATCAAGACCAGAGAGCCATAAACATTTAAAAAAATTTATTGTCTTGAATTTGAAAATGCAGATTCAACTTGTGCAAGTAAGCAGCCAACTGGTCCACCTACCCAAAAGATTCCTTCAATACATCTGATAGCCTGAGTTCTTTCAATTTCCAGCAACGTGTCTAGGTTCATGTTTGGCAGTTCCTTGTGCTGAAACATTTGTTTCACATGTCCTTCACGTTTTACTCCATACAATGGCCTATTGTCCTGTATACAAGTTCAAAGTTATCTCCTTGCTTCTGAAATACCATGCCTCCGATACAAATCCAAGAAATCCAAATGGGCATCCTACCATCTTTAATACCCTATATATGCATCTGCACATCAAGGTCTCTCTGTTTGTCTATATCATTTAAAATCATATAAATGATATACAGATCCATATAAACCACTATTAATTAATGAGTAAAAATAATCCTTTGTGTTCATAATTGAATGTGTTTAGTAATTAGAAGTATGACATTGTGCAGAATGTCAGTTTGGCTCAATACTCTCACCTCTGGGTCAGGTCATGGTTAAAGGCCCACAAGGGGATGTAATTATTAACAGGATGTGGCCAGTTCAAAGAGAAATTATAATAATCCTTGTATATCACTCCTTGCAAATCCCAAAGTGCTTCAAAGAATTTTACTGAAGAGTGTAGTCACTGTGTATTTGTAGTTGCACATGGCAGCCAATTTTCATACAGCATATGCAAACAGCCATAAAGTGAATGACTGACTTTATCTGAGGTAGTATTGGCTGGAACACAAAGAGGAACTACTGCACTACTCATCAACTAAATTCATTCTTTAGTAGTTGACAATCCCTGTGGATTCAACTTATTCAGTGTAAACTGCTCAATCATTTACATTCCTAAAATATTTAAAACCTAATTCAAATAGTTCTGAAAGATTTTGTAAACATTCAAAACATCCCAAGTAATTGGAATAATGAATCAACAAAAGCATGTTCTTTCCTTGCAGGAACTGACTAAAAGACAGACCAATTGGTAGTAAGCTGTTTTTTTTCTTTTAACTGGAGGAAATTGCAAAGATGAAGTTACCAATTTAGGGACTGGCCACAGCAGATAGCAATTTAGATTCACCAAATGTAATCATCTCACAATGCATGCCCTGACCTAGGGTGGTGTCTGAATTGTCTGTTTTCTCCAAAATGTAATGTAAGTATACATTATTTTTAAAAATACACAAATAGTGTTCTGTTCACCCAACTTTATTTTCAGCTCAGTCAATGAAACGGCTTCATCAGTTCTAAAAAAAAGCTCCTTAATGGCTTAATAGCTCTTTAAAATTAGTTACCAATACATCAAATAAGGAAGTCAGAGGAAACTTCTTTACCCAGAGAGTGATGGGAATGTGGAACTTATGACCACAAGGAGTAGTTGAGGCAAATAGCATAGATGTATTTAAGGGGAAGCTGGATAAGTACATGAGGGAGAAACGAATAGAAGGTTATGATGATAGGCTTAGTTGAGGAAACGAAAGAGGAGGTTCATGTGGGAGGATAAACGCCAGCATAGACCAGTTGGGCCAAATGATCTGCTTCTGTGCTGTATATTCTATAAAACTCAAGGTTATTCATCAAATCTAGCAAGGCGTATGGACGAAACACAGCACAGTTTGCACACCGAAATGTCCCACAAACAGCCATGAATTGAGGGGATTTGTTGGCCAGGACACCAGGAGAAACTCCCTTCTCTTTTTGAATAATGCCATGGGATCTTTAATGTCAACCTGAACAGGCAGACAGGACCTCAGTTTACAGATCATCCGAAGGATGGCACCTTCATCAATGCAACACACCCACAGCACTGCATTCGAATGTTAGCTTTGACTATGCAATTCTGATTCTCTATGTGAGGCTTGAACCCACAGCCTTCTGACTCAGAGGCAAGAGTACTTCCACTGCGCCAGGCTGAAAATAGACAGATGGAGTGAAAGGAAACGTGGTATTAGAACTGGAAGGCCTTTTAACTAATTCACTTGTGAGAATAAAGTAGTAGAAATACTTTTATTTTCATTGGGTATTCCTAATTAAATGAAAACGTCACTGATGCTCAAATAAATACCACTATAGTAGTTGGGAGATATTTGATTATCTTCATCCACTATGCTCTGGAACTCCCTTTCTCACTCTCTTCACCTCACCCCCTTTCTTCCTATTTTCAGGTCTCGGCTGAAGACCATTCTTTTCGACCGCGCCTTTGGTCACCTTCCTCCCCCTCCCCCTGGCTCAGCCCCAGGATCCATTACTGTGAAGTGCTCTGAGACTCCGTCTGGGTGGAGGGTGCTATATAAATCCAAGTTGTTGTTGATTATGTGGCTTTGTAACTGTGCTCCCAACGTGAAAGGCACTTTACAAATCTAATTTTGTTGTTGTTGTAGTAATGACTTAAAAACACTTAAACAGAATCTATGAACACCATGAAGTAAGTCTGAGAATGAGCCAGTCTTAATGATATTGATTTGCATTGTAATAGATTATATTAAGGTTTTAAAATAGTTTTGATCAGCAGTGGTTCTCCTAAAACAGTTCAGTGAATCCTGTGAAGTGCTTTGAGACATTGACGATGGAATAAGGTGCTATATCAAATGTAAGGATTATTTCTTATAACATCCTTTAATCTGAATTTCACTGCATGAAATACACACATCGGGATTTTTAATTCACAAAACAGAACTACACAATTTTCTACGATTGGTGAATCTTCTCGTCCAATTATATACATTGCGGTAAATGTACATGAACAGATTCCCACTGGCAGCGTCCTGTCATTGTTGGCGAACCAACAACACAAACAAGGTGTATTGCACTAACATCAAAGACAGGCGCCACCCAGAGGCAATTTCAGCAAACACAGACCACTACAAAACCACAGTGATCCATACAAATCAGTCAAAGCAGTTTTGCCATCACAAGCATTTTGGAAAGTTTGCTAGTCTCAAGGGAAAAGTACCGATGTTAGCTAAATAAATTGTCACGATTTGCAATTTGATACAAATCAGGATGAATTCACAGTAGTGAGAGTGGCACTACATAAAAACATTAAATGAAATTAATTCAGACAATGTGAACCCAGTCCAAAGGGAAGGAAGGGGAAGAGGAAAAAGGAAAATAGAGCACATTATTCAAATAATGCAAAGGTAGATTTGACTTGCTAAACTGATGCAATATCCAAGTATATGGGAGGGGAGGGAAAATGGAAGAAATCTTATTTTATGTTGGTTTAAGTAATATATAACATATAATCCTTGCAGTTTATACAGCGCCTTATATCAATAAGACATCTCAAAGAACTTCATAGGATTTCCTGGGAGAAATTTCCTTCTCCTTCTAAATAGGCCCATTGAACTTTTAACATCCACCTGAACAGTCAATCAGGACCTCAGTGAACCATATCATCCAAAAGACAGCACTTCTGACAACACAGTGCTCCCTTAACGCTGAATACAAGTTCAAGGTCTCAACATGGGGCTTGAACCACAGCACTCTTTCTTGCCTCCAAGTCAGAAGGTTATCAACTGAGCCAGGCTGACACCTGATTACTTAATTGAATCATTTGTGATTTGAATTACAAGGCAATCAACAGTGCACTATAGTACAACTCAATGCACAAAAAATGCTTCTTTCTATTTCAAAGTATCTGAAGTAACTGATTTTATTCTGGATTTGAGAACAAAATGGGTTTACTGTTTTAAGAAATACTCATCACTGTATGTTTCTCACTCGTGTATCAGTCACATGCTTTGGATATTTCACACCAACTCACATCCTATTTATTAAATAACCATAGCAACAAGTCCACCTAGCAAAGTACACCTGGCCTATTCATCTCTACCAGCTGCCAGTGCTTCTAAACAAGACATTCGCATCAGCACCCATTACCAATAACAACTTCAGATGCAAGGAAGTCACCTTCCAAATGTAAAGCTTTCATAAAATATTAAAACATTCAAACATTAATAAAAGAATCCAATCAGTAAAACCTCCGGAGGCATAATCAGTCCAAGCATTCGAGTTGGTGCTTGATTTATGCAACAATGTGCAGAATAAAAAAATGCACAGAATTTAATTTAAATGCAGTTTTAGAAGAGCTAGAGATGAAATAACTGCTGGAGGGAGATTAAGCAGAGTAAATGTTCAGAATCCATATTCCCATGGTAGAAATATCAAACCAATTTTAAATAAACGCAAAGCACAAACCGGAGTTTAAAATTAGTTTGAAATACACAACCCACACACATCGTATTGCAAGGAAGTAATGCTCATTTTATCGACGAAAAAAAGTATAATGTTTTTTTTTGCAAGATGTTCTTAGGTTTTGGAAATCATGACTAGGCTTGAAATTTCTATTCATAATTATAATAATCAGAATTTTACCAGGTTATAATAATAATCCTTGCATTTGATATGGTGTTTTTCACGTCTTCTAGACGTTTCAAAGCGCTTCACAGACTATGCTGTGAAGTGAATTGACAGTATATTTGTGGGCGAAACGCAGCAGCCAATTGCGCACAGCAATGTCCCACAAACAGTCGTGGATTGAAAATGACTAATTTATTATCGTTTTTGTTTTTTGGGGGTATTATTATTAGGCGTGTGGAGTAAGGAAACTTGCCCAAGATTTCGCCCTGCCTGGAATTGAACCCAGGTGTCTCACTTGCAAGGTGATTGCTCTAACCACTGAGCTACAGGACTCCACAGGTTCTCTACAATTCTGGCTCAGTTGGTGGTACTCTCGCCTCCGAGTAAGAAGCTTGTGGGTTCAAGCCCACGTCAGGAATCAAGAACATAAGAATAGCTTCAGCTCCCCTGTTCATATGTTTTATCAGATCATGGCTAGGGCTGCAAATTTGTCATAGCAGAACAAAATATGATGGATACTGTGATTTTTCCATTTGTCCCATACATTTCCCACTTTAACCTTGAGAGGCTGGTGCTTGCGCATGCACAGCCCAGCCATTGCCCACGAAAACAGTCAAGAGTTTTTCATGCCTTAGTTGTTGGAAATGTTGGAAGCTCTGAAGAGATATCATTGAATTTCTATACTCCCATGACTTCTCCCAACATTTCCCTGTACACTTTTGACATTCACTAAATTTACTGCGACTGCTCCATGTCTTTTGACAAACAATTCTACGCCAAATCTGTAGTCCTAATCATGGCTGTTCTATATCTCAACTCCGATTTACTCGCCCTTTCTCCATATCCGTCGATACCCTTAAGTAATAAATATATTGATCTCAGTCTTGAAATTTCCAATTGACCCAACATCTAAAGCCTTTTAGGGAAGAGAATTCCAAAATTTTCACAACCCTTTGCGTGAATAGTTTCTGGTTTCACTTCTAACTGCCCCAGCTCTAATTTTCGGACTATGCCCCCTTGTTCTGGATTTCCTCACTCGAGGAAATAGAATCTCTGTATCTACTGTTATAATTTTAAACGTCTCAATTAGATCTTCCTTCAGCCTTCTGAACTCACGGGAATACAAACCAAGTTTATTCAACCTATCCTTATAATTTAATCCTTTCAGCCTCAGTATTATTCTGGTGAATCTACAATGTACTCCTCCTAAGGCCAATAGATCTTTCCAGAGTGCGATGCCGAAAACTGAACTCAATACTCAATGCTCTGTACAACTGAAATATCACTCCAATTTTGTATCCCAAACCCCTTGAGATAAAGACCAACATTCCATTAGACTTTTTGATTGCTTTTTGTACCTGCATACTAGCTTTTAGTGATATGACCTAGAACTCATATAGTCTAGGTTGATACTCCAATGCAGTGCTGGAGATGTGCTGCATTTTTCAGCTGGCTCCCTTCAGGTGAGATGATAAACCCGTTAAAGATCTCATGTCACTATTCAAAAAGCAAAGGTTGTATCTCCCCGTTTTCAGGCCCACAAGCTCACAAACAAAATTGATCATTCATTTCATGGCTGTTTGTGGGCACCTTTGTATGCAAATTAGCTGCCATGTTTGCTTTAAAAAAGTCACAATACTTTACAGCATATCCTGTGAGGCGTTTTGAGATGTCCTGACATAAAAGGCACCATATTAAAAGCAATAATTATTAATAACCGTAGCAGTGCAATGCAGTATGGAATTTGTCGCTTTTCCTACGTCCATACCCCCAAAAAAGGATTTCTTTGAAAGTAATCAATGGATCAACTCACACACACTAATTCACTGGGTGCAAACGGCTAATTTTCTTTGATCAAGATCCTAAGTAACCAAAAAAATTGCCTCTGAAATGCATTTTCAATTGAGCCGCCTCCGCTGTACATCCCATAACAGTACATAGCTTCCAGTACTTCAAATTGCTTTCCAAGCTCACATTTAAACGTACAGTACTGTAAACTCTGCAAAGCAAACAACGATGGCTTCCCCCACCACAGGCGGATGTCATGTTTATTAAGCGTCCCATCGTCGTGTCCTGAATTATAAAGTCAGCTGCTAAATTCCAATGTTTCTCTTTAGGATCTCGACCGTCATACAAACATAACGTCCGTTTTTATTTTCGTGGAAAGATCTGGACCGCGTGAGATTAAAACTGCACCTGAATTCAAAATTCCCAACCAACTACACGATTAATAAGCGGGTGGGGAGGGAGGGGGGGAAGGGAGGGGGTCACCGATCGAGCCGATAAATCCTGAAAGCCGAACTCGAACCAGTCCAGTCAACAAAAAAGGGCAAATAAACCTTAGAAAGAGTCTCAAAAGAAAGAGACGAAATAACGATCGCTGATCGGGAATCATTGTAGATAATGGAGGGAGGGGGTTGCGAGGGGTCAACCGTTGCGCCAGATGCACGGAAGGGGGGGGGGGGGGGGGGAAACGTTATAAGCCGAAGCGACAAAGCCAACGATTAGCAAAAAAAAAAGTACATGAATATACACAGTAGACACACAAACCACGAAGCGAACAAACGGGATCTGCTTCACTGCAGCATTTTTTTTCTGGAAAAAAAAACGCGCAATTACTTCAGGGGGAAGAGGGGGAGAAGAGGGAGAGAGACGCACACACAACGCACAGGCACAATAGTCCTTTCGAGCAGCGTGAGCTTTACACACCAAAACCACGAAACTAAAGCGCTCATTTTTCGCCTCATATTCGCTGCGATACACGACGGCTTTTGTTGAACCATCGTTAGTTCAGCTCGAGCGCTGCTCAACCACCACCACCACCTCTCTCTCTCTCTCCCCCAACCCCCCCCTCTCTCCCCACCCAAAAAATAACATAGATATCCGAAGCCGCACTCCATTCTGTCCGCTCAACCTAACCTGATAGCAGGCGCCCGCCTCTCCGCTGAGCTGCGATTGGCCCGCCGACAGCACCAGCTCGCGTCTCGCCAGCCGACGGAGGCACCCCATTGGCCGAGAGCCCCATCGGTCACAGCGTTGACTCCCCTCCTCCCTCCCCCCCTCCCCCCGCGCGGGCTCGCGACGTGTCCGTTGGCAGCAATTTAGGTTGCGGCGCCGGAGAAAAGTCGAACTACGCCACGAGGCCTAGCGCGAGCGGCCGCCTAACGGCCGTGAGGGGAGCGCCAGGCCCGAGCAGCAGCAGCGTCCTCTCTCCCACTCCGCCCGCCATCTTCTGCCGCCATCTTCCCGGCGGGGAAGCCATGTTTTCGGGCGGCCATACTGACATGGCGGCGCCCATAAAGCAGGGGAAACATGGCTTCCCTTCAAAACAAAAACACTGATAAATACTGATTCGGGCGCCAGAAAGGGGCAAAAATAGCCGGGTTTTTCGTCCTCGCTCCCCTCCCCCCACCAGATGCGGCGGGACACGCCCTAAGGCCAGAGACGGGGGTAAAGACAAACTCCAGCCGCCGAATCTTTTGACTAAAAAGCAAAGCAGCCCCGAGCGGTTAAGTTTAGCGCCACTCACCCGAAGCCCACATTGTCACCGAGAACTCTCCTTCCAGGGTCTTGATCTGCACTTGTTTCTGCTCCCATTTCCTCCCGCTCCTGTCCAGGCCCCCGTCGTTCAAGTAACTCTTCTTGGTGGCTTTCTTGCCGGCTCCCTTCTTGATGCGGCTCTTGCCCGAGACGGCCGTGACTAAGGTCTGCTCTATGAATTCTTCCTCGGCCCCCGCCACCGGCACGGGGATGAGGATCTGATCCTCGAAACCGTCGTCGGCTCTCAGCTCGCCCTCGTCGCCCACTACCTCTTCGCGGGTCTGAACCAGGATCACCTCCTGGTGGACCTGGCTCGGGTCGTCGCTGAGGGGCTGCAGGGCGATCATGGGCTGGTGCTCGTCGCCCTCCACCACCGTCGTCTCGATGGTCTCCACCGGGATGGTCTCCACTTCGATCTCGTGAAGCTCCACGATCTCCGCCGGCATTTCCGAGCCGTCGGCGGCGATGTAAAGCGTATCCCCCGATGCCATTTTTTGTTCGGGGCTTTTACACAGATATATATACGGGGAAAAAATGTTGGCTGCTGTATGTTTCACCCCTTTTGATCCGCAAAAAAAAGAAAAAAAAAATTCTTCCGCTCTCAACCTCTCTCCTCCGGGTCTTCCCCCCCCCCCCCCCCCCCGCCCGCCCGCCTGCCTTTTTTTTTGGGGGGGTGTACAGATATTATATACAGATATATAGATCTCTCTCGGCAACAATTAACCAGAAAATATCAGCTCGAAATCTCGCCACAGGGGAAAAAAAAACGGCAGCCACCATCCGCCCGGGCGCTGCGCGCGACTACCGCGAGACTTCATTCCACTTCCTGTCCTTCATGATTTGCCCTTATTCACATGTGCCAACATGTACAGCGGCGGCGCTCGCGTGTGGGTGTGTGTGTCTCCACCACTCCACAGCTACTGCAGCGTTAGCCCAGTCTAACCCCCCTCCCCCAGACCGGCCACTTTTCTGTTTGCAAGAGGGTGGGGTGGGTGGGTGGTGGGGGGGGGATCGGGGGAGAGGGTGAGGGGGTAAACCGAGAGACTTGGCACCATCCGCCCGTCGCGTTTGCTCGACCCCACAACCATCTTCTCCACTCTCTTTTCCCACTCCCACCCTCTCTCTCTCGCTCGCTCTCTCTCTCTTCCTCTCTCTCTCCCCCCCCCCCCCCCCCCACACCCACTCATCACTCTCGCTCTTTCTCTTCCTCGCTCGCTCCCTCCCCCCCATCACCCTCTCTCTCTCCCCTCCATCACCCTCTCTCCCCCTCCCATCACCCTCTCTCCCCCTCCCATCACCCTCTCTCCCCCTCCCATCACCCTCTCTCCCCCTCCCATCACCCTCTCTCCCCCTCCCATCACCCTCTCTCCCCCTCCCATCACCCTCTCTCTCCCCTCCATCACCCTCTCTCCCCCCATCACCCTCTCTCCCCCCCATCACCCTCTCTCTCTCCCCTCCATCACCCTCTCTCTCCCACCCATCACCCTCTCTCCCCCTCCATCACCCTCTCTCCCCCCCATCACCCTCTCTCCCCTCCATCACCCTCTCTCCCCTCCATCACCCTCTCTCCCCCCCATCACCCTCTCCCTCTCCCCCTCCATCACCCTTTCCCTCTCCCCCTCCATCACCCTCTCTCCCCCTCCCATCACCCTCTCTCTCCCCCATCACTCTCTCCCCCTCCATCACTCTCTCCCCCTCCTTACCATCTCTCCCCACACACCCACCACCCTCTCTCCCCCCATCACCCTCTCTCCCCCCCACACCCATCACCCTCTCTCTCTTCCCCCACCCACCAACCCTCCCTCCCCCCAACCACCACGTACATCTTCTCGCTCTTCTCCCCCCACACCCCCATACATCCCCCCCCCTTCCCGTACATCACCCACTCCCTTCCGCATATCTTCTCCCTCTCCATCCTGCGTATGTGCAGTGCAATCCCCCCCCCCCACCCGTATCCTTGCTGTTTGCTGTGCGAGCGTTTTAAGAAACCAAATAAATACGTCTCCCCTTCCCTATATCTTCTCCCCCATCCCTCCTGTAGATCTCCCCCAACCCCTCCCAGTGCATCTTTTCCTTCTCTCCCCCCCCCACCCCCCCGACTCCCTCCTGTACACCTGTATCGTGTATATGTGCTGTGGTTCGCACCCCCCTATAAATCCTTGCTGTTTGCTGTACGTCTCCCCTTCCCTATATCTTCTCCCCCATCCCTCCTGTAGATCTCCCCCAACCCCTCCCAGTGCATCTTTTCCTTCTCTCTCCCCCCCCCCCTCCCCCGACTCCCTCCTGTAGACCCGTATCGTGTATATGTGCTGTGGTTCGCACCCCCCTATAAATCCTTGCTGTTTGCTGCGCGAACGTTTTAAGAAACCAAATGAATACCTTTCTCAGTTTCTTTCGCATTGTGGGCTTGCTAATAAGTAAATACACAAATATGCTTTGCAATGTCCTCATTTGCCCAGCAAAGTATCTCTCCTTCCTATCGTGTGTATCTCTCATTGAAAATAAAATAAAATTAAAAAATGCTTTTAATAATTCTGCTGTTGTAGGTTGAGCTTGCTCTTGTGAATTCATTTGGACCTTGCCCAGTTTAATCTTAATTTTATTTCCTGGAGCACGCCCCCCTCTTTGCATGATTTCTTCGCCTCTTTAAATTAAGGGAGCAGCACTGCAAATGCTTTCAAAAAGTCACAGGAGGGCTTAGCAGCAACACAGTCTCTCAAACACACACACACACAAAAAAAAAGTAGCTCAGTGTTAAACATCATGGGGCTCAAGCCTAGAAGAGATGATTTTGAATGGGTTTATACGGATCAACCTCATACCCAGAGAAGGAAAGAAATGTTGGGTACGTACGATTTTTTTAAAAAAAGTAAAGCCCATGAAAGTTACTGGTTTATACAGTGTTTGGCTTATCGATATCACTGTAGTTAATACACCGAAGTCATATTTCGACAAGTATATGTTATGAACTTTTTTTTAAAAAAATGTACAAGTTGCTTAAATAGATATGTTTCTCCCTCAAAATCCCCACCTGTGATATTGACATCGGGAAGAAGGTGTTTGTAATGGCAAATAATTTGGACCATTTTATACCTCCTGTCTCAAAGTCTGAAATCTGGTCTCCGCGTTTCACAGAGAGCAAATATATTTCTTCTTCCACACAATATACAAGAGACTGTATACAAAGACTAATATATCTACCACTGATTTATTCTTGAAAAATAACTCTTACATTTAATAGAGCGCTTTACAGGATTCACTGTCAGTTGTAGTGACTGTGTAGAAATTTGTCAACTGCTTCCAAAAATAATCCTTTCTCTTTAGTTCAATCAGTATTTGTACCAAGTCAAGAACTAATTTAAAGTTACACCAAATTTTCCCCCCAAATGTCCTGCAGCGTTTTATCGAATGAATGAATGAGTAAATACCACCGAGTAATGACAATTACTGAATTCTGTATTTGCATTGCATACTTAGGGAAATAGCAAACATTGAGAAATCGACATGGGAAGGTGTGGGCTCGGTCTGTCATTGTTGAGGATAACTCGAGCAAACTTGTAGAACAGGATTGGCAAATAAATGTTTTTATTTCAGTCTGCAATCACAATTCATCCACAAACTCTCTGGAGCATTTAACAATCTCATATGTGTTTCTAAATTAGCTGGTTTCAGCGACTGATATGCAAAATATATTGATTCCAAGGCTATTGGGAATTAAAAGTCGGTTTAATAGAAATCTCGAGACGTTTAAACTCTGTTCGCGGACCATTCTGACCCATGACGTGCTGTTGGGATTTGTGGGTGAGGTGAGACGAGGGGTGGAACTGCATTTGTGTTTTTTTCAACAGAGAAAGGTAGTCACCCGTTTAATCCATTATATAAAAAAGAGGATTTTGCAAATCAAGGGTGGGAGGATTCCCACCTGGGTGTGATACCTGGCTATGCATGAGCATAAGTATCAGTTGGTGATTATATTTCAACTGGAACCTGAATAGCACAGGTGCAATTTTAACCTTTTCAGGACCACTCAGATTTCTGCATTGGAATAAGAATCCCCGGAACGATCGTTCTATCAAAACTTTTAGTTTGCGACTTCTTTTTTAATATACACTTCGACAGATATTAAAACCACAGTGAGGGGGAGACAGAAGTTCACATAATGTCCATTTCCCCAGGTCCCCTTCCTACGCGCAGTAGGAATGTGGCATTGATTTATGTTGTAAATAAGTCCAAAGATGCGAATTTACTGCTTGTAATAAAACCAGTCTAGTGAGGGGGTTGTTTACTCGTTTCTAGCGTATGTGCACCAAGGCTACTAAAGGCAGAAGGTTTTGGCTTTGTTTCGATTCAAAAAACTGGTATTTATTGGATTACTATGGCATCTAATATAATCCCAGACATATAGAATGTCATGTAATTCAATATCAAATGCAACAAAACACAGATGAAACCCCATGGAGGTTTAACACTTGGAGGTTAATTTGGCTTCAGTGAGTGTTCTGCAAATTGATGGATTTTTCTTTGCAATTGGGCGGATTAAGATCCCCAAATACAAGTGCAAAATTCGTGTTCTATTGGGAGAGGTCCCTATAATTTCTGTTGACCTGTTCAAGGGCAGTCAAGTGTACAGACAGTGGTGATGGTGTTAAACTACCGAAGATGCCTATTTAAGATGCACCTATCACCTTATTTAAAATGATGACATTGTATAATAGGAGCGATAATCTTTACTCCTCAAACATTCCCAGTAGTAAAACAACTTAAATGCCTTGGTTAATTGTACTTTCATAGAAGCTTACAGCACAGAAAAAGGCCAATCAGCCCATTGTGGCTGTGCTGGCTCTTTGAAAGATCTATCCAACTAATCCTATTCCCTCACTCTTTCCCCATAGCCTTTCAATTTTTTTGCTTTTCAAGTACATCCAATTCCCTTGCGAAAGCTATTATTGAATCTGTTTCCAAGACACTTTTAGGCAGTGCATTCCAGATCATAACAACTTGCTGCGTAAAAAAAATGCTCCTATCTCCCCTCTTTCTTGGGGGGGGGTTTCTTACACAATTTGAAAGACTACAATTCAAATAGATTTGTGTGTAAGAAATCCACAGTTTACACCAGGAGGCTTTGTTGAGTAGATATCTGCATCTGTCAGAGGTGTTCTCAAAACCTATAGTCCTGCATTTGAAAGGTCATTTCTCACTTCCCTTTGTCTCCCAATGTTGTTATATAAAATGCAAAAACTAATTTGAAGTTAACAATTCTATGCTACTACTATCACTTAGATATGAATAGAAAGAATTAGATAATACAGTATTGGTTAGGTGGCTGCCCACGACTGCTTTTGAATAAACTTCATGTAACTCGAGTAACTATTGAAGCCAAATTATGAGAATATCTAATCATCTAGAGTAATGAATTATTAAGTATCCATTATATGATATTCCCAGAAAGTCAACCATGGCTTTTAGCAGCTATTAAATATTTGAGGCTTCACATTTTTAAAATCATATCCTATTAATTATTATTATTTTACAGGTGCAGTGTTTAATCCATTATGGCAAGGGTTATTTTAAGCGTTCAAAATAAACAATTATTTAAATTTTTGAAGGACTGTTGCAATAACAAGGCTGTTGTTCCCATCAGTTCAGCAATAACTACGTATTTTCATTAAATATAACCAAAAAGAACTGGTGCTCCACTGTTTTATATTACAAGAATACGTTCTGTGTTAATACTTAATGCAAGGGTGATTTTAAAAAAAGATGTAGAATTTAGTTGAATGAAAGGATGTGATTATGTGCTACTGAGTCATCAGCAGTGAGACCTTGGCGAAAACATCACCTAGCACATGGTATATACGGTATATTTATATGTACGTTAATCAAATAACATTAAAGAATTCTCATTTAATTCAAACATCATAAAAGTTTGAAGCTGTTTATTTAACCGGTGGAGTACACACCTTAGAGGAACAAAAGAGCTGTAGTCCACACCTTAGAGGAACAAAAGAGCTGTAGTCCACAATCCACCCAAACCCATGTGGAAGTACAAATTTCACAGCAGGTTGCGTAAAACCTCTACTGTGTACATATTGTTTCCATAATAAGCTTTTGGGTGGGATGATAATACACACGTTTTATATGGTCTTAAGAAGAGCGACATTATGGGTGAGCCCTGACTGGCTGTTGTTTATTTCTGAAACATGGAACTCTTGATAATCCTCGATTGTTTTCAAACTGTACAACCAAATTTAAAGATCATTGTTTTTATTACCATATACTTTGGCCTTTGATGTGACTCTTATTATTGTGCTTGACCATCCTCTAACACACTGCTTTGTGTTAAGTGAAGGGTGCACTTGGGTTAGGCATTTTCTGGAACCACCTGCATAGCAGAATTATCTGAATCCCTCTAATTGTGATGGGGAAGGGCAGAACATTACCTAATCGCATTTCAGCAATAAATATGTGCCCAGATGTAAAACCATGAGGCAATGCACTTGGAGCTCTGAATTTTTTTAACATTAAATTCTTTTGCTTTTACATCCCTCTCAAGTGAATCTATCCCATTCCACATCCTTCCAATTCCTGACTCCTGGCCTTTCACCTCACACTGAGTGTCCTCTGTGGATTGGGTTGTAAGAACCCTGGAGGGTTTACAGCATAAAATTTTCCTTAATTAGGTACTAAATTGGTAGTTCCCTCACATTCACAGAGCTGGTATGATTCTGGTGTGGAAAATGCTGTACAATAATTGCTGTGCACAGATCGGCTACTATGTGCACGTACAAATACAGTCACTAAACCTCACGCTAAAAATGCTGTAAAGCACCTTGAGATGTTTCAATACCTTTCTAACCAGGCAACATCCTAAATGGCCCTGCACCTTGGTTTTAACAAATATTTTTTCTTTGTGCCAATCAACTTTGAATATATTATCTTGGGCAGGAGTTTTAATAGAATTTCTCGACACAAGCATAAATAAATGCTTTCTTTTTAAAGAATGTTGCCGCCATCTGATGGCATGGACCTCTTTCTTCCCCTGTGTTTCTTCTCCATTTGCCATGACTGCTTGAACCATATACTGTACTCTAACTAGCAGGACAGGTTAGGTCCCTGTTTCCATACTACTGTGTATACTGTTTCTAACTGATGTACAAGAAGGCATATACCTGTATTCCTTGTGGGGAAATGTTGGCTTCCACCTGATACCTTCCCTTCTAATGACTATACTGTTTGTTTGGAGCAGATGGATTTACTGGTTCTTGGCAACGTAAACAAGATATGGATGCTTAAATCTTGCTAGCAGAAATAATCTTGCTATTAGGTTAACACAGTTGAGCAAGAGTCCAGACCCAGATGATTGGAGTTATTAAAAATCAGGATACCTATAAAATAAACCTACTGGGCTATAACCCCAACTTTATGGCCCAATTTTATTTGTGATCTACAGATAACATGCAAATGGGTGGGTATCGAGATTGACCATTGAGGTCAGGATAGTTCCTGAACTGATTGCATAGACTTTCCTTTGGGTAAAAGAATCAGATTGCCTGGAGAACATGCGTTCGCCCATTAGATCATTGGGTTATCAGAGCCAGGGTTACATTCCATTATGTCTCGTCCTTCCAAGCAAGTAATTCAATCATCAACTGTACCAGGAGAAGTGGTAAATCTGGCTGGCCCAGGTATTGGATTACGGAATCGTTCAACCCCAGAGAGATTGTGTAGCTTCCCTCTGATCGTCATAAATTGGTGATTGGATAAATTCAGATTTCGTAGATTAGAATGTTAATTTCAACTGAAGGTAACAACATGTAAAAGGAAGTAAAATAGTGTTTATTTTCTGAAACGTCTGTGTTCTATTATCCTACCTTGAGGTTGCTTTGATGGAGGAGAGAGTTTTGGAGATGAAAAGCTAAACATATTGGTGTATCCTCTTGAGCCTGTTACAGTCATAGTTCAACCTGTTTTACATTGTTTCCCCTGACGCTGCATTGCATCTCTCTCTGCAGACTACACGATACACACAACTTCACTTCTCTATATAGTGAAATACCATCGTACTACATTAGAGAATTACATAAATATGGTTTTAATTCCCTATTACAACCTAGAAGTGAAATGATTTAGCAGGTGTGCCAATGAATTTATTTGCTGAATCAATTTACTGTGCTTTAATTCCTAAGTTACTACTATTGTGCTGCCAGGTTTCGTATCCTCAAATACTGGAATAGTTCCATTTCTGAAATGTCATTAGCTTTAGATTTAAAATTTTCAGTCTTCAGTTATGCAGTGAGCTGTATGTCATAGAATGGCGTTCAGAGTTTCTTACTACCATAGTGTGATTGTAGCAATAATGGAACGAAAGTAACAATGACAACAAAATTACATTTATATATTGCCTTTCACGTCAGGAGGATGTCCCAAGTTGCTGGACAGACAGAGTTTTGGACCTAAGCTGAGGGTCAGGATGGAGGAGGGAGGAGGGCAGGTGGGGAAGCAGGGAGATTGAAAGCACGATCGAAGAAGAGGGTCTTGAGTTGAGTCTTGAAGGTGGCAAGGGAGGGGGCGATGGAGGGACTGCAGGATGAAGCTCAAGAGCGTGAGTGCAGAGTGGTGGAAGGCCCGCCCCCTATAGTGGGGCGAGCAAGGCGGGGGACGTGAAGTAGGCCAAAGCCCACTGCGCGGAGAGAGCGAACAGGATGGTAAGGGGGTTAGGAGGTCGGAGAGGTAGGGGGGAGCAAGACCATGGAGGGCTTTAAAGGTGAGGACCAGGATCTTGAACTGTATCCTCTGTGTGATGGGAAGCCAGTGGAGTTGGGCAAAGATGGAGGTGATAGGGTCGTGGAGCCTGGTGCGGGAGAGGACACGGGCTGCAGAGTTCTGGATGATCTGCAGCCTGTGGAGGGAGGAGTTGGGGAGGCCGACAAGCAGTGAGTAGTCGAACCTCAAAGTAATGAAGGCGTGTATGAGGGTTTCGGCGGCCCGCGGTTTGAGCCAGTGTCGGAGGTGGGGGAACGCAGAGCGGGTCATGGCATGAATGTGGGGTAGAAAGGATAGTTGAGGGCCTAAGATCCTAAGGTTCCGGTCTGGCTTAGCAAGGTTGAGCATGCAACCATGGTTGGTGATACTGTCAACGCCTTAGGTGAGGAGGCGCTGATGGGAGCCAATCAGGAGAGCCTCGGTCTTAATATAATTCTTATGCCGAGTATGTAGGAGTACTTTTTTTTAAGTACAGTACTATGGATTTCATTGGTATTATACAGTACTTAGTTTAATGCTGGTGATTAGCATCAATGGGAGAAACTAAACTGGCTAAATATCCAAAGTGATGGAAAAACAATATAATCCAGTGTATGACATACAGAGATTAATGATTTTATCTCTGTATGAATAATTAAATTCATGTAATCAAACGTCCTACATGGAAAAAATGGCTCTTCAGGAAACTTACAGCCATAATTTGAACCCAAAGATAAGATGAAAATCGTCAAATCCTGACACATGCTACCTGTGTAATACCAATTCTTCCATTTCATGTGAATTTTTCTATACATACGCGGTAGTACAAGCTAGTCTTGTTTTCTATCCTTGATTTGTGATAATGGTTACACAAGATTACCCTCTGAACTGCTGTGGGTTTATTGTGAAAAACTGTAGCCAGAAAGGTTTTACCTTGCATCATCTGATCTGAATTGAAAAAAAATGTCAACCTTACAGTTTGGGCTAATGATGCTTTTTATTTGAAACAACTGTGTTTAATACACTCAAACATCTAATTGTGTCAACAGAGCAATCCAATAATTCACATGACATCAGGGTTTTATGAATATAAAATGGCTTTTGTGTTGCTCTGGTTACTAATCACTAACTAGGAGAGCTGAATGCTGTTCTGACTGAGGTGTGGCCCTTCTTTTGTCAAAGGAGGTCAAAGTTGACTTCCTTTGAGAGGATACAATCAATATTCCGAACCTTTATAACATTCACATTTAAATGTTGAATAGTTTTGCATTTTTAAATTGTCAGTGTTTAATATACAAAATTTGAATTGGCTTCAGAGACTAAACCTTTCTCAGTACATGTGCCTGTTGCCTACATTATTTCAAGTTGTTCAAGTTTCTTAGAAGCAAATGCAATAAGGGTGGCTCCCTCTACACAATTGATCACAATGATATGGGAAGGCGGTATTCTTGAAGCTTAGCATATGCTTATGACCTCATGACTATTTCCCTAACAGTATGTTTGCATTACATGATACTTTCAAAATTTTAACTATTAACAAAAATTTCTTTCCCCACAGCTAAGTATCCAGAGATCAAGTCACTAATGGGGCCAGACCCAAACCTAAAATGGATTGTATCTGGAATGGTCCTTACGCAATCTATCACCTGTTTCCTCGTGAAGGATTTGTCCTGGAAGTGGATTATATTCTGGGCGTATGCTTTTGGAGGTGCCATTAACCACTCATTGACACTAGCAATTCATGATATTTCTCACAATGTTGCATTCGGCAACAAGCAAGCAAAGTGGAATAGATTATTTGCTATGTTTGCTAATCTCCCCATTGCGATGCCTTATTCAGCATCATTCAAAAAATACCATATAGATCATCATCGATACCTCGGAGGAGACGGCCTAGATGTGGACATTCCTACTAAGTTTGAAGGATGGTTCTTCTCCACTCCATTTCGCAAACTGATTTGGCTCATTCTCCAACCACTCTTTTATGCTCTCAGGCCTCTTTATGTGAACCCAAAATCCATTACGAAGTTGGAAATATTAAATGCTTTGGTGCAGTTTGCATATAATTTTCTTATCTACTACTTCTGGGGTTTGAAACCGATCATTTACCTGCTGGCAGGCTCGCTCTTAGGTATGGGTTTGCATCCAATCTCTGGACACTTCATTGCTGAACACTACATGTTCCTGAAAGGACATGAAACCTACTCATACTATGGAGCTCTCAACTGGATAACCTTCAATGTGGGATACCACATGGAGCACCATGATTTCCCCAGCATTCCTGGCAGCAAACTCCCTTTGGTATGTACCCCTGATTTTGAGAAGCCTTGCAGTGTGGGACTTGCAGTTTTACAATGACAAACCCACTCTGCAACTTCACAGAAGTAATTCTTGGAATATTACTGTATTACAGAAAACCTAAATTGAAACTACTTTTTTTTAAAATTGTAATATTTTAAAATTCTATGCTACACATTCTGAACAAATGTATGCTTATTGGAATTACCTTAATCACCAGCTACAGTAACAAACTGCAAGGTGCAGTCGCTGAATCTAGTTGAAGTATTATCATCTAGCAAGTGCAATATTTTAATTTTCTTTTTAAATTACTTCATAAATATTTTGACACTATTTACAATTTTAATGATATCAACTATTGTTGTTTTATGCAACTCTCACAACAACTTGCATTTACAATAGCACCCCTCACGCAGGGTATATATAAAATATTTACACACACACAGTATTGGCAGCAATTTAATAATTCTTAATAACTGCTGCTGCTCAGCTACTTAATATAGTACTTGTTGTGTTTGAGACAATTGAAATTGTACAGCTGAGTTGCATGGCATCTAACCAGACAGCACCTACCAATCAACATGTGACAGGTGGACAACCTTGAAGTCACTTACAGGACAAAACCAGTAAACTTATCAAAACAGTTCAGCAGCACTGAGCAGCAACATCCTCACTGCGATGCAATTAAATGATATGGCTCATAATTAAAACTGTTCCAAAACTGCAAGCTGTTGCAAGTGATATTTTTTTAATATAAAAATGTTAGCACTTCCTTTCTCACGTCCACCAGTTTCACTAAGTGGGTGAAAATAAAATCACGCTGGATAAGTAACTAAATTGCCACTGTGCGTGATGTTTTTTGCAGTGGTTTAATGATATGCCTGGAGGAAATAGCCGATGTGTAAATAAAGGAGAGATTATTTCCACTGGTCAGTGAGTCAGTAACTGAGTAACATTTAAAATCGTTAGCAACGAGTTAATAGGGAAGTAAGGAGAATTCATATGGAAGAGAAATCTGGACAAATACCTTAAAAAGAGACAGCTACAGAGGTATGGGGAAGGGGCAGGTAAGTGGGACTGAAATGATTGCTCTTGAGGGAGCTGACACAGACACGATGAGCCACATGGCCTTCTTTTATGCCGTAAATGTCTATGGTTCTATAGTTTGGGTTAAAGATGCGATTACAACCTGGTAATGGTGGATTTAATAATAATAATCCTTGCATTTGATATAGCACTTTTCATGTCTTCTAGATGTCTCAAAGCGCTTCACAGAATATACTGTAAAGTGAATTGACTGTATATTTGTGGGCAAAACGCGGCAGCCAATTGCGCACAGCAGTGTCTCACAAACAGTCGTGGATTGAGTGACCAAATTATTGTTTTTTTTTCTTGAGGGATTATCAGACATGTGGAGTAAGAAAACTTGCCCAAGGTTTCGCCCTGCCAGGAATCGAAGCCAGGTCTCTCTCTTGTGAGGCAAGCGCTTTAACCACTGAGCTACAGGACTCCACTATTTCTAGAATAGAGAGTATACAGCGTTTTTGGTACACAGCAAAAGATTTTTTACTACTGGTCAGAGAGCTGCTTAAACACTTTGGAAACGTTTATGCTTTTAACTTTTAACTGTAGACGTGCTCCAGCAGTTTGGAATGAATGACCAAAGTAATGGGTATTTGGGCCATTTCACTAACTGCACAAACCCTACTCGTGTCTAATGAAATGCAGATTAGGCTGAATGTGGTTGTGCCTGGTGCATTTCAATGCCTCCAGGCATTCTTTACCTGTTTTCAGTGCAGCGTTTCTTTCAGTGCTGTTGGATAAATATTCTCTCTTGAGAGAGTGGGGGTGGGGCGGGGGGGCGGGGTGGTTGGTGGGGAGGGAGGGACTGAAACATTTAAGAAGGGGACACAAAATAAACAGTCAATCCACCATCGGCAGCCATACTTTCAGCTACTGTGCCCCAAAGCTTTGGAAGCTCCCCTTATCCCTTCGGCTTGCCCCGTCCTTCCCCTCTTTTAGATCACGATTGAAGACCCTTCACTTCGACCGCGCTTACGGTCACTTCCTCCCTCTCCCGAATTCAGCGTCGAGCTCTGCCACTGTTAAGGGCTCCGGTACGCTACCCTGCATGAAGGGCACTATATAAATGCCAGTTTGTTGTGATTACTTCCAAAATATTAAACGGCATTGTTACCACCAGAAGATCCTAGTGTTGTTGTGGTTCTTCAGTTTCAACCATGACTGTGTACATTCTGGTTTCTTCACTGAGAAATGATTGGAAACTATGTTAGACTGTACTTCCTTCTCATCATCTGACTGCAACAAAACAACCTGTGTTTGCTGTTCCTCTTTTTGCTACCCTATTTAGGGTGAGTTTTAACAGCTCATTGCAGGTTATTCATTAAACCTGCAAAATTGTTAAACTATCTAAGTAGTTCTGGCTGCTGACCATGAACATTTCTAACTATCATACAGATGTGCTGCCTTTACAGCACCTGGAAGCTTTGAGCTTCAACAGAGTTCTTCTCTCCAACTGCATGGACTGGATGGAAGCAGGCACGCAGTGATGGATGAGGTTGTTTCATTTCTATATCTTTTTTTCAGATCCACTTTGAGGGATACATGATGGATCATTGTATATATTTTGCCCACAAAATATACAGTCACTACGCTTTGCAGTGTATTCTAAAGAGCTTTGACACATCACAACAAAATAAGGCGCTATATCAAATGCAAGATTATTATTAATACAGAAAGTATTCCGCAAATGACCAGATCATGAAAACCACAAGAACCAAAGATAATAATCCTTGCATTTGATAGAACGCCTCATCACATCATTGAGACGTAGCAAAGCGCTTCACAAAATATATTGTATTATTGAAAGCTAGAAAAGTTGTTTCGGATTTAACATTCACTATAAAGTTTGTGTACGCTTATGTTGGGCAACCTTCGATTAGATTCTGTGTGAATAGGAAAAACAGGTGTGGTTCAGTTCACACAGGTGTTCACGTGGAGTCCTGTCGCTCAGTGGTTAGAGCACTCAATTTGCAAGCGAGAGACCGGAGTTCAATTCCAGGCAGAGGGCGAAACCTTGGGCAAGTTTCCTTACTCCACACGCCTAATAATAATCCCTCCAAAAAAACAAAAAAAATAATAAATTGGTCATTTTCAATCTACGACTGTTTGTAGGACACTGCTGTACGCAATTGGCTGCCGCATTCGCCCACAAATATACAGTCAATTCACTTTACAGTGAATTACAGTGACGTCTCAAGCGCTTTGAGACGTCTAGAAGACGTGAAAAGCGCTATATCAAATGAAAGGATTATTATGTTTGTGCCAGAGCTGCTTATTTATATAAAAATATTTGTTAGTAAAATGGGATTTGACAAGTCACCTGCCAAAACATACTCACTGAGCCTATGTGGAACCTCATTGTTTGTCTCTCGATTCTCCTTCACACTTTTCATCTGAACCAATTTGAAGCAAATATACTTTCCTCCATCTCCGCAACATAGCCCGTCTCTGCCACTACTTCACCTCATCTTCGCAATTGTCACCTCCAGCCTCTATTTTACCTATTCCATTCTCACTGGTCTGCTCGGCTCGGCTCCACTTTGCAAATGCTTTTGTGGCCTTACCCCACCTTATCTCCTGTGGCCTTACTGACCCTCCCCATCATTGACAGGCTAGCTTTCAGCACTTTGCCCTATTCCCAAGAATTCTTTCCAAATCCCTCCACCTCATCCCTCCCTCTCTTGCTTTCAAAAGAAGACCTCTCTCTTTGAAGATCAACTTTGAGAATGGACCTACAATTCAGGGTTAATGACTCCAAGTAGTTACTAAGCAGTACTGAGAGAGCTGAAGGCAATTTCAGCATTACCCCCTCCCCTGCTCTCATTGTTGCCCCAATTGAGATCAGCTACGTCAGCACGATTAGCAAACCTGTGACCTTCGGTTCTGAATTTATCAAAACCAATCATGAATATAATGCTCGTAATAAATATTTAACACTTAAACTATCATTAAAGTACAGTTTACATTATGTTTTGTGATGAGATCAGAAAGTCAAAGGCTTGAGTGCCAAGTTAACTTTCCTCAGCCTGGACAACAAACAGAAGTGGTGGTAAACTTGGCCTTAGCTCCCTGGGTTCGGCAGAGGAAAATTAGACCGGTTTGCTGCTTCTGAGATTGGACATTGCTTAAAAATGGCACAAAACTCCATGCAAGACTCAAATTAAGAATCTTCCAAAATTTTGCACAATCTTAAAATTGAAGATCACGTGGTTTCAAGGCTACAACCGTGACAAATTTGGGCCTTTGATCGCTCTCCAGGTATATTATTTTTGGGGGTTGGCTGATGGCTTGCAGAGCAGTTGACAAATTAGAAACCAGAGAAAGCTGAAAAATGCATTATTACAATGTTCAGCCAGGCATAGTAATAATGTTACTGTAATACTGCATTCAGGTCAACAGAAAGCAAATCGGTGCTTAGTTTGAAAACAAAAACCTTGCGCACTCGTTCCGGATCCACGTTCATCAGCTAATAGCTAACTAGTAAACCATGCAAAACTTGTTTTGATTATCAACTAAGGTTTTTGGACACAGCTGGTTTTAAGACGGGAACTACCTTTTAAAAGAGACAAAAGAAAACAAACTTGAAATTTGAGGTTGAAAGTTGCTTTTGTGCAATTTTTTTCCCCTCTTTAATTGTTGCCCAGCTGTGCATGACCCACATTGGAGTAGTGCTGGCTAGGTGGCTGCTGTTGACACTTGAGGTAAAGCGGACAGAATGAAGTGTCTCGCTTTCTGCAGGAATGGCCTCCCTCCCTCTCTTGATGCGCACAAAAACAATCCCAAGGAGAGAGCTGGACATGCTTTGCAGTTATGACGCTATTCGCAAATAATATTGCCAAATCACACATTTTTGATGAGCAGGATTTTGACTTCTACAGATTTTCTGGTTTTGGACTTCAAAGAAAGCCTTTGGGATATCCTTCTGACATGAAAGACGCTATATAAATGCAATTTGTTGCTATTTTTGAAGGGATGTGGCTGATTGTTCTTTCCTTTTAGGTGAAGGTGATTGCTCCAGAGTACTACAATGGCTTACCTCAGCACACCTCCTGGATCTGCGTACTCTGGGACTTTGTCTTCGATGACTCCATCGGCCCTTACTCCAGGATTAAGAGGGAGTGCAAGTTGGTAAAAGGCAACTGATCTGCTCCTGATATATGAAGGAAAGAAAGAGTGAAGTTAAACATGATTGTAATTAAACACATTGTCCTCATTAATACTATTTCCTCTAAAAGAATTCTGATGCTGTCTTTTGTACCACCGAGAACGCACAATGATATTTAGATTTCAACAGGACGTTACATTTGGGCTGAATTTCACTGTATATAATTATAATTGTACAATGAGAGAAAATAAATCGAAACGGAAGACCTGCTCCAAATATCAGGCTAATATCTACAGTTTGTAAGTCTTTAAAAACTAGAGCAGAGGACATACAAGAAAAATGCATGTGAAGGGTTTCTCTGAGAATTCATTGAACGAAAGAAACCCCATCATTTCATTGTCAAAGGGATTAGAACAGTAAATTAGCTCAGATTCAGTTTCATTGAACGTTTTGTTATTTTGCAATATTCCAAATGTTTTAATTTATCAAACTTAACCTGGTCAACTCTTACTTTTTTTTCATGTTTTCTTTTCTAATTGCCTGCCGTGTCTCTGTGTGGCTTTCTACATTCCCGTGGTCCATATAGTGTTTACATGGTTACCCCCAGAATATTATATACGCACATGTATATATATATATATACACACACACATGCTTTTGGTACATCCAGTGTATTTAGAAGGATCAGTCATTAATACAATTATTTGCTGGTTCACTGAGGCATGGAAATCTGCTAAATACTCCCCTCTGTGGCCAAGAGATACTGAGGTCAATGCACTAGAATTCAGACTAGTAACCTTCTGGTCTATAATGACTTCTGATAGTGCCTTTGCTCACAAGGTCATTGGGGAAAGCACCATGTGCCTATTTTAAGTATGGTGTTGAGATGGAGAGAAATTTTGGGGGAGGAAAGGGAGGGTAAGAATTTACAAACAAAAATAAATTTAATGCGATTTTCTGGGAAACGATACTGTGTCTTTAAAGATGTAGAAATTACAGGCACCTTTCTGCTTGATCACTTTTGTGAAGTTTAATTCTTCTTAATATTTGGGAGATGTGATCAATATGTGTGTAAAAAAAACTGTCCTGTTCGAAATAAATTTTCTGTACCAACACCATATCAATGAAAAATGGCTTTTAACAGTTTTATCATTACGATAAATGAGTGTAAATTTTCCAACACTCCATGAATGGGCAGATAATATCCACCACAATCTTCCCTGGGTTACATTGCCAGGATTAATATAACCAGACCATTGTTGCTCTCTTTTAAAATGCTTTGAGTAAACCTGCAGGTCTTTTCCCCCTGTTAATGGATAGTCATTTTTTCAGCTGTCACAAGGTGCCTGTTCCTGCTCTCCACATTTCCGCATTGGCTTGCTGATGGGCTTCATGCTCATGTGTCAATCCAGAGATTGTGTTCAGTCTCCTCTTGTGGCTTTACAGAACCTGGCAAATAACACGACACCTCGACTGGTAAATGCCCATTCAAGTGTATTGGAAGAGTTACCACAAACCACAGTGATTGTATTCAAAAAGATCTGCTTGTACCTTTCAGCCACATCAGAATGTGATAACTCCTCTGGTAGCCCTTCCAACATGCTAGCCTTGTATTTATTATAAACAAATTACGCTGCATTTGACCAGAAATCATTAAATTATTTCCCAGAATGGATATGCATCACGTGCTGACTTCTGCTTTCTAGTATTTTATGTCATTACGTTTAAAAGATTAAGAAAGATTTGAGCTATTTTTATATATGGATAGGTTATCTTCTACAGTAAACTCCTGATAACTCGACTCCGGTTTAACTCATCACTACAACTTAAGTCACAATGCTGTCAATATTCCGTCCGCTTCCAACATTAAATGTTATTGGGGACTCCACTTTACTTGTCATTCTGCTTAACAATATCTAGTCAGAGGACTTATGCCTAGCTCGTCGCCGAGCTTTCTTCCCTTGGAATGATGAGTTATCAAGACTTTACTGTATTTCACATCTTGCTTAATAACCCTTTGTTATTGTATTAGCTGATGGAGCATAGACAGATATAGACTGAATGATAGTGCTTCAAATGCTGTTTTGGTTCAAATGCCCGCATGTATTCCCTCCGTCTAGTAGATGTTGCTAGTTAGCCTGGCTTAGTTTATGCTGACTGAGTGCAGGATCTTGCCTGGATCAAGGGCATAACTGCAATTGTGGGCACATTTCCATGTCTCCTAAAAATCAAATATGAACTAAGTCAGCCCATCCAAAATTGCCTTTGATTTTTATTTACATTACAGCAGTAATGCACAGATTTACAATCTTATTCCATACACAACAGAACACCCTCAATATTTACTGCCATTAAAGGCACAGACCAGGCTGATAAGAAAGTAGGTCATTTTATGACAGCAAATGGTACCCAAACTACAATGGTTGGGTGTACCCGTATGTCATTTTTGTTATTTCACAAATTGTAGGTTGATAGAAAGTAGTCCTTGGTAAACTAGAATTTTATATACCTGCCATTGATATTTATGTGAGAAATGTCACTGTATGCTAGAGGCCAGACTCTAAGCTCTGTTCTTAGGATGGTCTTTCCCTGTGTTGGCATTTAAACCAGGCTAACATCAATACAAATGATTTCCTGGTACTCAACTGGCCTTAGTTTCGCAAAGCAGTTCCTGATGTGAAATGTTTTGAGGGTAGCCTGAAAGATAAGGTTCGGATTATTCTCCTCCATTCAGGAGGTGCAACAAACCATTTGATGCGAGTTCAGTAACAAAAATCTCATTAGAGGTCCATGTCACAAGATCTGCTGTAGAGTGCAAATAGAGCAGAGGTCCCAGAGAAGGGGTGTTGTGTTTGTCATCCAGCTGTGTTGCACTTGAAGCGAAAGTTGAAAAATATGTTCCATGTCCCAACCCTCTCACTAACGAGCACATAACGTCACTGGAAACATGCCTTCCACACAGCAGATCAGGCTCCACTTTAATAGTTAAAATCATGATTGTTGTATCTTAACAAAAATACATTGAGTGATTACAGTTAAAATAATCTCAAGTGCAACTGACAATTGCTCCAGTGAAATTTTCTCTTGTGCTGCAAACACCCTCTGAAGCTCCCACTAAGATTTTTGTAATTGCCTCCATCTATCTAATCCTCTCTATAATTACCAACTCCTCCAACGATTGACAAATTGACTTACCCTTATCCCACTGCTCTATTTTGTAATTGTGAAAAAAATGCAGGGGCTTGGTGAATGAGCAAACCAATTTGTAAAGCCATGTCGATAAGCAATCGATTCCCACCACCAACAATGGTGAAAGGGATTGTAAGCATGAGCTTGGGTTTCTAGCTGGCTGTTACTATTCCTCAGCTGTAGCATTCAAACATCTTATTTCATGTTGTAAAAAACAGTGCAAAATTGTGTGGATTTAGTTTGTGTTCTTTTGGTTCTGTGCCTTTCCACAGAGGAGAGGCTATTAACTTCCCCCTGTCTGGTGACTCCACCATGACGTAGCCTGGTTTGAGTCTTAGTACCACTTTGCCTTTCTATGGATTCTAAGTGTCAGCCAGGTAGCCGAGTGGAGTGTTTTCATCCTTGTCATCAGTCGTGAAAGTTGTGTCAAAAGATTTCTATTCTTTTCACTGAAGGAGCATTTGAGGAGAACCCTTTTCTGAAGGTTAAGGACAGGGAGGAAAATAAAAGTATATTTTCTGTTGAATAAATATGTGCTTTTGGGATCCTTTTGTTTTCAGTGTAAAAGCACTCATATTATAAATGATTTTGCTCAAGATTTAAGTGGATTTTGGTTTCAATTGCTGTTGTATCACAGCAACTTTGGGGAAACAACTTCCCATTCACTGTGATCTTTTTGTCATGAATTGTTTTCCTGTGAGTAGAAATGGTTTCAAATAAAAACTGTTTGTGCACAGGTTACTTGTGAAATGTGTGTATTGTTTTCTCGATCTTGAAGTGCAGGTAAATGGGGGGGAAAAAAAGATAGTCCCAGGAGGCCTTGATCTCTGCTTGATGCTTCATATGGAAGAGAAATCTGGACAAATACCTTAAAAAGAGACAGCTACAGAGGTATGGGGAAGGGGCAGGTAAGTGGGACTGAAATGATTGCTCTTGAGGGAGCTGACACAGACACGATGAGCCACATGGCCTTCTTTTATGCCGTAAATGTCTATGGTTCTATAGTTTGGGTTAAAGATGCGATTACAACCTGGTAATGGTGGATTTAATAATAATAATCCTTGCATTTGATATAGCACTTTTCATGTCTTCTAGATGTCTCAAAGCGCTTCACAGAATATACTGTAAAGTGAATTGACTGTATATTTGTGGGCAAAACGCGGCAGCCAATTGCGCACAGCAGTGTCTCACAAACAGTCGTGGATTGAGTGACCAAATTATTGTTTTTTTTTCTTGAGGGATTATCAGACATGTGGAGTAAGAAAACTTGCCCAAGGTTTCGCCCTGCCAGGAATCGAAGCCAGGTCTCTCTCTTGTGAGGCAAGCGCTTTAACCACTGAGCTACAGGACTCCACTATTTCTAGAATAGAGAGTATACAGCGTTTTTGGTACACAGCAAAAGATTTTTTACTACTGGTCAGAGAGCTGCTTAAACACTTTGGAAACGTTTATGCTTTTAACTTTTAACTGTAGACGTGCTCCAGCAGTTTGGAATGAATGACCAAAGTAATGGGTATTTGGGCCATTTCACTAACTGCACAAACCCTACTCGTGTCTAATGAAATGCAGATTAGGCTGAATGTGGTTGTGCCTGGTGCATTTCAATGCCTCCAGGCATTCTTTACCTGTTTTCAGTGCAGCGTTTCTTTCAGTGCTGTTGGATAAATATTCTCTCTTGAGAGAGTGGGGGTGGGGCGGGGGGCGGGGTGGTTGTGGGGAGGGAGGGACTGAAACATTTAAGAAGGGGACACAAAATAAACAGTCAATCCACCATCGGCAGCCATACTTTCAGCTACTGTGCCCCAAAGCTTTGGAAGCTCCCCTTATCCCTTCGGCTTGCCCCGTCCTTCCCCTCTTTTAGATCACGATTGAAGACCTTCACTTCGACCGCGCTTACGGTCACTTCCTCCCTCTCCCGAATTCAGCGTCGAGCTCTGCCACTGTTAAGGGCTCCGGTACGCTACCCTGCATGAAGGGCACTATATAAATGCCAGTTTGTTGTGATTACTTCCAAAATATTAAACGGCATTGTTACCACCAGAAGATCCTAGTGTTGTTGTGGTTCTTCAGTTTCAACCATGACTGTGTACATTCTGGTTTCTTCACTGAGAAATGATTGGAAACTATGTTAGACTGTACTTCCTTCTCATCATCTGACTGCAACAAAACAACCTGTGTTTGCTGTTCCTCTTTTTGCTACCCTATTTAGGGTGAGTTTTAACAGCTCATTGCAGGTTATTCATTAAACCTGCAAAATTGTTAAACTATCTAAGTAGTTCTGGCTGCTGACCATGAACATTTCTAACTATCATACAGATGTGCTGCCTTTACAGCACCTGGAAGCTTTGAGCTTCAACAGAGTTCTTCTCTCCAACTGCATGGACTGGATGGAAGCAGGCACGCAGTGATGGATGAGGTTGTTTCATTTCTATATCTTTTTTTCAGATCCACTTTGAGGGATACATGATGGATCATTGTATATATTTTGCCCACAAAATATACAGTCACTACGCTTTGCAGTGTATTCTAAAGAGCTTTGACACATCACAACAAAATAAGGCGCTATATCAAATGCAAGATTATTATTAATACAGAAAGTATTCCGCAAATGACCAGATCATGAAAACCACAAGAACCAAAGATAATAATCCTTGCATTTGATAGAACGCCTCATCACATCATTGAGACGTAGCAAAGCGCTTCACAAAATATATTGTATTATTGAAAGCTAGAAAAGTTGTTTCGGATTTAACATTCACTATAAAGTTTGTGTACGCTTATGTTGGGCAACCTTCGATTAGATTCTGTGTGAATAGGAAAAACAGGTGTGGTTCAGTTCACACAGGTGTTCACGTGGAGTCCTGTCGCTCAGTGGTTAGAGCACTCAATTTGCAAGCGAGAGACCGGAGTTCAATTCCAGGCAGAGGGCGAAACCTTGGGCAAGTTTCCTTACTCCACACGCCTAATAATAATCCCTCCAAAAAAACAAAAAAAATAATAAATTGGTCATTTTCAATCTACGACTGTTTGTAGGACACTGCTGTACGCAATTGGCTGCCGCATTCGCCCACAAATATACAGTCAATTCACTTTACAGTGAATTACAGTGACGTCTCAAGCGCTTTGAGACGTCTAGAAGACGTGAAAAGCGCTATATCAAATGAAAGGATTATTATGTTTGTGCCAGAGCTGCTTATTTATATAAAAATATTTGTTAGTAAAATGGGATTTGACAAGTCACCTGCCAAAACATACTCACTGAGCCTATGTGGAACCTCATTGTTTGTCTCTCGATTCTCCTTCACACTTTTCATCTGAACCAATTTGAAGCAAATATACTTTCCTCCATCTCCGCAACATAGCCCGTCTCTGCCACTACTTCACCTCATCTTCGCAATTGTCACCTCCAGCCTCTATTTTACCTATTCCATTCTCACTGGTCTGCTCGGCTCGGCTCCACTTTGCAAATGCTTTTGTGGCCTTACCCCACCTTATCTCCTGTGGCCTTACTGACCCTCCCCATCATTGACAGGCTAGCTTTCAGCACTTTGCCCTATTCCCAAGAATTCTTTCCAAATCCCTCCACCTCATCCCTCCCTCTCTTGCTTTCAAAAGAAGACCTCTCTCTTTGAAGATCAACTTTGAGAATGGACCTACAATTCAGGGTTAATGACTCCAAGTAGTTACTAAGCAGTACTGAGAGAGCTGAAGGCAATTTCAGCATTACCCCCTCCCCTGCTCTCATTGTTGCCCCAATTGAGATCAGCTACGTCAGCACGATTAGCAAACCTGTGACCTTCGGTTCTGAATTTATCAAAACCAATCATGAATATAATGCTCGTAATAAATATTTAACACTTAAACTATCATTAAAGTACAGTTTACATTATGTTTTGTGATGAGATCAGAAAGTCAAAGGCTTGAGTGCCAAGTTAACTTTCCTCAGCCTGGACAACAAACAGAAGTGGTGGTAAACTTGGCCTTAGCTCCCTGGGTTCGGCAGAGGAAAATTAGACCGGTTTGCTGCTTCTGAGATTGGACATTGCTTAAAAATGGCACAAAACCTCCATGCAAGACTCAAATTAAGAATCTTCCAAAATTTTGCACAATCTTAAATTTGAAGATCACGTGGTTTCAAGGCTACAACCGTGACAAATTTGGGCCTTTGATCGCTCTCCAGGTATATTATTTTTGGGGGTTGGCTGATGGCTTGCAGAGCAGTTGACAAATTAGAAACCAGAGAAAGCTGAAAAATGCATTATTACAATGTTCAGCCAGGCATAGTAATAATGTTACTGTAATACTGCATTCAGGTCAACAGAAAGCAAATCGGTGCTTAGTTTGAAAACAAAAACCTTGCGCACTCGTTCCGGATCCACGTTCATCAGCTAATAGCTAACTAGTAAACCATGCAAAACTTGTTTTGATTATCAACTAAGGTTTTTGGACACAGCTGGTTTTAAGACGGGAACTACCTTTTAAAAGAGACAAAAGAAAACAAACTTGAAATTTGA